CAATATTATTGAATGATGAGTCCTCTCCCAAATCATGCACTCTTTCCAGTGCTTCTTCAATTTCTGTTTCAAAATGATATCCAATGCCCAATCGTTGGATTGTATCAATCAAACGCAGTTTGTCAGCGATCTTTGTCTTGTCATTTCCACTTTTTGCTTCATATTTCACCATCTTCCTCACCTCTTCCTTAAGAATTTCATATTTTGGGTGTCCTTGTTTTGCCTAAAGATGTATAGATTTAAAAGTAGAAACGAATAAAACAAGCTACACTTATAAGGTTATGCATGCTAGATCTCTTACAAATGATCCAAAGTCAAGAAATCTATAAAAAAAAAAAAGAAGTAAAGAATAACAAATGTTAGAACATTTCATTTCCAAAATCTCATTTGAAATAAACGAGTTAATTATAATTTTATATCTACATCATATATCAAGTTGAAATGAGAATTCATTTTCCCATTTCAAATTTCTTGTAATGAGAGTAATTTTAGTAAACCCTTTTTGGTTATTGTAGCTCTCTCATGTAGTGCTGTAAAACCATATGGAACTAGTTATTCGGGAAAAAAAAAAACAAATCAAAATATGATCCAGGAAGTTAAACACTTAAAACTAACTGACGTAAATTGTTGATTTGTGACCTTTTAAAAAAATTTAATATAAAAGATTATATGTATTTGTTGGGACTTGAGCACATTTCTCTCATACGAAAGTCTTGACCAATTAGACTACATGGAATCAATGTCATAATATAAGTTTTTGACGGATTTTCACATTAACAACGAGACTTTATAGATCTCTATCTCAAAATAAAAATAGAAAACTTTGTAATCCTTGAGAAAATGCATAAGTTAAGATTAGATAAATGAACCATCATAAGTGAGATGACAAACATTGAAATATTTTAAGAAAGTTATTCTATAGATTTAGAATATTGTTGGAGTAAGAGTTGAGTGTCTTAAAATATTATTACCTGTATAAATGATTGCATATATATTCGTAGAATGCTTTGCGTTCACTAAGGAAATTAGTGTTCATAATAAATCATTAATATAAATATATCATCATGTATTAATGTTGAGTAGGATAGCCTAAGACCGACGTCTGTGCGAAATCTGTAATCTAGGAAAAAAATAAAACAATTGCATATCATTCACAGAATGCTTTGCCTTCGTTTCTTACTTGGAGGGAGAGATCAACTTTGTCGAGGAAGCCACGGCCCCAAACTGTGTTAGGGAAGGTTGCCGGCGGGACCCGTTCCACTGCGCCGCCGGTTGCCTTTCTGGCTGTCGCCTTAGCAGAGGGATCAAGTGATCGTGAAGAAGAAGATGATGACATAACAATAGCAATACGCATGGCCATTGCCATATATATATATAGCTCTTAGTTTTCGATATAAGTAAGCTGCTCAATCAATGTGCTTGCTATATATGGCAAAGGCACTGGTGGTCAGAAGTAGTTCAGTTACAGTACTCCTCCTCAGTAGCAGAGGGATCAATTAATAACATTATCCAAATTGATTGCAGCTGCTCAAACGTAACATGGGGGGAAAATCCGTGATCTTATCTATTTCTGATCTTGTTTGAGTAAATTAATATATATATATATAGTCTAGGCCAAATATAATGTAGAGACATGCACCCATGGCCATACTGACAAGTCTAGCTAGCGTATGATAATTAAAAGACAAATATAATATAGCCTAGAAGAAAGGAGAGCATCGATTCAGCATGCAGTTTGATACCCGGCCACTGGACGTAAACGGTTCGATCTATTCTATAAATGTGTGCGCGCAGATTGATTGATTAGCACATGCAATTAATGCAGCATTGCGCGCAGTAGTCTTGATTTTGTCGACTGCGCGCTGCTCGATCGACTTCTGCCACAAATCATGTGCCAAAACTGGGAAAATCAAGACTACGTACTACCTTTTTTTGGATATTCTATTATCCAATCTGTTCCAAATTCGTTGCCATTATTGTAATAAAGTATTGTTAAGTGCGGAAACGTAGAGGACAGGACACCACAGGTGTTTACGTGACTGGGGAGATACTTAACATTTTCCTATCCCAACGAAACAAGAAGGAAGATTGTGATCAGTACAAAGCTGGTTACTTGAATTTGATCCAGATTTCTGTTCAATACGCAGCTTAGAATTAATAAAAATTCTAATCTGGTCTATGGACAAAGCTGGTTACTGATGATCTTTACTCTCTGATCTCCACTCCTCAGACAACAGGAGTTTCCTTTTAAGCATGGTATATATATGTATGCATAGATATATGTGGGAATACATATACAATTGTAGTTGATAACTAGTTCAGGCCTCCTTTAAATACATTAATTACGATCGTTTGCTACACATACACATCGATTTCGTGTCAAACTAAGGACTGTTGAGCTACGAGCACAACACACACCTGTCGTTCAATGGAGAATATACATATTTGACGAAGGCTTAACTTTCGTTGTTGATGATCGGATCTAATGGCCGTCAATCATACTACATATTATTCAAAATTCTTTCTCAAACATTGATACGCTTGTATCCACCCGTTAATAATGATATGAATTATGATACTAATTATTAGGAAAATATTAATAACCATAAAGTAAGTTAGTAACAATACCTATATAAAAAAATGTTAACACTGCATGTTGTTGTAAATCGTTCAAAAGGAAAGCAAAAATGTTAACAACCCCTAGCCAAATTATTATCAATGTAGCTACTTTAATAATCAACTATGAAAGGTTAATAGTTACAATAACGATGCAAGGTAAAGGTGTTGTTTGATAGAATAGCTTATCCTAGTACAGCTGAGCTTTCAGCATTATGGGAGGCGGTGCATTGGTGTATCAGGATGAGAAGGAGTTCAGTCATGTTGGAAGGTGATGCCTAGGTGGTGATAGACGAGGTCAATGGAGGCATGGTGGCAGATGTTCGTGGCGGAGTAATTTTTGAGGAGATCTGTTCCGATCAGTTGTCTTTACCTGATCTGTGATTTTGGTTTGTGAGAAAGGAAAACAATAAGGTACCCCATGAGGTGACTAAGTTTTCTTTATTTTATTTTATTTTATTTTTTTTTTTGGTAGATTTTTCTTTATTTCTTAATCGATGTAATTTGGTCGATTTTTGTGCATGGCTCTTTATAGAGGCGGGTATGATCTAACTTTTCCCCACAATTTTAATTCAAGAATTGTGCATCGGGAACTCACTAGTGCACTTGTGTGGATAGCGCAGATGAACACATGCATGCACTGTCGACTGCCACAGCACAACCCTCCGATCGAGTTGTGCGATATTGTGCCGGAAATTGGGAAAAGCCCACCGTTCGAGACCTGGATCCATTTCTATTTTCGGATATATTATATTCTCCGCTTTGTTCTAGATCCATTAGTAACATTACCATTTTTACACCAAACCTTTTTTTTTATAATGGTGATACGATATTAATTTATGTAGTTTACACGAACTAAACATCTCCATGAAAGAAAGCTCAGACTACAGTGGCATTATTTATTTTGGTTGAACGCATAACCTAACATCATTTTACATTTTTTGGGATGAAAACAATGTATTAATACTGTAAAATACTTATATTGACGTAACTCATTATATTTGCGGATACTACAACACGATATGATGAGTACCTTACGGTATTAAACACATTAAATTTATAAGTCATTTTTAATTCAATAATGCGATTAAATAATGTTTATTTTATTTTATGAATTGCAAGCTTTATCTTTGGAACTAATTTGTGAGACGTTTACTTTTGGTCTCTCCTCTTTTAGTCTCCTCATTTTGGGACGAGTTCACAACTAGTGGATCACGCGTCTCCCATCATCGTCTATAGTATCTAATCAAATCCAAATCGGTTTTATCACGAAAACTCCATCAAAATTATTTTTTAATGATTTTTACAAGAATCCAATAAGAAGAGTAATAGATTTGGTGTGGTTATGACATTCTAAATATCGACCTAACTATTCGTTACATCTAGGTTCCAAATTCACTCATTTTAACATACCGATCATTCATATCCTGTACCCGTAGACATTATGATTATATGTAGAATTGGTCTCATTCTCCTTATTTTTGTAAAGGAGAATGAATTAATCTAGCATCTTTCAAATCAATTTTAATAATTGAAGACGATATTAACCAAGTTGCTGCATGTGCCAAAACGTGAGTCATCAAAGATGAAATGATACGTGGTGATCGTATCTATTACTGATGTTGTTTTCCTAAATTAAAATAGTCTAGGCCAAATTTAGACACACCCATGACTGTACTGGCAAGTCTGTGATCTGTCTAGTGTCTAATAAAGACAAATATAATTAAGCCTAGAATGGAGAGCAAGTAGTTTGATTTGATACCCTTTTCACGTACGTAGCCTGTTCTATTACTTTCGGCCCTGCCCGGTTCTAGGCGACTGATTCTTTTGGCCCGATTATGTCTGGATCACCGGAATTTTTTTGGTGCGTCTTGGTTCAGCCTCTCTTTTTTCGGCTCGATAATCTACCACCGCCGATATTAGTCTGAAAAAAAAATCATGTTATAACAGAATCTTGAAAAATACATGGCATTAGAAATGAAAACGACGAGAAATAAGGAAAGTTTAGCCTTCTTCGGCGAACACCCAATTTCTTATATCTGGAAGTTGGAAAGGTTGAATGTGTGTTTGAACTTTGAAGTTGTGGAATTTGGGAGTTCTACAAGGCAGATCTGAAGGTCACAACTGAGATAACATAAGAAAATTTTATACATTTGAAGGTTAGGGGGAGAGTGGATTGTTATGGCAGTTCTGAAAATCAGGGTACAAAAGAGTAAAATGGGAAAATTTTGTGCATAACATTTTTCTGAGTGGAAATACTTGGAGAACTATGACAAATCATCTAATGGTAGGATTTGGGTGTTCTACAAGGCAGATCTGAAGGTCACAGCTGAGATAACAGAAGAAAATTTTATACATTTTAAGGTTAGGGGGAGAGTGGATTGTCAGATTACTATGGTTTATGGGCTTAATGAGGAAGCTGCTAGGCGTATTACCTATACTAAGATGAAGACCTAACCCATGGGTTTATCCGTGAAAAATCCCGGGGTAAAACCCACTGAGTTTGAAAAACTCAAACCCAACCCGCTGGGTATCCGCGGGTTCATGGGTACCCACGGATTTTTGTCGTAAAAAATTTACAATAACAAGTTCATATCAAAATTAAAGTCAAATATCAATCTCTCAATATAATTTATCCATATTTAAAACATCATTCTAGAAAATTCAATCAAATCACAAATTAACTATACAGATTACTCAACACTAATCTAGAAAACTCAAGAAAATGGAAGCTGTTTGAGCCTAACTGGGTGTAGGAGGGAGACTCGGGGAAATGGGTCAAGGAGAGTAAGCAATGAGGGATTAATCGTCGATAGAAGAACTGAGGAGATTACAGGAAGGATTGAGAGAGAAATCTTTTAGAGAGAGAAGTTAATGATTTTAGATATGGATGGTGTCACGCCAGCTGTTGCCGCGGCTTCTCTGCTCATCATGAGCGCCATGACCTGGCTCATTTGTTTTTGCATGTTAGCTATGACGTCGTTCTGCTTTGCCACCAGCTGTCTCATTTCTCTGGCTGTGAGCTCGGGCTCTTCCTCTTCCAAGAGCACCGCGTTGAGATTGCTGGCTTCTGCGAATTCCCTTGGGTTGGTCATCGCCTTGATCGGGGTTGAGTCGTCAGGCGAGTTGGAGTTATGTTCTGCCATAGATTGATTTTCTTTGCTTCTCTGCTTGGCCCCACGGTGGGCGCCACTTGTTTGAGCCTAACTGGGTGTAGGAGGGAGACTCGGGGAAATGGGTCAAGGAGAGTAAGCAATGAGGGATTAATCGTCGATAGAAGAACTGAGGAGATTACAGGAAGGATTGAGAGAGAAATCTTTTAGAGAGAGAAGTTAATGATTTTAGAGATAGAGTCCGAAAAATCGATCCCCTCACCCACCGGAGTAAATGCCATATTTATAGGCTACATGCTGGTGGGTGAGTGGTTGGGTTACAAGTGGGCACAATGATGTGACCACTGACATGACAGGGACCTAGGCCATGCTTTTAGGACCCTGATGTGACTACTGACATAGCAGGACTATACCTAGGACTGTGATAGTGACTGCCCGACGGGTGACGCGGCGCCGCTTCTACAACTCCTCGACCAGGGCCCACGCCTGTCCCAAGCATTGTCGTTCAGTGTTTTGCGCGCGCCTCTTCAGAGGTGGCTTTGGCCAGGACGCTTGATTCCGGCGTGACTCGCACGCTTGACTCGCGCGCTTAACCTTGGCGCGACTCCTTAGTGCTTCTGCCGTTGGGTGCGATCCGAGTCACATGCCCAACAGAAGCAAATAACAAATTATTCATAAATAACATGATTAATTGAAAGCTTCTTCCTTTCATTTAAGTTTCTTCACTCTCCACTCGATAACATCAACTTCATTCTACACAATTAGAAAGAAAAAATTAGATATGTCTCCACAACATAAATAAGATTAGTTGTTTAGAATATTCAAATGCCTAGAATATTAATTATATGGGTGTGGGCGGGTGCCCATAGGTCGGGTTTACCTAAATCCAAACCCAACCCAGTGAATATGGAACATGTTTAAACCCAAACCCGGCCCAAAACCCGTCAACACGAATTTTACCCCCGTTGACCGGATTGGGTCGGATGAGTACACGTGGGTTCGGGTTTTGTTGTCATCCCTACTTCTAGCTTAGCTAATTGAGTCCACTTTACCCACTGATCAGTCATCGGATTGCGGGTCAACGCTACACTGAACCATATTTCTGTTTGTTCTTTCGTTAATAATTATTTATTTTATCAATCACGTATAATTAAGGATTTTCATGCATTAATTCGCCAACGTTGGATGCTCCATAAATAAAATTAAGCAATAAAGCAGTACTGTTGAATTTTTGACTGCCACAAACCCGCTGACCGAGTTCTGCCAGAAATCATGTGCCAAAATTGGGGAAATCAAGAAATGGATCCAATGCCATTTTTGGGTACTATATTATTCGAATATTTTGTCTAGATCCGTTGCCATTTTTCTACCTAAACCCTTTATTATTTTAGTTGAATGTGCCAAAATTGGGAAATTGAGAATATGTATCCATTTTCATTTTCAGTATATAAATTACAGTATGTTACCTGATTTGTTCTAGATCCGTCATTTCTGGATATGGTATATTACTCCGATATGTTGTCTCTTGTTTTTTCTAGATCCATTGTTATTTGGGTTATATGTATAATATGCATCTTTACTATAACGTTTTATCAAACATGTCTCTCTATTATTTTTTATATCAAGCATGCCCCTATACTATGAAAAATTATCAAACATGGCCTTCTGTTAAAATTCCTTTGAAAAAATCGTCAATCATGGTTGAACCGAGATTTAGACGAACCGACATCGACAAATGGGAGCGAAAATGTCAGTTTTGTCTCCCGTTTTATTTCTCCGGGTCTATTCAAAGTGAAATTATTCGAATTATTTGGCTATACTAAATAACTAAAAAAAATTCTAAAAGTGAAATTATTAGGAATATTTTAGACATTTGTGCCGCCCAAACCAAAGTTCGACCTTGGTTAACGTTTTTAGGATGAAAATTTAAATAAAAGGGTATGTTTGATCATTTTTACAAAGTACAGAGGCATGTTTGATATAAAAAATAGTAGAAGGACATGTTTGATAAAACGTCATAGTAGAGGGACACATTATACCTATAACCCTTGTTATTTCCATACCTAATTATTTATTTTGATTATTTCAAATTATGTTACAACCTATCCATTATCATTTACTTTTTTTAGTAGTCATCTTAACTACCTATATCTTCACCCTTCATTTTCAGCATTTTTTAACTAACGATCATAATGATATCTCCCCTCCTCTTGCTTTTTGTATTAATTAATGTTATCATATTGATGTTTATTGTTTGTATATTGATATTGGTTAAATATGCAATGAAGTTGGTTCATAAATGATATATATATATATATATGGGGAGTTCTACGATACCTTAGTGGTAGTATTTTTGGGTAGACTGTAGTATTAATGTTTTAGTTTTTGGTATTGATTTCTTGTTTTATTTCTATAATGGTGTTGATGTTTTGTTGAAGTGGTAGTGTTTATTTAATGGATTGACATTGATTTTTTGTTTTACTTTTGCAATCGTATTAATTCGGTTGAATGAAAACAAGGAAAATATTGAGAAAAAGAAGAGAGAGTGGTGACTGGAAATTTGCAAAGTGGGAGAGAGATAATTTTCCAAAATGTAATTTATCAAAACAAAATTTAATAAATATTTGTTTGATCCAATTTGCCTTTAGTAGCCATAGTGGCTACTGCTATAGATACTAAAAATACTCACCATATCCGCTCCCCAACCTTAACTGTGTTGACAAATCTTGCTTATAACAAAAACAAATATAGCACAATATGGAGAGCATGTAGTTTGATGCGACCGAGGGCAGCCTAAGTAGTGAATCGACACATTTCCCATTATAAGCTAGGTTGTGTGTTTGATTCCCAGCAGCTGCCCTTCTCTTCTTCTGTAAATTACAGGTTGTAAATATTTAAAAAAAAAAAGAGTTAGATACCTCCGGTTGTATTATTAAGCATCCATATCAACTGTATTTGGTTTATTGAATGGTAGGCTGATATTCCATATCTATCTAGATTTGTCGCTCTATCTAGATTTGTCGATCTACAGAAATGGCAAATTTGAATAATTGCCTCACATACTTAATTAATTATATCATTGTAATACGTGCATGCAGGAACCAAGTGATCTGTCGGATGGGTGGGTTGGTGGTGGGCTAGCTTTTGTTATTAAATACATTATTATCATCATCGTATGTGAGTGGTGCTAGCTTTTGTTATTAAATACATTATTATCGTCATCGTATATGAGTTGTGTTTTTAATTTTCAGGCTTGGTTGGTTTTCAGGATGTAACTATCTTTTTGTTGGATAATTATTACCTTTTGTAAATAAAAAATGTGAGTGGTGGCCGGTGGTCTTGCTTTCAAACCCTAGCCTTAATTTGCTATATATATAGATCGACTCGAAACTAGCTATAACAGCCCATTCATATTACCAGTCATTATTACTGCTACTGCTACCATTACTAAGATTATGTCATCTTCATCATCACTACCACTTCACTCAGCTGCTGCTGCAGCGGCCCATCAGAAGAAGGCAACCTCCGGCGCAGCGGCGGATTGTGTCTCGTCAGTAAGCTTCCCTCGCACAGTCTGGGGCAATGGCTTCCTCGACAAAGTTGATCTGTCCTTCCAGGTTAATTAAGTTATATATGGGTTTTATTAATTAGTAGTTGTTTTTGGTGTATGTTATTTCCTACTAACATCAATCAAGTTGCGGGAAAGAGTCCCGCGCACGCGGCTAACGATGAGCTTGAAACAGTCTACTTCACTATATGTGCGCACAGATCTCTGACCCATGCATGTTGCTCTTGACTTTGAACAACTTGTGAGAATGAGATGATTTATCAAGAATAACAACAATTTTGACCCAAAAATAATTTTAAATCCACTGATTCTCAGGCGAAAGAAAGATACCCAAACCATGAAGTCCTGAAAGAAGAAGTGAGGAAGATGTTCACAAATGAAGTAAAAAGTACTGGAGATGAAGAGGCAATAATCGCCGACAAGCTGCGTCTGGTAGATGCAGTTCAACGATTAGGTATTGGGTATCACTTTGAGCCAGAGATTGAAAAGGCACTTGAAAAAGTACATGATATGGGAGGAGACTTATTCGCTAACATCGGTGACAAAGGCACGGATCTCTATCATGCAGCTCTTAGATTTCGGCTCCTCAGACAACAAGGATTTCCTGCTTCGCAGGGTACGTATATATGTATAGTTGATTTATTAGTTGTACTTGGTATATGTACATTGATCCCGGATTCTCACAATCCTTTGTTATATGTACACACACAAACACGTACGAGTAGATGGGTTTAGAAAGCTGAAGAACAGTGAAGGGAGGTTCAAGGAATGGGTGTCGAGGGATAGACAAGGACTGTTGAGCTTGTACGAGGCAGCACACTTGGCATTCAATGGAGAAGACATATTGGATGAAGCCCTGAATTTTGCGACCAAGAACCTTAAGTCATCATCTGTCATCCACCACAATACCAACCCTAATTCATTCCAAAAGCAAATCGACTTTGCTCTTCGCTTTCCTGCTTGGAAATGTGTCCCAAGATCACTTGCTAGGCACTCAATAGATATTTATTCTGAGGATTCTTCGCAGAATCTAAAGCTTCTCACGTTTGCAAAGATGGACTTCAACATAGTCCAAAACTTGCATCAGCAAGAGCTCCATGAAATCTCTGGGTGAGTTAGTTATAATGTTCACTAGCTAGCTAATATTATATTACACAATACTACTAATCACCTTAATTGCTTGTTTGGTTTGATTTGTTATATATTCATACAGTTGGTGGAGAAGTTTTGATGTGGCAACCAACTTTCCATTTGTAAGAGACAGACTTAGCTTGTAGAGTGTTATTACTGGATGGTTTGCGTTTACTTTGAGCCCAAATATCGATTGGCAAGAATTATAAGCACCAAGGTCTATCATATGTTGTCAATCTTGGATGACACGTGTGATAACTTTGCTACATATGAAGAGCTTCAGGCCCTAACGAAAGCTATTGAAAGGTTTGAATTACCACATAATTAACTCTTACACATATGTGTGTATTTGATTGATTAGATATAATAGAGCTTGTGCTTTTATCTTATTAATAATAATAATAATAATATATGGTGTTTGTATGTACATACATATTTCTTTCAGGATGAATGTTGGGGCTCTTGAAGAACTACCAGATAGGATGAGGAATACTTATCGTGCCGTCCTTGATTTGTATGATGAAATCGAGAGGGAAATTGGAAAAACGCGACCCACTTTCCCCGTGGATTATGCCAAGGACGAGGTAATACACTAATAAATAGTTAGCATATGTGTGCCATGCGCGCATCATATATGTAGATCGAGCTACGATATGGTCATTGGAGATCATAACAGCGCTTATTCTTTTTTTAATAAATAATCGATCTTAGAATTTGCATTGAGAGTAGTAGCTAGTAACTGATCCGGAGTTTACCATTAAAATATATATAGTACCATTAATTACCATACTACTTCAAACTTGGGTTATATAATTAATTCATGGTATATAATTATGCACGTGGTATATATATATATATAGCTCAAGAAACTGTGCGGAGCCTACTTAGTTGAGATTGGGTGGCGCGCTGAAGGCATGGTTCCGACACTGGAAGAGTACATGATCAACGCGTACAACAGCTCCGGTGTGCCCAAAACTTGCACCTCTAATCTGATTGGCATGACACCAGAAATAGCCACCAGGGAGGCTTTTGAATGGATGACTAACGAATCCAAACTCATGAAAGCCTGCAGTTTGATTGGTAGGCTTCAAAATGACATTTTCACTCACGAGGTAATTATTATATATAATATATATTTACAGCTACCAAACAATTAAACAAACTACTGAGTACCGGAGTGCATCGATCTCATAGCTAACTATCTAGTATATATCATGTGTACGTGCATGGTTTTGCACATGTACGTACGTATGCATGCATGCAGTATGAGCGAAAGAGAAATCATCCGGCTTCGGCTGCTGAATGCTACATGAAACAACATGGAGCGACGGAGGAAGAAGCAGTTGAATTCCTGTGGAAAGAGATTCACAACGCCTGGAAAGATATCGCTCAAGAGTATCAGAAACCAACTCCGATGCCGGTAGCTGTTACGGATCGTATCCTCAATTTGGCGCGTTCCTGCAACTTGTTCTATGAGATTGGCGATGGCTACACCAACTCCCACCTCATGAAGGATCAGCTCACCTCACTGCTCTTCGATCCTCTGCCCCTTTAGTTTCAAGAAACCATTAAATAATGCCCTACCTAGCCAGTACTCATGTCATGTGGTTCACAAATTAAATCACAACGCTACCTAGCTCTCTAGCTGCTTCATTTTACGTTTCTTCTTCTTGCTAGTGGTGGGGTTTTTTTTTTTTTTTGTTGATGTTAGTTTCATGCTTCCTTTCCTGGACTGTTATCACAGCTGTTATCGTTTACATTTTCCCTTTTAATCAATAAAAAATTATATTGTTAATCATGGATCATATACTAATTAGAATATATTGGAAGAGATTTCATCATGGATCATATACCATTTACATCAACATACCTCTCTCAAATGAAAGCTGATTTGTGTGAGGCTTGAGGTTTACACGCTAACATAACATATAGGGGGTCATCGAGATTCGAACATAAGACATCTCGACCACAAAAAATTTTGATATCATATTAAAAATTAGTTGATCCAATAAATTAACTTATTAAGACAAGTTCTCCAAATCATATACCATTTAGTAACACTTACACCTAAACCTATGTGCAGTGCTCTAGCTTCATCGAAAATCTCCCTAGCTAAATGGTCTAAGCTCGTCTCAATTCTTGAGCATTTTCACAATGTTCTGAGTTATTGAGATTAATTATTTTGGTTCGTTCACCTTCATAAAAAAAATTGAGATTAATTATTTTGCTCATAACAATATTAAAATGTATTATGTATTTAAATTGTGATAAACTCAGTAAACGAACATGCAAACATAACTCATGTGGTGAGTTTTGTTTTATGCAAACATTACTCAAATAAAGTAAGCCTGGGAGTTTAAATTTTACACCCTGTGAGATTATGTATTTTAAAATAAACCATTGATGTTTCAGCAGGTACTTTGGTTTTAGGTAACCTAATTCGCCACTTCCCCCTCCACGCACGTACGTTCCCGCTCTTTATCATCAAAACGCGGTTTATTAGGAGTTGGCTAAAAAGTAGAGACACTCATTAAAATATCATATTTGATTAAAATATTAAAAATAACTGAAGTGAATTTGATGGAAATGTAAACGTGTAATCTTCTTTGAAATTTAGATATATGTAATTGATACCTAATATATTTGTTTAATTGATACATAAAATATATATCTCTCCATAATTAAGTTTTATGTTATGCATTTATAATGTACGTGGCTATCCACAAATAGTGTGTGAAAGTGGAGACACCTGACTGCAAATGACAAGTGCCCTTTATGCTCAGATAACATTGAGACCAACTTGCATTGTCTTAGAGACAGTACTTCGGCAAGAAAAATATGGGAGAAGATGGTTCCAGCCCAGGAGCAGTCTAGATTCTTCTCGTCGGATCAATCTACCTAGTTCAGTTTAAACATTAAGGGCGATATTAGAAAAGCTGATCAGGAAGTTTGGCCGAGCAGATTTGCCTTAATTTGCTGGTATATTTGGAAGTACAGAATTGAGTTTGTTTTATAGTGAAAGAAGCTAGTTGAGTCGTCGCTCATCAACTATGTTATTTCTAAGGCGAAGGAGTGGTTGGACATTTGGGAAAGAGCTAACTGCAACTTGACTTCTCTCGAAAAGCCACCACGTGAAGACAGGCTAGTGGGGTGAACGACTCGGTGGCTGGTTGGAGAAAGTTGAACACGGATGGAGCATCTCAGGTCGGGTCGGGTTTGGCAACGGCTGGTGGAGTTCTCTGGGACAGCGACAGTGACTGGCTAGGTGGTTTCTGTTGCAAGATTGGGACTGGCTCGGCTATCTTAGCAGAATTGTGGGGAATCCATTTGGGTCTCCTATGGCCTGGAATCAAGATACTCAATTCCTTATTTTGGAAACAGACTCGAAGTTAGCTATTGATCTCATCAAGAACTGTGATGATCTGGCTCATCCTCATTCTACGATCCTGGCAGCCATCAGGAGGTTGATGTCTCAGAACTGGGTAGTGCAGTTAGTTCACACGTACAGAGAGGGGAATAGAGTCGGGGACTGACTCTCGAAGCACAGTCTCGTCTATCACTTTGACACATGTGAGCTAATCAATCCGCCTAGGGACCTAGAACGGATCTTAAGAGAGGACATAATTGGCGTCAGCTTCCCAAGGAGGGTGCTGCAGAACAGGGACTAGTGTGTTTGGCTTAGGGGGCCGAGCGGCTGTGCTTCTGAGAATTTTGGACTATATTCTTGTTTGTTGTGGTCTCCTCCCCGCCTTGTTCTGCTATTTTTTCTCAGCGATAGGTTGGGGGGGCTTTGTTCTCTTCCCTAATTCCTGGCTTTTGCCTCCCTTTCAATAAAAAAAAATTAAAGAATAGTGTTTACGTAAATATTTTGTAATGTGTGGTCTAATAATACAATCAGGTGACAAAAAATATCACATTTTATTAAATATATTAAAAATAACTAAAGTGGATTTGATGGATATGCACACGTGGTAATCTTCTTTAAAATGTGGATATATGTAATTCATATCTAATATAACACATATTTGTTTAATTGATACATTATAAATATCCATCTCTCCTTAAGATATACGTAATGCATTTGTAATTTATGTAAGTATGATAAAACAGTTTAATTGGTACCAATAAATTTTACATAATGCATTTATAATGTAATGTACGTAACTATAGAACCGCGTTACGTAAATATTTCATGATGTGTGATTTAATAATGCAATCAAGTGACAAAAAAATATCATATGTGATTAAATATTATAATGTATGTAACTATTATAGAACAACGTTACGTAAATATTTCATGATGTGCGATTTAATAATGCAATCAAGTGACAATAATATCATATGTGATTAAATATTAAAAATAAAAATATATTTGCATGCCCTAAACAAAGGAAACTTTCGGCTAGCCTCTAATGAATTTTATTGAGTATATATAATCGATGTGTTTTTTCAATTCAAATATTTATAAAATTCCATTTTAAGAAAGAAAATATTTAAAAAAATAAGCTTTGAGTTATATAGAGACGGGGTCACTTGGATGTATCAATTGATAAAAGAGACAATTTGACCAATTGTCTTATTTTACAAAATAAGTCTATTTGAATTGTCTGCACCCACCTCGGACAATTGTAATTGCCTTTAAACGAGTCAATTTGAAATTTCCCAGGCCAAATTACTTCATCCAAATTCTGTGCCGCCAAACGGGTCAATTTAATCAATATTGTCTCAAAATGAAACAATTAAGTCAAATCGATCCATCAGTATTCCTCGTCCATTCAAATATTACTTTTATTCATCAATCAATTCCATCACATGAACCGCCATTGGCAAGTTACAACATGACTGAAACCATTAACTAAAAAACACTTGAAAACTGCAATAAATATATTGTAAAAAACCTCCATGAATGCAAACCATACAGCAAGCATCCATGCATTATATAGCTCTCTTCCACCATCTTCTTTATTTTAGTACTACTCCAACCACCACCAGCCACATTCATCACTTCTCAAACGCCATATCGTCCTCTACAACTCCCCTCGAAACGGCGAGGCAGTAGGATGCCCTTCATCATGGCAACACAGGAAAGTGGTGTACTTCTCCATATACCTATGACACTCAGGACACTTCATCCCTTCAGGAATCCTCCCCGCAGTATTAGGAAACTCGAACCTGCAACAAGGGTAAGTCACCCCATGGACCTTCTTGTGATGATCATCGTAAGCCAGATCGAAACCCTTCACCGGAATCTCTTCCTTCCACAGATCGTACTCCACCAGAGTCGTCAGCACCGTGTTGCCATGTCCATTCGATATGATGTTCGACCCTTTGCTCAAAACGGCCCACCCTCCTTCCTTGTCGTAGCTCAGCAGCTTCTTGATCTCCAGCATCATCGGGTCATGGTCGTCGAGCTTGCCCTGCTGGATCTTGCTGAACAGCATGCTCTCCAGGCGCGTCCAGAAGAACCAGATCATGGTCGGGTCCTGCCAGAAGTAGCTCAGCTTCTCCACGGTGATGGTGGCCAGGACGCGGCGGACGAGCTCTTTCTTCGTGCTCTTCCCCACGTAGGCCATCTCCAGAGGGATGCGCGAGGCTACTGCGACGGCCCGGGCCGTGTTGGTGAATTTTCGGACCCATTCTACGTCGTCTCCGCCGTAGAGGAAGATGTACTTGCCGTCCTTGATCTGGATGTTGGAAACAGGGGAGAAAACAGAGGAAAAAACAGAGGAATTTTCAGATTTTAGCTTTGCTTTAGAGTTAGGAAACAGGGGAGAAAACAGAGGAATTTTCAGATTTTAGCGTTGCTTTGGAGTTAGGAAACAGGGGAGAAAACAGAGGAATTTTCATATTTGAGCGTTGGTTTGGAGTTGGCTCTTTTTCTATGTTTATTCATTTCCTTACCCAATTGAGGATCATGGGGTCAATCCCATTGACCAAGAGCTCAAGCCTCCATGCCTCTTCCCTCCACAGGGACTCCTCCCTCAAGCTGGTGAAAGGGAAAGCATTGCTGCCCCAAATCCACATCATGTGGATGGCATTGGGGGAAACAACCCTACCTTGTGGATCAAGCACCACCAAGATAGCCTTGTTCCTGAAGTGCCACTTCTCCCTGATGTACCTAACCACCGCCTTCTCGATCACGCTAGGGTGGCTGACAGTGTACCAGGGCATCGTCGACTGCAAGGTCTCGAACTGCTTGTGCATCGCCTCAGTCCACACGATCGATGGGTCCACAATGGGGATCCAGATCACCTCGTACTGGCTGTCCAGCCTCGTCGTGTGGATCCTCGACTCGTTGTAGATCTGCTCGAGGATCGAGAGCTCGTCGTGGGAGATGTTGAGGTCTGAGATCAGGAGGAGGACATTCTTCCTCCTTAGCACCTCCAGGGTAACCTGTTTCAGAACATGTATCATTGCCTCCTGAATTGTTTCCTTTTTACCTATAGACAAAATTTAGAGGCCAAAAGGGGAAGAAACCTTTCTCTTGGTGGAACCATCAACTATTGGCATGGGGTCATCCCTTGCATGAATTAGGGCCTTCAGAATTTTCATGTTGTCAATGTGGGTCATTTCAAATAACTCCACCAGCATCCTGAATGTCTCCACATTCTTCTTGTCATCTATGATCAATGTTGGATATAGTTACGATCAAAATAATACGTACAAATTACAATCTAAAATGCAGGTGAGATCAAAATCTCATGTTCAAAAGATTTTATCATATAATCGAAACTCATTCGTAAAAGTGTAAGATTCTATAAGCAGTATCACCGATTTTAACTATCTTGAATGCTGTAGTCACTTCTTAGTATCTAATTAACTCATTTCCCTGTTTTCATCTAATGTATTGGTGTGCTCATGGTAAAGGGCCAAACCTATGAGTTGGTAGCAACTTCCCAATTGTTGCTTCAAATGGTCACAAATGTTGGTCAGCTTGTGCTCAAGAGAAGACAGCTCCCATGCGTCGGTTGTTGAAAGTGCATATCTATAAAACCAAGTCCAAATCAGTACACAAAAATTCCATGAAAACCCCTAGGTTATCTTTACGATGATGTATTCTAAATCGAAGTTAAGATGAATATCGGGCATTATATGTTGTCAGTTGAACCACGATAACACGATATTCAAACTATATCGCCTGATAAATAATTAAATACCCTTTGTGGATGCTATTCACAAAAATAAAACTCAAACCCGGGATCACATTATCATAGACAATCATGATAAATAATTAAATATCCTTTTCCAGCCTGCTGCTAGGTGTGTTCTGGTATGCTGTAATCTTCTTTTTAAAATTAATACTATTTCGCCATTATCAAAAAAAGAAACCAAAATGAACGAATATGCTAGAAACATTACTTACTCGTGTCCCATGGTAGTGAGAAGGGTGATCTGATTAGCACAAGCCACAACACTCCTAATGGTCCAATAAACAGCAGTTGGGATATGGGTCATGGCCTGGGTCAAAGCTGGCACATCCTCAGAGATGTAACTAGGTGGAAGCTCCTTGAACTGAACCATACACCTGGTCACCTCCACCATGGCCTTGATGAGCTTGTTGAGTGCATCGAACCTCGGCTTCAGCGGGCCAGAATTCTCCATGATCATGGGCAGCTGCCTCAGTGTGGCCATGGCCTTTGCAAGCTGGTTTGATGAGTAGATCTGTGCAAGGAGCCAGAACTCTCCATAGTGGAGTGCAAAAGCTGCTAGGGTTAGGACCAGCTTGGCATCCCATGGGAAGCTTGCTAGTGTCTCGAAGATGGCCACTGTTGTTGAGTGGGCATCTGCTCCTCCTAATGCCTTGTATGCAATCTGGAAATTTTTTGTATGTGAAGTTGGATCACAAAATTACTTTCATATGCAATTGACCAATTGGGGTGATCTACAGATTTGATCAAGAACACTATATAAGTAGCAGTAAAAGCTTTGAGCAGAGATTATCTAACTGTGAACCTCTTTAGAAACTCGATCAATGGTGTAAGAGAGTGCTTCCAGCATGCTAACTTGATTGATTTGGTATGCCTTGTCCTCTATCTCATTCTTAGCTTGGATTGGCTGCACACAACCACCAAAACCACATCTCAAATAGTTACTCATAAAGAACACTGAAAGTTTCTGCATCATGATTGTGGATTTTCAGAAAGTCTTACCGAGAGAGTGGTATCAACTTGCAGAGTTGCACGGTTGAGAATGTCTTCCACAAGGACCAGCAAAGGCTTGACATCAACTTCCCTGCCATCAGGTGCATGAGTGGCTGCAATCTGCTTCATCATCACATTGTCGTCGCTCATCATCATCATGTTGCCACCACCACGGTGCTGCTGTTGTTCTCCATAACCACCACCACCACCTCTCATTAGCTGCCTACTTGGAGGAGGCATGGGAGCTCTTGGAGGTGGGAGTGCTTTTTGAGGTGGGAGTGATCCTCTGAAATCCATGGTGATCAGCAAGAGAAAATTAGGCTGTTTTGATGAAGAGAAAGTAAGAATGAGTGAGTATGGTGATGATGCAAACTGGGTTTGTGGCTGCACTTTATAGCAGTGTTTGAGAAAGGAATAAAGTATAAAGCTTCTATTTTTGTGAATCAACTTCCTTGCTTCTATTGGAGTTAAAATAATCCGGAAGACATATTAAAGAGAAAGAGTGTTGCTTTTCTTATTGTCCCTTCCAAATCTGCTTTTCTTTTGCCTGTGTTTGGGATCTGGAGCAGTGTTTTGTAAAGTAGGTGGTTTCTATATAGTTTCCATTTATGGCGTAAAGGCTATGGTGGCTGGGGAGTTGCAGCTGGTTTTTTCTTTGCCTTTCACTAACTTGAGCTCCACTCTAAGTGAAAGCATGAGATTCATGTGGTTCGGCAAGTATGTCTACGCCTACAGAGTTACTAACCGCTTCCTTAGTGTATAGGATCGTTTATTGAGTTACCAATACGATATAGAGTTTCGTAGTTTATAGTATCATCGAAGACTCTTTATATAGAGCTCCAGAAAACTCATCAAAGATGAACTATCACATCATTACTCAACATTTTCAGTTAGTATAAACTGCCTGCGAACAAGGAAAGGGTGTAATAACCAGTGACTTCATCACCAAGAAAGTTATGAACCTTGGCCACCATTACAAGCTGAGGTTCCTGTTAACTTGGGAAGGAAGTAATTTACTTTATTTCTCCCAGACAATGCAGGGAACTTATGCATTATGCGCTTGTTTAACCTTTAAGTAAACTATCTGCAATTTCTTGTCAAATATGGATCATACTCAGTGCTATGGTAATAAGAGGTTCTTACTGACTGGTTACTGGGATGTATGGTTTGATTAGATACCTAAATGGTAACCAAAACTAGGAAGTTTGTGACAAAAGGTCACTAATTCAAGTTAAGTTTCTTTATAAGAAAGCGAGTACTCTGTCTAATGTGTTGTTAATTTGGCTGAGTCAGTATGTCCATGCCACTAAATTGTGCGATCGTAGGATTTCAGGTTTGTTTACAGGTTGGCAGAGTGGCTGCAAGGTGTGAGGTTATGTTGACTTGAATGCCAATGGAATGAACCAAACTAGATGGACTGAGTGTTTAGTTACGAAATACCCAATCTTGTTAGCATTCTCTTTAGATTTTCAGTTTGGTGATTGTTTTCAAACCCAAAACTTTCACATGGCATAAACTACACAAAGACAGGTGAAAAAAGAAGCTGAAAGATTGTTCTACCAAGTGAAACATGATCGAAGAAGGAACGCCCATATGTAACAGCATTGATCAACATCAAAGCACAAATGCTTTATTCATTAAACTCAGCTAGCTAGCCAACCCCACATAGTAGCCATTGGCAACGTCAAGAAGAAAATCTCGATAGAACAATAAATCATACTGATAAATTTTATTTAGTCCGAGTTTCTAAGAAGAAACTTCGGCATCAGCAACAATTGCAGGAGTCCTAGAACAACGATGACTCGTGAGGATTTCCCACATCATGGCAGCAGAGGAAAGTAGTGTACTTCTCCATTGTACGATGGCACTCGGGACACCTCATCGATTCAGGAATCCTCCCAGCAGTGTTAGGAAACTCGAACCTACAACAAGGGTAAGTCACCCCATGGATCTTCTTGTGGTGCTCATCGAACGACAAGTCAAACCCTTTAACAGGAATGTGCTCCTTCCACAGGTCATACTCGATCAGAGTGGTCAACACAGTGTTCCCATGTCCATTTGATATGATGTTTGAGCCATTGCTTAAAATGGCCCATCCTCCTTCCTTGTCGTAGCTCAACAGCTTCTTGATCTCTTGCATCATTGGATCATGATCGTCGATCTTCCCGAGCTGGATCTTGGAGAACAACATGCTTTCTAGTCGTGTCCAGAAGAACCATATCATGGTGAGGTCTTGCCAGAAGTAGCTCAGCTTCTCGACTGTGATAGTTGCTAGGACTCTCCTGATTGCCTCTCTTTTGCTGCTTTTCCCCACGTAGACCATTTCTAAGGGGATGCGTGCTGCTGAAGCAACTGCTCGGGCTGAGTTAGTGAACTTTCGTACCCATTCTACATCGTCCCCTCCATACAGGAAAATGTACTTCCCTTCCTTAATCTGAAACAAAATATGTGACGTATAAGTCATCTAGCTAGGGCGTGCTTTATTAACCCTAGGTTGTGATCCGAACTATAATTAAACTTTGATGAGATATTCAATCAAGGGACTAATAAACAGATAAAATAAAATAGCATCGTGCAGGAACTACAAATTCGTAGGTTTGTCTTTTTACCCAGTTGAGGATCATTGGATCAATTCCATCGACCAGAAGCTCGAGCTTCCATGCTTCAGTGTTCCACAGGTCTTCTTCCCTCCTGCTTGTGAAAGGAAACGCATTGCTTCCCCAAATCCACATCATGTGGATGGCATTGGGGCTGACTACCTTGCCTTGTGGATCAAGTACCACAAGGATGGGCTTGTTCCTGAAGTGCCACTGTTCCCTAACGAACTTAACCACCGCCTTCCGGATCAACGAAGGGTGGTGCACCGTGTACCATGGCATTGTGGATTGCAGGCTGTCGAACTTGGTTTGCATTGCGTCGGTCCACTGGATCGAAGGATCCACCAGAGGGACCCACACCACCTCATACTGGCTGTCCAGCCTTGTCGCATGAAGCCTCGACTCGTTGTAGATCTGCTCGAGGATCGCCAGCTCATCGTTTGAGATGTTGAGGTCTGATATCAGTAGGAGGACATTCTTCCTTCTCAGCACCTCAATGCTGACCTGTGTTATCAAACTCCAAAATTAAAAACTTGAAGTAAGCTCGATTTAACTGATGAAATTGAAAGACTGGTTAACTAACCCTTCTCTTTGTAGATCCATCAACAAGTGGCTGCATATCATCCTTGCTGTAAATCAAGGATTTCAGCACCTTCATGTTGTCAATGTGGATCATCTCAAACAGATCCACCAGCATTTTGTACTCTTCAAGGCTTCTCTTCTCATCTGCAACTCACAAAAATACATTATTGAGTTATACATGAAGGTTCATCGATTCTAATATCTAAGCTGATCCTTGCACACGAAGCAATCAAAAGAACCTATGTGTTGGTGACATGTAGCTAATTCCTTCCTCATATGCTCATGTATGTTGGTGAGCTTGTGCTCCAATGTGGACAGCTCCCATGACTCTGTAGTCGTGAGTGCATATCTAGGAAGCAAATTTCAAAGAGAGAGTCATTAAAACTTACTAATGACTTCCGAATTGAGGCGCCAAACAGGTAAGTTTTGAGGGTTCAGGAATTAGATGGATTGGATTTTGCCACCTTTAATTGTGAAACAAGAAATAATTTTGATGCCAAGTCACACAAAAATGAAAGCCATACTCATGTCCCATGGTGGTGAGCAGAGTGATCTGGTTCGCGCAAGCCACAATGGCTCTAACTGTCCAGTAGACAGCAGCAGGAACATGGGCCATGGCTGCAGACAATGCTGGCACGTCTTGCGAGATGTATGAAGGTGGAAGCTCCTTGAACTTAACCACACTCCTAGTGACCTCCAGGATGGCCTTGATGAGCTTGTTCAGAGCATCGAATCGAGGCTTCAATGGGCCAGAATGTTCCAGGATTGTGGGGAGTTGCTTCAGGATGGCCATGGATTTGGCAAGCTGGTTCGAGGAGTAGATCTGTGCAAGGAGCCAGAACTCTCCATAGTGGAGTGCAAATGCTGCTAAGGTCATCACTAGCTTAGCATCCCATTGGAAGCTTGTGAGTGTCTCGAGTATTGTCATGGTTGTGCCATGCGCATCTGCTCCTCCAAGTGCCTTGTAGGCTATCTGGAAATAAAGATTGCCGAGCGTACATAGCGTTTAGTCATCTAGGACATTATTTACTAAGTATGAGTCGAGCCAAGTAATGAATTTGGACAAAAATGGCATAGTACATGGACTTATTTGTTAAAAGTTGCAGTATATGGACAAGTGTTGTTTGTCAAATCAAACTGCAAATACCATTCATAACCCTACTTTGATATAGCTTCCTCTTAACTAACCTCACAAGAAATTCTGTCAATGACATAGGACAGAGCATCAAGCACTATGGAGTAGCTGATCTGGTGGTTCTTCTCCTCCATTTCTGCATGTGCTTGGCTAGCCTTTTTCCGACCCAAAAGAAACACAAATTGATTAGAAGACCATAGAAAGAAACACTCGTTCAAACTGCATTCGTATTCTTGAGAAGCTGTTAACTGATGGTAATATCATACCAGCAATGGCGGTTCAACCTGGAGGGTGGCGCGATTGAGGATGTCTTCAACTAAGTGAAGAAGTGGGGCCACATCGACTTCTCTGCCGTCTGGGGCATGAGTCGCCTGCACTTGCTTCATCATCACGCTATCGTCAGACATCGATAGCATCCCACCACGGTCACCCTTGATCAGCTGCATGTTAGCACCAGTAGCTGCTGCAAGTGACCTCAGAGACATGGTGGCAAAATGACCAAATGGAAAACAAAAGGATGAAGCTTTGGGAGGAAATGGGAAAATGTGGATGTGCCCACTAATGGAAACTCACTAGGATATTTATATCCAACAAAAGGATGGAATAAAGTTGTCTTCTTCAATCATTTTCCTTTCCTTCAGAGTTAACATAATCTTTCAGCACAAGATTGTACTTTGGATGTCCCTTTAGGCATCTTTTGGTAACTGCTAGCCATGGCTTTTGCAATTCAGCTTGGCTGCTAAAAGGGATAGCGTATGTCTACTCAACTGTACGAACAAGAATCAGACGGTTATAATACGTGCTGGACGCGAACGTATCCAACCACTCATTTTTTTCACCTCATCTTGAGCTCATCTTGGTTCAGTATGAAAGTTAGGAATATACAGTATCAAGCATGGATTACATACTTAATAGAGAGACAGAAGAAAAACAAAAAAAAAATTGTAAAACCATGTGAAGCATGCTGAACTGCCACTCCTGTTAGTGGCTTCCTTGCTTGATTCCTTCCGTAAATGTGTCCCAAGACTTGCTCTTTCTTTTTCCCAGAAAGAGTGAAGAGATGGAAAAAGTTCAAAATGAGATGCTTTTGCCCTTTATGGAGCTATCTTTTGAACATTCTTATTCAAGACCCCAGTAAGTGGCCCCTCAAAAAGGTTCTTCAAAATATATCATATCCATCCTTGTTGCCTCAAGTACTATAGACATATGACTAAACCTGGTACTAAGATTCCTAAACACTAGATTTCTGCTAATTGATTGATTATTATTATTAATAGTCAAGACAGTGAAAGAAGCCATACGACAATAACAAAGCTCAACAAGAAACCTTCCTTCAACCCACTAGGATGGAACAAGGGAAAAGCGTGAGGAAGATCATGATGTTATATGCTTTGCTTTTATTACAAACCTTAAAGCATCTCTCTCGAGGAAATAACTACTTTGTTCCCTCAAACAACATATCTCCTAATTAATTCCAAGACAAACTTTAAATCAATTTGTTCTTTTACAGGAAAATATCTCATCATAATTACACTTCAAAGTTCAAAGCTTAAATTATCTAGGGAGTCTTCCACCGAATGTGATCCACCAATTAGCTTATACATTTGAATATGCCTGCCGCAAACTGACTGATACATAATCATTTGCAGCTCCCAGCCTCTCACAATTTCCTTGGGGAAAACATATTTGCCAGAATTTGGCTCGAGTAATGAGTTGATACGTTAATCTAGTGCCACCAGCGATCTCGCTATGGGATCAACACGGGTGGCATTGTTTACGAGATTACCACCACATCAATCCATCAGCTGAGATCACAGGAAGCCATGATCTAACAGTGTCGGAAGCACTATTAGCTTACTGGTGATTGTCTGCAGGGCAACCAAATTCATGACCTAGATAGACCATTTGGTCAGAAACTCTATAAAATATGCATCAGGTCAGGTGACTCGTAATCATGAGGGGATGTGAGACCTGATACCAAACCCTCTTCTTTGGTGCTAAGAAGAGCATCTTTACTTGCATTGCTACTTCCTACAACAGGGGACAATTGGACATTGACCACTCATGAAGAAGAAGGAACTGTTCTTTGCTTCACACATTTATCTCAGAACCATATAGAAAAAGTGTGAAGTTTACTTAAGAATAGAGATTTGCTGTTTTCCCTCTGCTGGAGCTACAAGTGACACAAGTCATACTCTGTTGTATGGAAAATTAGTGATTGAAATGTGATTAGATTGCAAAAGACACACAATAGGAAAACAGAAGAAAGATAGACTTTAACTAATCCAACGAGATCCAATAGATAGATAATCCTAAAATCTTCCGCAACAGATTGAGATTCAGTTCATCACCCAAGAAAACATATGACTCCCTATTAAAATCTATCTCTCTACAAAAAATGAAGTAGCAATAAAAGGCTTTGATCACCGTCTTTTTTCCCCTGGCAAAATATGAGCCTTCCCCCAACCATTTCTGCTCCCTCTCAATATAAATGGGTGCAGTGACAGAAAGACATAACTGCAATAGTAGGATCCCAGTGCAAATTTCCTGCCCACATGAAAGTCGACTTCTTTATTACTATTATCATCATTGTTAACTCAACAAACCTTCTGAAACACATTAACCCAACCAACCTAACTAAGATGCACAAGGAGCACCGTAACAATCGTCTTAACACTAAATTCTTGCAAACGTTTTATTCAAAAGGGTCGAGAAACAAGAAAAGTTAAGGGTTGTGGTTGGATGTGATGAATTTGAAAGAAGTCGCATACGGGCAATCTAGGGGTAAAACTAAGTTAAAGGTGGGTCATTTTTTGCTAGCTTATGATCCTAATTGCCTCTCATAAATGTTGTGGTCCCAACATGATATAATGCGAGCAAAAAAAAAAAAACACAACAAGAAATCGTCAGTTTTCGGCTCCAACCTCACATAGGCTGCTAACTATGCATGATCAACTCAGGTGAACTCGATTAACTTTCTCTCAAGTTCAGTCCTACCTTTCAAGCAATCATCAAAATCATGTGGTTCAACAACATTCAAGCACTCATTTGCCGTGTTGCAAATCTCCATATCACATCTCAACATCCATGTTATACACAGCATCCATTCACCCCCTAAATCTAACAAAACTATCACATTCTGATCTTAACATCATCTAAACAGTCAACACTACCTCCTCTAAAAAGTGAAAGAAGGATACCTCCGGGCAGAAAACTAAAGCCTGGAGGAGGGGCCATATGGGCTTGGTAAGCCGTAGCTGCGGTACAATAATTCCAGCCTCTGGCTAGTGTGCTTATACACCCTTGAATGGCCCGATCGGACACTTGTAGCCCTGACTGCGCGAAAAGGCTTCCAACACGCGCTCGGAATCCTCGATTTCTTTCCATATCTCGGCGTTTTTGGCTGAACAAGCCGCTATCCGCTCCTTGTGGCTCCGTTTCTTCAGCGGTGCCACGGCTCCTAGCTTTTTCATTTCCACCATGGCTGAAATACCACCACCGATGATATCGCGTTGCGGGCTGTCTCCGGCGATGCAGCGACGTCTGTGATTTGTTTAGGGATTTGGCCTTTTGGGCGAAGGAAAGGAAGGAGCGAATGAAGAAGCCCGCGAGCGATAATGCAATCAGAATTTATAAGTTACCAATAGATACTAGAAGTGTTTGAAGTGTTCCGAAATGACCTCTCTTTCATCCATAGACTCCAAAAAAACTGCTCGGGTTTGAGCTCCCACAGTTTTTCAACCCAAAAATCCGTCCAGCTCAGTGATCAAGCCCAAAAACCAATTTCTGGTTCACCTTGTTTGATCGGGGTTAATCGTGTTTCGGTTCAGAGCTCAATCAACTGATGTTAACACAACTGATTGTATTGTTGTTTTAGTAAATTATAAAAAGGATAATAAGATTCGATGTCAGTACTATTCTGTAATTATTGACTATATCCATGGAGACTATTGTCGGAAGATTTCACTAAGTCCAATTTTCTATTTTTTGGCCGGTCGAATCTGGCAAGTGTGCCAGTATACTCTCCCTACTTAAGCTAGTAGCCAAAATTCAACGCTGGGAAAGACGGAGGCCGGAGCAACTAAAACACTAGTACACTACTCATCGAGGGAGAAGCCAACGATGATCGATCGATCGAGAAGCCATTTTTAAGCCTATAAAAAGCTTGGAAACTCATCTGAAAGAAAGCACTGAATGAGAAATATGAAATACAATGGGGTACTATTACTCCTCATATCCTTCTGCAGCCCCAATGATATTCATAATCACACTCCTCGTCGGGTTCCTGAGCGCGGCTACTTCCCATAAAAAGATCTGCAGCACCGTTCGGGTGGACGACCCGACGACGTTCTCCGGTTTCGTCGATCAAGCTCTCAAGATACTGGTGGTATTCACAAGTTACCCTCCGGTTCAGGGAAAACCCACCGGCCGTGTGGTAACCTTTCCTCCGATGTCGCCTCGCGGTGCAGTTGAAGGCCGGTCCACTTGTGAGGATGGCGTCATCGGTGCCGCTTGCAATCGTTGTCTTGCTCATCATGCGCGGCATTTGCAGAAATGCAAAAACTTTACTAGTGGAGGATCTGCCTATGAAGGTTTGTGTGACCTTGAATTCCATCAAATCTGAATACTCTGCCTCTGATCAATCTGATGTCAAAGCTTTGGAAATCATGAAAAGCCACGGTTGCTTACATCCAGCCTGATAATGCATACAACAACTAATACAAGCACATCATGTGGCGTTAATACAGACGTTCGTGATCTTATCTTTGCTCCATTATTTTGCTTACATTTATTTATTATCTTGTCCCTATGTTTTCTTTTCAAGCTTACAGTACACATACCATACATTACTTTTCAAGCTTGCTGTACACATAGCACGCTTTCCTTGCAAAATGACAAGAGCAGACTCTTTTTTGTCATGGTAATGGTTTGAGATGATACCACTTACCTCAGATAAAAAGCAGCAAAACTTCCAACTTGAATACATATGCCCTCTAGTAGGTGACTATCACTCATGAGATAACTATCTTACTCGAGAAGCATAATGTGCTATGGTGCTAGCCCGCTAAATTGATTCACTATCAGTGTGACAAATCGAAATAACTACCTGGTCTGGAAAATGATAATCTAACTCAAAATCACACTACTCTCTCTCGATCCACCGCTCGCTTCCATATACATGGGTGCCATTGGAGGAGGGCATAACTGCAAGTAGGCATCACACGATAGTTGACTTCTTTCATTACTATCATCATCATCATCATTTCAACAAACCTTAAGAAGCACAGCAAATGAACCAACCAACTATGATGCACGAGCAACCTAACAATCGTCTTAATGCTACATTCTCATTGTTTCAAAAGGGTCAACAAACAAGAAATAGGTCAGGTCCATGTGGCTGAATGTCGAAGAAAATGTTTCATTTGGGATAATCTATGGGTAAATTAGAAAAGGTAGATCATACTCTGCTAGAAGATTATCCTAATTGTCTATTTTCTGTTAAGTTAGTGGTGCGTGAGCAATTCAATCTCAACATGGTGTCATGCAAGTTCTAGACTTTACAACTTACAAGCAAGTAAAAGACATCCCACAAGAAGAAATCATCAGCTTTCGGCTCAATACCTCACACAACCCGCCAATTTGACCACGATCAACTCTCTCTTTAGGTTTAATTCCAAAACTCCCAATTCAATCTCACCATTTATGCAAATATCTCCAAATCCATTCACCCCCTAAATCTACAAAACAATCACATTCAAATCTTAAATCATCTACTACAGCACTTACGCTCAAAGTGGAAGAAGAGTACCTTAGCACAGAAACTAAGGTGTGGGATCGGCGGATGACTCCTCTGCCTTAGGGTTGATGCATGCGCCTGGAAGAAGCCCCAATTGGGAATGCTAACCCGAGGCTGCGGCACATGACTATCACCCTCTTCTCCGTGTGTTTCATTGCCCTCTGCAGTTCGGCCATTGCCATGTCTGTTTCGGCGATCGCCCTGTCTACGTCCACTATAGGGGCCGCCGGTAACGGAGGAAGCGCTCCCATGAAGGGCCCCAATGGGCACGTGTATCCCTGGCTTCGGGAAAAGGCTTCCAACACCCGCTCGGTCTCCTCAAATTTCTTCCACATCGCCGCGATTTGAGCTGAATTTGACGCTATTCGCTCTTTGTTGCTTCGTTTCTTCAGAGGGGCTACGGCACCCAACTTCGTCATTTTCCCCATGGCGGAAGTCACACTTGTGAGAGTGGTTCGCGGCGGTACTCGCTGGTGTGATGTCGGCCGGCTGTGTACTCGGCTGCGGCGGCGTGATTCGTAGGGAAAGCGTTGGGGCGGCGGCGGCGACGACGACGACTGATTTTAGGGATTTGAGGGGCAGCCGGGCAGGCGCGAAGATAGTTGGGAAAAGGGGAAAACGAGGGAACCGGAAAAAGCCGTTAATGCGACGTCGCTTTCTGCCCGACCAATGGCGGGAAGCGCGTGCAACGGTTTGGTTCGAGTGAACCGCTGCAAATTTGATATCATATAACATGTGGCAAAACCACATTTGGTTACCGAGATTACTCAATCGTGTCATGTTTAGTCACTAGAAAAATTTAATATTCATTTTGGTCACACGAATTACTGAAACACTCTCTTGTTAGCCTCCGTCCAACTCCGGTCATTCGAATTATTGAAACATGTCACATTTAGTCACTCTCCCATTAGTTTCCGTCCAACTCCATTAATCGAGTTGGACGGAAATTAACGAGAGAGTGATTAAATGTGGACTGTTTCAGTAATTCGAGTGACCAAAATTAATTTTAAAATTTTCTAGTGACTAAACATGACACAATTTAATAATCTCAGTGACCAAATATGGCATTTACCCTATAACATGGTTTCTTGATTTTGATATAGTATAATATGATTTGGTTCTCGATGCATATTTGGTCCAAAGTAGGGATATCTGCAGGGCTTGGGGTCCAGTAGGAGATAGAGTATAGGGTTGGATCATGAGCTATTTGACGTGGCTGGTTGGGTTTTAATTTTTCGGTTAAAATTGACTTATTAGGGATTCATATTAGCCACGCCAGCAAAAAAAACCGACTCCGTTAATAGAGATTGACTGAAGGTAGCGGACAGTGACCAAATTTTGACTATTGAAGTAATTTCAGTAACCATGAATTGAATAAAATACTTTAGTGACAAAACGTGAATTTTTTAGTAATTTTCAGTGACCAAACTTGGAAATTACCCTATTAATTGCGAACGAAAACGTAAAGATAGCCCAATTTTTGGCGGGGTTTAAGAGTTGGGTATGACTAATACACCCCTACCGAAAATCAAGGGGAAGACATGATTTTTTTAATACTAAAAGTTGGTAAAATTCCACAATCTTATATTCTATTGATGATTTAAAATTTTCATGCTGACCAAAAAGCTACTCGATTCAAACTCCGACCGAACTTTTACCGTAGATCGGAAACCACGATAAGGGTTACGTCAGACTGTGTTTCAAACTAAAAAACTATTCAACTCTACGATTAAGCTGAAAACCGATTTCATGTTGACCTCGTTTGATCATTGATATGCCTCATATAGGCAAATACGACAGGCTCGGCAGATACGGTGGGAGGATTCCCATTCAGTTCGTCATCCCATCTCTGCGGATTGATTGTCCCTACCGCTCAAGAATAACTAGTACAAGAGCTTGTGTATATTTGGAAACTTTTTATTTTATTGGACAAATTAGTTTCGGTTGAGACCTCGATCAAACGATGTCAACCCTTAATTTAATCGAGGCCAACCAAAATTGATTGAATAGATTGCTTTCTTGGTATAGAGTTTAGGGCGGTTCCTAGGGCCGCCAACAGTGGTGCCCATAGAGTGGCGCGTAAAGCACAGTTTTTGTCTTTCCTAAAGTTAGAGTCTTTTGACTTTTTAGGGTGGTTGCATTAGGGGTTCGTTTGTTAGGGATTCCTGGGTAGTTTGGTTTGTTTAACTCTTGTCTTCTCTTGATATCACTCGGAAATAAATAAAAATTGCTTTCTTGGTATGTAAAGAGTAATTATGTAATGTATGTATTAAATTACCGACAATGGTCGTCGGAAGATTTCACTAAGTTCAATTTATATTTCTTTGGCCGATGGAATCTGAGAAGAGTGTCAGTATACTCTTCCAAATTAAGCTAGTAGCCAAAAAATAACAAAGTTGGGAGAGAAGGGAGAAACTAAAACACTGCTCATCAAGGGAGAAGCCAACAATGATTGATCGATGGAGAAGCCATTTTTAGCCTATACAAGGTTGTCAATTTGGGGTTAGTGATGGCAATGGTCGGGGCGGGGCGGGTACCTCAATACTCATGCCCCGTTCCACGTTACTATGGGTCGGGTAGGTAATATCTGCGCGGGTACGGAGCGGGGCAGGTCGATCCACTCTTATATGCTATTTGAAAAAAAAAATATAAGCAAAATTTTACTTTTTACAATAAAACAAAGGGGAAAGACTTCATGAATGAATAATAGTGATAATATAATGGGTAATTGGGTCTATTTAATTGAAACATCAAGTCTAACTAGTTGAAAAAAAGCCAAAATAGGAGATATATGAATAGATGGTGTAAGAAATTGACCTAGAACGGACCAAGAACGGGGTGGGGCGGGGCAGTGCGGGTCAGAAGTTGATACCCATGCCCCGCCCCATGCTACTGCGGGCCCCATCGCGGGTCAGGTCGGGTAATACCCGGCGGGGCGTGTTCATATATTTACAGGTTGATTTGTTAGAAGGTTATCGGATTGGATGTCACACGCATAGTTTTATCTTTGCTTTGTGAAATGTGCTTCTTTTTCGGTTTTTCTCTTCGCCTAATTGTATTTTTGGAATTCTAAGTTGAACGTTTGAATATTGATGTTATATAAGTCCGTGTTTGTGTGTGAATTTTCACTATATATTGGATCAAAGTACGATATGTTATTTTTGTGTAATGTTATATGTTATTACTCATATGTTACATAAAATTTAAACAATATAATGACTTTTTTTTATATATTCTAGTTAAATCAGACTGAAGCGATCGAACCATTAACTCTCAACCACTTCGATCGAGCCAATGGACTAAACTGGATTGACAACCTTGAGCCTATAAAAAGCGTAGAAACTCATGTGAAAGAAAGCACTGATAAGACATATATGCAATGGTGTACTACTACTTCCCATATCCTTATGGAGCCCAGGTGATATTCGTAATCACACTCTTGGTCGGGTTCCGGAGCGTTACTTCCCATAAATCTCCGTCCTGCAGCACCGTTCGGGTGGCCCACCCGAAGAAGTTCTCCGATTTCGTAGATGAAGCTCTTAAGGTACTGGTGGTATTTACACGTTACCCTCCGCCTCCGGTTCAGGGAAAACCCACCGGCCGTGTTGTAATCTTTCCTCCGACGGCGCCTCGTGGTGCAGTGAAAGCCTTGTCCACTTGTCTGGTTGGCGTCACCGGTGCCGATTGTAATCGTTGTCTGGCTGATCTTGAGCTGCATTTGCTGAAATGCAAAACCTTTACTCGCGGAGAAGCTTTGCGTAAAGGTTGGTGCAGCCTTCGATTCCGTCAACTCTGAATACTCTGCCTCTGATGTCAAAGCTTGGAATCAAGCAACTATAGAAATCAAAGAAAATAATGTGAGAGTTGACAGTGGACCATGGCATCGCTTTTCATTCATGTATTAAGATCTGCATACAGTGCATTATAATCTCGAATGTAATATTGAAAGAGCTGTAGATGTATCATAATCACGCTTGATATATGTACGTGAAATTTCTCTCGGCATAAAGAGTTACAAAACCTACACATGGTAAGAGAAACGAGAAGAGATAGGCAGACGGGATATCCATCCAGACTCCAAACAATAAGAACACGAGAAACGATATACCCATGTGAAGGTGATCACTCCACATCAAACACAGTAAAACTTAATACAACGATGACACAAAACGAGAAAGTACAGACACAGACTCTTTCATCCAGATTTCTATAGCTAAATCCAAAGGTCAATCACCCGTCGGAATCAAAGTTCATGTGTCATGGAGGAGAGCCCAGCTGGGAGTGGTAACCCGTAGATGCGAGACATCGATTCGACCCTCTCCACGGTGATCTTAAAGGCCATCTTTAGTTCCGCCATTGCCCTCTGCATTTCGAGGATTGTAGCCAGTGGATCCACCATTGTGCCTGCCACGGCAGACAACGGCAGTGGAGGCAGCCCTCCCTTGAAGGCTTCCAACTTCAATTCGGCCGCCCTGAAACTGCTACATAACTCGGCGAGATGAATTGACACAGTGGCTACTTGCTCTGGATAGGACTGTTTCTTCCTCTTCTTCTGTGGTGCCACTGTGGCTGGCGCCCTCTGCATCTTGCCCATGGCGAACAATCAACAGGCAAGACAATGGTAGAAGCAGCGGCGATCTTGTGATGATGGGCGGCTTTGGGACTTAGGAGACGGATTTATAGGAAGCCTGATAATGCATACAACTAATACAAGCAGATCATGTGGAGTTAATGCAGAAGATCGTGATCTTATCTTTGGTCCACTATTTTGCTTACATTTATTATTCTTGTCCCTATGTTTGTTTCTTTTCAAGCTCACTGTACACATACCACGCCTTACTTCTCAAGCTGCTGTACACATATCACGCCTTTATTGCAAATTGATATGAGCAGACTCTGTCCCTTCGCAGACATCCGATATGAGCAGACTCTGTTTTGCTATGAGAATGGCTTGAGACGAAACCACTTAAACTCAGGTGAAAAGCAGTAAAATTTCCAACTTGAACACGTATACCTTTTGATATTGTGGCTAGTTTCTTCTCCTTCAGTGCTGCTTCTAGGGGAGTTAATACAGCAAGATCATGATCTTAACTTTCGTCCATGATTTTCCTAACCTTTATGATTCTTGTCCCTATGGTTTCTCGTCAAGCTTACTGTATACAAACTAGGCCTTTCTTTTCGAGCTTTGCTGTACACATACTCACCCCTTCCTTGCAAATTGGATAAGAGCAGAGACACTCTGCTGTGCAATGACGATGGCTAGAGACGACACCACTTAATTCAGGTGAAAAGCAGTAACTTCCAACTCGAACGAATATACCCTCTACTTCCATACTACCATTAATGAGAGAACTAACCGTGTAAAGGTCGAATTAACTAACTTCCTCAATCACTTCACTCTCACTTGGGTCGACAAATGTGACAATTGTAAGGGTGCTCAGCTGCCAGGATTTCTCTCGATGTATTAGCCAAGAAAACCGCAATTTTGATGTGAAAGTGGTCAATCAACGCAAAGCATTATGAATTCTACACATAAATAGGAAAACAGAGCATAGATAGACCTATCCGTTGCTACATTGCCCAAAGTCCTAGAAAATTGAGATTTAGTTTATCATCCAAGGGAACATAATTTATCTATATTAAACAGCTATCTTACAGGAAATAAAGGAGAAAATAAAGTTTCTTCTTATCCCCTTTCCAATCTTCCCCAGAAGATATGAGCCTTCCCCAGCCTTTTGTCCTTCCTCCTCTAAACTTCCACAATTGCCAGGAATGCAGGGGGCAGAGGATACAACTGCAACAGTAGCAGCCACTGCACTACATGAAAGCTGACTTCTCTGTTGTTGTTACCACTATCATTATCTCAATAAACCTTCAGCAGCATGTCAAATTAACAACCAATAAAGATGCACGGCAACTCTAACCTTAATGATTGATCAAATTAATCGACCTAAAACTACATGCTTGTGAAGATAGATTCCGAATGGTCAATACACTTACGGGGTATGCAGTTGAATGTGATGAATTCGGAAGAAAGTGTAAGGCTCAAAAGGGAATAACAGCCATACCATATAGTTACATGGTGATCCTAATTGCCCCTATCAGCTTTAACTGCCTAATACTACCTCAGGTATAGAATCATGCAAGTTCTGGACTTACAATGCAAGCAATACTGCCCCACAAGAAATCATCAGTTTTAAGATCGAAATCTCACATTATTCTGCTGCTGTTCAGTATCATGCAAGTTCTAGTTTACAAGGCAAACCAAACCAGCACGGCACAGAACAAGAAATCATCAAATCTTTTGGCTCAAAATCTCACATTAGGCTGCTGCTATTCTCTTGAGTTCGAGAACAGCTCACCTTTGATCCCCACAATTCATGCAACCATCAAACACAAATGGCTCTACTTTCAAGCATTCATTCTCATATTGCATCCACCCCTAAATCTACAATGTCTCACATTCCAATCTTAAGATCATCTAGACATTCAACAACAACTAACAATCCCTATACACTACAGCTGAAAGTAAAAGAGAAAGAAAACTACCTCGTGAAGAGCAACTAAGCCCTGGGCGCCACTGGGCGTGCGCAGCCATTGATGCGGCACAAGGCTTCCAATCTCCTCTCCATGTGCTCCAAAGCCCTCTCCATTTCCGACACGGAATCATGCGTAGCCACTAGCGCGGCCGGAGATGGATAAACCACCGCCCGTCTGAATGGCCCGATTGGGCATACGTAGCCCAGACTGCGGGACAAGGCTTCCAACCTGCCCTCGGTACGCTCGTATGACCTCCATATCGCGGCGAGTGAAGCCGATGCAGCAGCTATCGATTTCGATTCCGGAATCGTTCGTTTCTCATCTGTATCCGTCGTCCTCGCGCGTTTCTTCAGAGGCGCCACGCCTCCTGCCTTCCTGATCAGACCCATCGCTGAAATACACCGACTTTTTTTCCAGGCGAAAACAAAATTGGAAACCAGTCTCCAGCTGATTCAAGTCCCGGTATCGTGGGCGAAAGCGCGATACGAAATGGGACCGGCGATGAGTTGGCGCCGTGTGATTTTAGGGTTTGCGGGGAAGGAGCTATCGAGGAACAAGAGAGATTGGGAAGAAAGCGAAGCCCGATAATCCGTTTTTCAGGGATATTCTTTTTTTTATTTTTTTTTATTTTGCCACGTTGGGTTTTTTGGCGGGATGGGGTGCGGGTGGTCTTTTCCTTTCCCGCCATAATTCCAACTCCATACCCAGTTTTCCGTGTAAGCAGCAGAAATGGTCACTAAGCCATGAACCATGATGAATGTAACAAATTGGTTACTAGAATTTACAGAAGTAAAAGTTGATAATTTACTTTTATTTCATACAAAAAAAATTATTGTAACATAAAAAAATAATATTATATTGATAGAATGATTGTCCCACCAAAATATGATATTGTCTAGTACAGTTTCACAAACAATACTTTCAATACGATTAATTCCATTCAAAATACCGGTTTGACATGAATTTATACTTTAATGATGGTTTTATCACGATTCTACGGTTAATCAGTGAACCAGCAGTCTTATCTATATTCAATCTCAGACAGTACAGTTTCACAAACATGACCATACAATCAGTTACAACTTTGATGATGAACTCAATAACAGTACCTTTGACACCAGCAATTTACATGAAAAACAGACTCATATTTGCATAAGATCGCGCACCATACATCAAACAAGAGCTAAGTTAGTACTATGCCCCGCACTGTTTACTCATCGCAGCACTGATACATAATGAACTTCTCCATAGCCCGGCCACACTCCGAGCACACCACCCTCTCCGGCGCATTTGCTGCAGCGCCAGGAAGCACGAGACGGTTGCAGTGGTGCGGGCTGTGGAGCTCCATGAGGTGCTGCTTAAGTGCTGGGAGGAAACCTGTTTCTTTAACTTGCTTCTCCCACGATGAGAACTCGGTCAAGCATGTCAAAAATGTGCTTCCTTTGGCTCTGACCAAGTCTCCTCCTGATCCTCTGCTGAGAATGGCCCATCCATCATCACTGCCGTCGTAGCTAAGCAATGTCATGATCTCTTGCATTATGGGGTCGTTGTCGACCGTTTTATGGAGCTGGTTCTTCGAGTGCCACATGCTCTCGATCCGAACCCAGAAGTACCATACCAGGGTCAAGTCCTGCCAGCAGTGGCTCATGTTAGCTGCTGTTATGGCCGCTATGTTCTTACGAACTCGCTCTTTTGGGTTGCTTTTGCCCACATAGACCATCTCCAGGGGGATGCCTGCTGCGTTCCCCACTGCATGTAGCACGCTGGTGAATTTACGGATCCAATCTGTATCCTCGCCTCCATATAGGCAAATGTACTTATCTTCAGACATCTGTAGATGAGAAGATACAAGGAGATTGGGTTTAGGACATTGTTAATTTGCAGTATGGGTCGGATTTGTAGAAGATTGGAAATAAGTCGATAACAATATCACGGTGAATCAAAGAGAACATACCCATTGCACGATTGTCGGATCAATGCCGTCTACCAACAACTCGAGCCTCCAACTCTCTTCCTTCCACAGGGCTTCCTCCCTAGCAATGGTGAAAGGGAAAGCTGCACTCCCCCAGATCCACATCATGTGCAGTGCATTTGGGCTCATGACCTTTACTTGAGGATCTAGCACGACGAGAATAGTCTTCTCCCCGAAGTTCCATTCTTCTTTCACAAACTTGATCGCTGCAGGGTCGATAATCGATGGATGGTACACTGAATACCAAGGCATGGTTGCCTGCAGGCTCTCAAACTGCTTCTGCTTACCGTCGGTCCATGGGACAGAAGGGTCGAGGATCGGGAGCCACACAACCTCATACTGAATGTCATGCCTCGTTGGATCGATCCGAGCTTCATTGTATATCTGCTCGAGGATAGCGATCTCCTCTTGCAGGATGTCCAGGCCTGATATGAGAAGCAGCACCATTTTTCTCCGTAGGACATCCAAATGAGCCTGCCATTGTCAACCACAAGGATAACTTCTATTGGAGATTTAGCCTTTAAGGAAGAAAAACTCACTATATTTACTGATTCAATGAGGATTCATCCTGGGTAGCAGGCCTATTTACAGTATAATCCTATAGGACGATATGTCCATGACAAGATATCAGGATTCATAAGCCTATAAGGTTAGCATAATTATCACTCAATTATTACAGAGGCTGCAAATAGAATTGACAAAATTGAAATCAGAGAAAGAGAATCAGAGAGAACCCTCTTCTTGGTGGCACCATCGACAAGAGGCTGCAGATCATCCTTTGCATAAATCAATGCCTTGAGAACCTTCATGTTATCGATTTGTGTCGTCTCAAACAAACGGATAAGGCTCTGATAAGACTCCATGAATTTCTTTTCATCTGAATCATATGGTGACACCTCCATAATCAGTGCTTCTTATTCTAACTTCCATGGTAGATAAAATGTAACAGAGAAAAGCTTACCAATGTGCTTATAGCAAGTCCCCAGTTGAGCTTCGAGGTGGCTGCACATGTTGCTGAGTTTGTGACCCAAGCTTGACAGCTCCCAGGCTTCTGTGGTTGCCGCTAAGTGTCTGTAACCAAAAAGAATGAGATCAAATACTCCTCAAAATTCCTGTACTATCATCCGACAGGAACTTATAACTTCGAGCAACAGCTCGTACTGCCAAAGCATAGGCTTCGTAGATTGAATGTACTTACCCATGCCCTAGGCCTACGAGGCCAGTGATCTGTGATGCACAAGCCACAACACTTCGAGCTGTCCAGTAGACAGCAATGGGTATATGAGACAAAGCCGTGGATAGTGCTTCAACATCAGAAGTAATATACTGAGACGGCAGCTCCTTAAACTTAATGACACACTTGCCAACGTCCAGCATTGTTTTTATGACACTTCTCACAGCATCGAATCTCGGTTTCTGTGCATTTGAAAGCTCTAAGATCTCAGGCAACTGCTTGAGGATCGCCACTGCTTTCGCTAGCTGATTCGAGGAGTAGTTCTGTGCGATGAGCCAGAACTCTCCATAGTTCATGCCAAAAGCTGCTAATACTATCACCAACTTTGCATCCCATGAGAAGTGGGCAAGCATGTTCAGTATCGTCATTGCAGAACCATGTGCATCCTCACTTCCCGAGCATTTGCAGGCAATCTGTGGTGATAGCAGAACTAAATTAATGAAAGATAAACAATCAATCAAGATCGCCAAGGCCAAAATATTCAATCACAACCATCATAGCAAACCTCTGTAGCAACTCGATCAATCACAAAGGCCAAAGATTCAAGAGCATCCCTCATGCTGGCTTGCAGAGCTTGGTCCTCCAAGGCTTCACCATGAACTGGAGTGCCCTACGATCAAAACCCGCAACTAAATCATTAAAAAGGAGCACCAATGCAAAGGAAACTACAATGCAAGCAGCAGCAGCTCAACACAAAGGAATTAACATCACAACCATTACCGGGCTAGCAACTGGCCCGAGAGTTGGGTCAGCATGAACAAAGATGTCCTCAACTACACGGAGTATAGGTTTGACATCGATCTCCTGCCCATCTGGAGCATGAGCAGCTTCAAGCTGCTTCATCACCGCAACATCATCGGAGCTCGAGTACATCAGGCGGCCGCCCTTGGCCGGTTTCTGCATTCTGACTGGCGCTCTTCTGAACGACATTCTTCAACAGTAAGGGCAGAGAATGAGCAAAAGAAACAGTCGTTTAGGGCTTTTCTAACTCAATATATCCCAGCCCCTATATAATCACAATCAGAAAAGCGGAATCAACTACCTTTCTTGCGGCCTAGTTTTAGTATCATATTAGCTACAGACCGAAGCATTGTCTCTTTTCCTGTTCCAGCCCTGAAAATTGCTCCTCGATAAGGGAAGAGAATTTTGAACTGAATCTCGCCTTTGCGTCCCTTGAACAGGGTTTTCCCCCGTTCTGCGTTCTTGAAGGAATCCATGAAAGCTGGGAAGAGTAGACAAATAAGAGAGGAAAGTATAGATTTTGATACTTGCTTGCTCTCTGTTTCTCTTTCTGTAGCTTCAATGGGGTTCCGGCGCAACAGTCGCCCATTTTGGTGGACGTGGCCACAAACTTGTGCTAGCGCGCGCCGTTGCGTTGGAAGACGGAATAACTCCCGTCATGGAATTGGATAAAACGGAAAAGGGGGAAAACGGTGCGTTTAAGACTTTACCGGTAACTTGCTAATTTTGGGGCGGAACTTTGTATTTCCGTTTCGCTTCTACAGATTTTGGCTGACCTCACTGCTCATTTCTTTTGCTCCCTTGTTCCGGTTTTCTCCCGCCATCTTCCACGGCACCGACTGGGCATCTAACGCTTCTTCTCGCCGTCCGACAAGCTCCCCGGCCAGGTCGTTCATCCTCTTCCTCTGCGTAATTGTGAATCTTGTTTTTTCCTTCTTCATCTGCTTATCAGGCATAAGCATTGTCATAAGGGAAAAATTGCTTCCGGAATCCGAGCAGACGGTGACGAATTCTAGGGTTTTTTTGTATTTGATGTGCTTTTCGAGAATCGGAGATGGCGGCTGCCGTTATGCTCCTTTTAGGATCGAATGCGCGTCGTTTATAAAAAATCGTTCTTCGAAAAGAACAAAACAGCGTTTTTTTTCCTTTGTCTCGGCGCCAAAAATTGCGCGGCTATGGCGCCAGGACCGGTTTCATGTGCCGGAGAATCGGAAGGGCTGGGGATAATTTGAGATTAACGGAGTTGGAGAAATTCTCTGAGCATCAGTGACTATTTTTCTGGACCGATGATTTTTGTTTTGTTTTCCTTTTCTTGATTGATGATTTGTGTAGTGGCTGTTGTTTCAGGATGAAAGAAACTCCAGTGAGTCGGGAGGATGCACAGACCAAAGAGGGGCCAGACTACTTTGCTTACTATGCATCTCAAGTTAAGGAGTTGATCTCACAAGAGATAGATTTCCCTTTATCAACCATTGAATCAACTGGAACTAGGACTGGCGAGGGGGTAGACCATGATGTGGTTGAGCAGCGTGGCTTCAGTGGTTCACGTTCGTTGTTCAGCAACAGCATAGGAGCTGGAGTTTCAGAGTACAAGAAGGAGAGGTTAAATGCATTGCTTCCACAGGCTGCAAGCGCTCTTAAACCCGAAGTGGATGAGGTATGGCAACCAATTGGAACGGTTTAATTTGCTACACTTTTCGCTAAGGTTCAATCTTCTTTCCCTTATGCTGTCAACTGTAGTGGATAACAGAAGGATGTGTCCCATGGTGTGCAGTGTCAATTGTCATTTTGATACTTTGCTGCTCAAGAGTCAGGATCGTCTTCCTCTCTTTCCATACAATAAGTTCAGTACAGAATTGAAGCATAAAGCATTGATCTGATACTTGAACTGTGAATATTGTAAATATCACTGTGAGTGTATGTGTGTCTGTTGGTATAGTCAGAAAGTAGCATGACTTGAACCCGAAAATATCTCATGTCAGTGTATTGAAAGTTTCTATTTCTTTACTTTCTTGCTTTTCTCTGAGCACTGCCTAGTTTATATGTACTTGCATTCAATATAAACTGAACCGTATTGGTATGCGGATCTACCCAGATGCTCGATCCTGTTATTTCGATGCGTCAGTTACAAGAGAAACTGTGGAACAGAGATTCTGCTGCAGGAAAGGAAGGCACAAAATCTGATGGAGAAGAGATTGCTGACAACATGCCTCAGGTCTCATCTTCATCTTCAAGCAGTATCACTGCACTTGTGTGTCCTTTCGATTCTAGGTCCTCTGAAGAGGTTTATCTTTCTTAACATTTCATATATTCATATTCTTTTCTCTAAAAGTAATTTTAGTATTGTTTATCTTGAGATGGGATCAGTTAACATATCTTTTCTGTGTTAGAGAACTCTGATACGTTATCTAGAAGGAGCAAAAGGTCATTGTATATCCACTGAACTGGTTCCTGTATTTCTTGTTTTAGTAAAGACTGTTCCATGGGCAATCAAGATTGCCTTGGTCTTTTTCGAAGATGGAGCTATTTGAGGCCATGAAGTTTCAGATTCTTTGTTTGCATTTGTTGTTTAGGCCATATCCATCCATATCTGTCTGCTTTAGATGTTTGTGTCTCCTGACCCATCGATGAATGGGCCAACCATTTTACAGGGGGATGATGATCTGGAATTCCTACTTGGGACTGACAGCACTCTGGTTGAAGAGAGTATAAAGAAGTATTCTGATGAATTATTGTCAACTGTAAGTTCTACAAAAGTTTGGCTTCTCTGCCATCTAGGCCATCCTTCGTCGACCTGTGGCTTAATGTCAGTATAACTGGATAAGTTTCATACTCCAATTGCTGATAACAGATAGCTGAAACTGACTTGTTCTCAGCTAGCCCACATGGAGAAAAAACTCGAAGAACTTCTCGACTCTGTAGCTTCTACTTGCAGGTATCTTCGTTCATGCTACTTGCTACACATAAAATTAGATTGCTTCCTTTCTTATTGTCAAAATTATATGAGCAAGTTCAGAATCAAATATAGAGAACATAGCTTCACAATCTAGATTTTGATCACATTGTCTGAAGTTCGCAACTTGAATCTTATATAGACCCATGACCAGCACAGAGAAGCAGCAGCTTCAAAGGATGATCCGGAACCTGCCACCAGCAAATTTTGATCGCATAGCTGATATTGTCCAGCGCCACAAGCCGATAGAAGCACAGCAATGTGAAGAAATCGTTGTTAACATGGAGCAGGAGGTAAGTAAGAAGTTATAGCTGCTAAATGACGTTATATTCTTTTGTCAGAATGGTATTGACACTTCTCCTTTCTTTCCAGGATAATACTACACTCTGGAGGTTGTATTACTATGTTCAAGTAGTGGAGCGCGCTAAGAAACTCGTACCATAAGCAGCTGTTATTGTCTTCCCGCTAGCTGAGAATCCTTTTGAGAGTGTCCAATTCTTGACTGTTCATAACTTGATAAATAGGTATGATAAAATTTGAAACTATTTCTGGGAGGTTGCTGAAAGCCATTTCTCATATTTCCTTTGCGTCATTGCATTCTTGTTTGTGACATCTTACTGGAGATCAAACTAGAGACCAACGGTTCAATATGTAATGCCAAAACCATGCCGAACCATATAATAGCGTTACAAAACTATGACATATATCTAACAGTCGGTTTATTCATAAACAGGTTTGAAATTCTTGTAAGCAATGACAGCATAGAAGGGATCTTTTGACGAACCAGACAACAATTCGAGCAACCCCGTGTACCATGGCCTCTCTCTGTCTTCTCCTCCCTTCCTGCCACCAGGCGATCTCCTGACGACCTCAGCCTCAGTGAATCCTACCACAGACTGGAAATACTGTACCACGAGCTGCACTCTGCTGTAGTCACTGCCATCTCTCCACGAAGTAATAGCCTTTTCATAGAACATTCGATTGCTGAAACTCACTATGAACACTCCTCCTGGTCTCAGCACTCTGAACACTTCAGCAAAAACCTGAAAACGTATTCATACACAAGAGAGAGATGTGTTGAGTGCAGTTTTGGTGGCTAATTTTAGTAGCATCTTTAGTCATTGATCAGACATTATTTCTTCGTCTTATTTTCCTGTGCCCCAAATATAGTCGTCATTGGAGTGTAATCATGTATATGCACACAGGGTTAATACTGATTTCGTCGTTGATCTTGCATATGTCAGTTCAGCTTTCGATGTCACACACACGACCGAATATATTCAAGTATCTACCTGCTCTGGATACTGCAGATATTGGACGCTGACAGTGCACAAAACGGCATCAAAGCTCGAGCTCTCGAGCTCGAGCTTCTGGTCCCGATTAAGATCCTTTACGAAGAAGTAATCCAGCCGAGGATTCCTGGCAAGCTCCTGGCCGTTAAGCCCGTGACCTACCACTCTCTTGAACTCCATTTCTTCTGGCAGATGGCTGACCCACGAGCTCATCAGGTCAAGAACCTCCGACCCGGATTGCAGCTTCCGCCTGTAGAGCTCCGTCAGCGCCGAGATGAACCCACCATCGACGTGAGTGACGAACCTCGGGTAGGCGTAGAAGTCCCTGTCCGATCTCAGGTCGAGCTTACCCCGCCCCTGCTGGGTCAGAACCTGGCGCCTGATTTTGCCCGGTTGAGACCTGTTGTCGTCCTCTTCGCTTGCATTCGTGGTGGAGGCTGAAGCTCTCGGAAATTTCAGCCGTGGAGGGGTGTTTTTGTGGGCAATGGCCGTCGGCAGCGGCGACGGTGGCTGCCATGGGCGGAGCATTTTTTTGGTGGGAATTGAGTTCCCGGGAGAATTGTGTGATGGGAAACTGATAACAGTTGAGCGGCGGTTAGAGGATGGGGCCACAGGCCCAACTAGTGATGGGCTTTTATGGCGGGCCGGGTACGAGTTCGGGCCCATGAACTGGATCCATTTTGTTCGAATATTTCTTCTTTTTCTCTCCTTTCGCCACCTTTGATCTGCCACTGCAAAAAAGCTGCAATCTTTGGACTTTTTTACGCGCGCCATTATCAGATTCTCCCCCAAATTACTTTCATTTTCCAATTGATTCGTAGCTCTCTTTAGTTCAATTTGTGCCTTCCTTACTGATCTTCCATCAGCTACAGTTGTTTCTCCAGGTTTGTTTCAGTGAATGATTTTAGAAAAATTCTGTATTTTTCCGCTGGTTTGTTCTTCGGATTGTGTAATTCTTCTCTCATTTGTCGATTTAGGGTACTGGGTTTTATTCTCCCTTCTGTTTTCTGGTGGAGGGTGGAAGAATTTGTGTTTTGGGCTTTTCTAGAACTGCGCCAAATCTTCACCTCCAACTTTTGGTGATGGCTGACATGCCTAGCAGAGCATTGGTGTTGTACGGTGATGGATTGGCTAATTTTGTTGATTCATCTCACGTCCATCTCCACTCGCTTGCATCTAAAGCTTCTTGTGGCTTCCTGAGCCTCCCTAATGCCCCTCCATCAGGTTCAATTTCACTCGACCCTTCCATTTTTATTTTTATTTTGGTTTGTCATCCCCTGCTGATGAAGGAATTTCTGTATTCATGACATTAGATAGGGGACTTGAAATTTCTGTATTTGTTGCGTGCATTGCGCTTCATTTGATTTTTCAAAGATCGAAAATTTCTAATTTCATGGTGGGAACATAGATTTGGAGATTCGAATGTACTGGTTTGCGTTCTGGTTAAAGCTATTGGTATTGTAACTGTGAGACTTTTCTGGTATTGGGAGTGCAGAAACTGAGGATGAGAGGATAGTTAGGGAATTCGCTTTGCTTATGGACTCTTGGGATGCTGCTTACAAGGGCACGGTATGATCTCTGGTCTTGGAATTCTGTCACTTCAATGCTGCAAAGGGTTTAGTAACAAATTGTTGGTTTTTTCTTTCAGAATAACGCCTCAACTCCATCCATTTCAGATAGGTATCGTAGCATTCGATTTACAATTTCCAAGTCATATCAAAATATTTAATACTAAATCATGTCAAAAATACCCGTGTTTGCCTCTTGCTCTTCAGGTTCATGGAAATGAAGGCTGCCATAGTTACCAAGAACCCTTCTTTGAAATCTTTTGGTGTTAAACTTGGCTTCACTATACTGCCATCGGATGAAGTTTCGTCGGATTCTATGGGTTTAGAGTTGATGAAGCTGCTGGGGTTTCAACAAGGAAATGTGGTAGACACTAATCAATTTGATCTAGTGTTTGTGCACATGGGTGCCGGGGAAAGAGAGGGTGGTGATAAAGACGATTTTGGTGCCAAGACTGTTGCTTTCATTGATTCTCTAGTTGCTGCAATAATGAATGCAGCACAACCTGGTTCAGCAATTGGCTCGCGTCTACACTTGTCACTTGTGATGAGCTATGGATCCGTCTCGGAGATCAACAGTGCTGAAACTTCGGTTTTGATTTCGAATAATGATCCCAAGCTTTTGGGGCTTTTTCCTCGACAGAGTTACACCATGAGAGGGGAACAACCCCGACCTGATGTCAGGTACGAACATGGAAGTTTAAAACACGTCTGACAGATTTTTCTAGTTTCTTGCCCTTGTGAGTTAATCATTATATTTTATCTAATCTGCATTCATTAGGCACAACGGCCCAATGTTAGTTGCTCAATTGCAATATGCTGTGACCCGAATGGACAAAGCGCAAGTGTTTGCTTTTAAAGATTTCAAAGAGGTATGTCTGCTGTTACTTTGGTTTTAGAACGTTACTTGATTATCTGTTTCCAGCTTTCCTTATTGCTCAACATTGCATTGCCTCTTAGCTTTTGGATTGCCTTAGGTTTGTTAGAATGGCTAGTGTCCTGTATGTAAACGTCATGGCTTCATTTTGCAAGTTCATTTTCCAAACTAGTGCTGCGTGCATGCACTCTGGCATAGTCCTCGTTTGGGGGTGTCTAAGCATATGAATGTCCCATGTTTAAGCTTGATGTTTCTTTGTTTTGCAGCATGGTGGAAACCTCGTAATACCAGCTGATCGGTTTCTCCATGAAGTTGCATTTAAGCTGTGGAAGGCTCCAAAATATGGAGCTTGATCTGGGCTTCCCCTCCCAATTCCAGTTGTTAGTCATATATATGACATCCCCAGTGCCCTTAAGGCCTTAACATAAGGATCTTAGTTTAGATATGCTGTACTTTATTTGGTCATTTGCTGATGCATCCTGTTCTTGTAACCAATAACTGCTCACAGAGTTCAAAATAAGAAATACTAGCAAAGACCCGCTCGCTACGCTTCGCGCAAATGAAAAATCGATATAATATTAAGGCAATTCGAACAAAGCCAAATCAGTTGGCCTCTAAGAGTAGCCAAGTCGTAAAGACAATAATTAAGAAAAAAAGAAAGGTGAATACTAATTTCAAAGTGGAAAGCAAACTGAAAGAAACTTTGTTGGATGAGATGTCACTTAAATAGATATCAAATAATAAAGTAGACATAATAGTTTCTCAACAGCAGAATGGCTGGTAAAAATGAAGCAATCTGAGAAAAGGAACACATGCTATTAGAAGATGCATATAATCTGTCTTTCCAATTTTGTTATGGCGATGGCCTTGCCATGGAATCGCTCAGAGGCTAAATGAAGATTGTCTTTTGGTGCTTGAATCGTTTCTCTGACCGTCTTAAGCAAAGTAGTGGAGAGAAAAGCCATCGGAACTGGATTTTCTTCAACTGAGTCGGCGACACAGCAACAATGGTTCCCACAATTTACCTTTACCTCCAAATCACAAGGAAACTTCCTTTCACCAACTGTGGATCTCTAATCACAATCCCTTGCAACACATTGTGACTGTATTTAAAAAAGATCTTGTTAATCACTTCAATTCCCCTAACCCTTATTCACTCTACATTATGACCATTGAGCCGGCTAGTGGAATCAGATGAGTCTTGTGTATGGACTTTTAAACTAAAAATTATAAAAAAAAAATAGTCCTCACAGAATCCAAAGTATCTCATTCTCTATACTGAAATCATAATCATGCATAGTAAGTCACTAAAAATCAGTGCTGTAAAGATGACAAAGAAGGTCAAAACTCAAATGACCAAAAGGCATAGACATAGATGGAAGGAACAACTTACACTTGATGTTACTAAACCTGGATTGCAATTCCATGAATCTTGGATTAATTCCAGAAGCAAAAAAAAAAAAAAAACTCAAATCACATGGCTAGATGAACTCAACCCTACAATTTAATGCCGAGAGAAAAGCGACAGTACAATAAGCAGCATAGATGTGGTACCAAATAAACATTTTCTGCCCTGGAAACCTGAAAGGCATGAAAAAATAGTAAAGAATCAAAGGCAGCAGAACACCAATATGTATCTCAAACCAAGGAGGTCGTGCTTTGGCGCATTAAGAATGTTATCTAGAATTAGCAATAAACAGAGATGAACTCTAAAATTCAGAACTAAACCTGGTCACTATCCATAGGGAAAGCAATAGGACACTCTTGAAGATCCATAAGTGGCATCCAACTCCAAAGGAAAAAGTCTATACATAATCTTGAAGCTCACTGTGTTTTCACAATGGAAAGAATGGGCATCAATCAATTTCAGCTAGCAAATTACAAAGCTATAGTTCTTCGGCATAATCCTGACTGAATATCTAATGGAGATATTAAACAGAACAAATGGATAGGCCATGTGATCAGAAGGAACCAATGAGTTGCTAGAAATGACATAACAAACCCAGGAATAGAAAAGGTGACCCTGAAATCACAGATTCCATACTGCAGAAGAAGGCCATGAAATAAGCAAAAGACAAAGAAAACAACCCAAACCGTGCTGCAAATGAGCTAAAAAAACCTAGTAGTAAAAAAGACATTGCAATATACACTGTCTTTTAAGGCTCATCAACCATAAGAAGAGAATGTTTGATTAGCATGGATCAACTATTTCATTTCACTGAACCTTCAGACAATATGCTACTGTGTATTGGAACGGGAATCACACCTTTGCAAACATTTAACCACATTGCAATTTTGTCAACTAAACACTAATCACCTTAAACCACACTACAATAAAATTCTATCAAAATCACCAAGGAAAGACCCATGAATCCTATTAAATTATTATGGCAAAGGTTGCTAAAGCATGATGAAATATGTTGATAGTTGGAATGAATGAACTGTTGCATCATCCCATAAAAAGTAAATGGCAGCAAGAAATTTGGCCATCGAATCACACTAATTATAAATCCTGTAAGTACATGCATAATCACAATTTAAACTGCAATAGCAGCCTTAGATAAATCTACAACCTGCTGGCAGCAAACACATTGCATAATAGACAAACTCATAACCCTTAAAGATCAATCAACCACAGCAAGTATTGGAGTTCCCTACATGTGCTTAAATCTGGACAACAATCTCGCTCATCAATGAGTAAAATGGGAATTGTAAGTTTGTAACCATTTCACTACCAAGAACTACATGTCCTAAAAAGACCCAAAAGATAGAGAGGCATAATACCATCACTGTCAGTGACTTCGAGGAGCAGGTTGTCTGGCACTGCCGGCTGATGTCGATTGGAATGATTTTCTGTGGAAGTTTAAGCTATGATTATAGGATTCAACTTAAAACAATCTGAGAGTAAATCGATGATGAACCATGTTACACCTTAGGAGCTGCATCGAATGCAAAGGACATGCAGATGAAAAAGAAGTACGATCAATACTTTTACAAAACATTACAGCAAGCCAAGATACATTGCCGAACACAATAAAACCCTGTGAAATTGAGAATAAAGGCACGATGAAGAAGGCTACAACAGTATATAGGAGACTTAATAAGGCAGGATATATGACTCTATGTGACAATGAATGAGATAAAAGCTAGCCGAGAAAGGGGGAAAGAACCCAAATCAGAGAGCTATGTCCTCGCCAACACCCATGTGTGACAATCTCATAAAACAATTGCTATCATATAGGGTTTAGATAAAGAAATTGGAACCCACTTTAACTTCTAGATTGGATAGAACTATGAAGGTTGATCATGGATTCATTCAAAGTACTTATAAAAGCAACCCACATGTCCAAACAAATCAGAACAGTTCTATATTTATACAATGAGCGATGAGGAATGCAAAACACCTAGACTCGTGGAATGAACTAAATCACAAATGAACGGGAAAAATAGATAAAAAGCCAGAGAAAGACCTGCCATTGCTCCCTTCTAGACTCGTGGAATGAACTAAATCACAAATGAACGGGAAAAATAGATAGAAAGCCAGAGAGAGACCTGCCATTGCTCCCGAGGGGGTCTCCCTTGCGGTGGCTTCTCAAACAATCAAAAACACTACCGCTGAGACAGAGGAAAGATATGAGAGGTGTTGGATTTCAACGAAAATGGTGGATTGAGAAAATTTTTCATTATGAGATTAACACCTCTACATACCTCCTCTCACCACTTCGCCCATCAGAGGTCATTGGAATCCCTGCCTCTATCCACACACCAAACAATACTTAATCGCACGGCCACCGCTGATTTTATGGCCATCCAACCATCATAATCAACGACAGTAGTATACACCACAACTCCAAGCTGGTTAACAAACTATATAAACAAACTAATGAACTCCATTAGTTAACTCCCAAAACTACATAAACAAACAAATTAAACCCAAAATAAAATGGCTTCTTACCACAACATAATGGCAGTGGCAGAGGCAAAGGAGAGCTTCACGAACCACCAAGCCACTTGAAAGTCTTCCATGAAAACCCAATCCAACCTTCATGGAAATAACCAGAAACCATATAAACCAAATAACCCAAAAGCAACCTGGGGAAGTGACGATTTCAAAAAGAACGCTGAGAAATAGAAAATTAAGGGATGGATCTCCCTGGGCTGAAGATGATGAGTCACGGTTGGATTCAGAGGAGTACCCGTGATTCAGCCGCCGCGGGTACATGAGAGCTTCAAAGGTGGGATTCAGCCGTTGAGTTGCGGCCTGCGGGGGAGGGTTACTGAGATTAAGCCGGCAAGCTTCGGAACTGGGATTCAAACAGAGAGTTTTTGAGAAGGATGCATGTTCCGGCACGGCAGTGAATCGACCAGAAAAGGGTTCTTGATTTGGGAGGGTTTGAAACGAAGAGAAGATTGTTTTCCCCGGAGAGAGGAAGGAGGGAGAATTCATGGATGTGAAAAGAAAAGAATTGTCCAAATAAGAGGCAAAAAGAACAGAGGAAAAGGAGATGGAGGAGGGGTAGCTTGCGTGTGGGGTGGAAGGAGATATAGAAAGCTTGTCTTTGTTGCTGAAAAGCAACTTTTAGTGGGAAAGTGCCAGGAGTAGGGAGGAGAGGACACCACCCAAACCCATAGGATAATGAATGAATCTAGAGGTTCTGAGTAGGCGAGTGGGACAATAGAATGCTCTCACAATTACAGGGTCTTGGGAGGCGGGATTGGTGACTGACAAAGGGCAAACACTTGGACGTATCCCAATCGCAGAGAAGGAAATTGGGGGCCACTAATGAACAGTAGTGACAACCAAGGCTTTTATATAGGAATATATGGTGCAAAATTATGTGACTTCAACTAACGAATTTGGTCACCCTCTTCTTCTTCTTCTTCTTCTTCTTCTTCTCCAGTCTTTGCATATTTGTTTGATGATGAATGAGTACCATGTACCATAGAAATGGATCTTCTCAAAGCATTGTGTGATTTTGCTTCGATACTCTAATTTGAATGGTATATTTTGTTCAAATTTCATTGCAACCCCATTAAATACAAATAAAATCGCCTAATCGAGACCAGATTAGTTCAAACATGCTTTTGATTTGGTTTTCATCTCCTTTATTTTGCATTTGGTCCTTATATCAATTCAATTCAAATTTATACCAAATTGGATCATGTTCATCTCTAGCGTCCTATCTAACATAACATTGCACATCACTCCTCTTGAAAGCATATGCGTAACCAATTTGGGTTAAGGCTATGGCAAAAAAAAAAACCAATTTGGGTTAAGGATAGAATTTCCTTAACTCTATATGTACAAGTCGTTTGATTAAGGAATCGTACATTTTACTGGTTCGGTGACATAATAACCGGCAACTCCATATATTTAAGAAAATATCACCATATTGTATAACTATGTGTTCTAGAAATGCCAAGATGAGATTATGACCAATTTAGAGATTTCTAAATTTACATTGCATGAGGCAAACTATAGGGACAGGTTCAATGCCTCTTCAAGTCCTTAGCAACCACTTTCTTCACGAGGCCCTTAATCGAGTACTACGATCCCACCAAACCACCAAATCATTTAACATTGCACGAGTGCCATACTCAAAACAACTTAAAGCCAAACCAAATTCCCCATTTTTTCTTGCCTCCTCACTCCTTTTTGTTGAAACCATAAGAAAGAGGAGCCGACAATGGTAGGAAGAAACGAAACAAGGAAGAGAAAAGCACAATCATGACAACAGACGTACACAATATTTTATGATCCATGAAGCTACATGCGGTTATACAATAGGTTGACAATTTTTCTTTTTGGTCGGACTTGCATTGAAGTCATCCCCATCAAACACAAGCATATAGCCAATAACTTTGCGTTTGTTTTAAGTGGGGTTTTCTTCTATGGAGGGTTAGGGTCATTTTACTCAAAGTTGCAAAGAATTTTCAGTTGTTGTGTTGAGAATTGAGATTGGTTTTCGTGGTGGAGTTAGAAATTTGAATGAGGAGATCAACTTAAATCATGATAATTGGGAAAGGGAGATTAAGGCCTTATAAATTATTATATTTTTAATTTGTTATGAATTACATATGTAATTTTATCAATATTCAAATTTGATAGAGGACTATAACCCCTCCTGACTTCAAACTAACTCATATTTGGTTCGTAAACTACATAGTATAATGCAATGAATAGGACTCAAAGGTCTAGTTTGTTGAGTTGAAGACGAGATCATGTCTCCACTTTATGCCTTATAATTTATTTAACTTTTATCTGTTAACATTTTCTCTAGATTATCTTTCTTTTATGTCTTATATTGTGCAATAACCTTTGACATGAGAGTCCAGAACATGTGTCGTACTCACTTCTCCACAGATTTTGTTTGCAAAAAAAAAAACAAAAGATCGTCTGAATATATAGGTTGAATCGAAATTCAAAATATATTGTGATTGGATATCTCAAGTGATATGACCAATACTCATTTCTTCTTTCTTTTTATTGATGTCGATTTTTGTTTATAGTAAAATTATTTTATCGTTGCCACGGGAATCAATAAGGCTAGAAATCGTACTTTATGTGTACATGACATGCATGCACTATATATGCACCCACATGATACATTTTTCCAAAAGGAACTTATCACAAAAATCATACTCTCTTAAGTAATATCTTACCTTCATAATAGTTTCATGTACTTGGAAATACTTTTTTGGTAAGAAATTTTCACTTGGATATGATAAACACCTCACACTGTCAATTTATTAAATTCTAGCTATATATATCCAAAAGAAAAATGTACACAATGGATACTCCAAATCCTTAAAATAAAGTATCTACTTAATTTCTCACACTTTGAATACCAATTGATTCCATTCCTAACTACACGTTCTGTGACCTTTTATTTACTTAGACCCGAAAAAATAGACACTATTTTTTTCTAATCAATTCACATTATCATCAAACTCTTTTCTTAAATAATCCAAAATCTATCACCAAACTTTCCTTAATAACAAACATATATAAATCCCTTGCCCCCTTTCAAAGGGGAGACACAAGTTGATTAGTAGCGACTAGCGACAAGTGAGAGAGAATTTCTCTTGTTCCAATTTTTCTGAATCTCAAAATGGATATGATGCCTCTTGATCTTCCAACACTCTTTCCTCTCCTTTTAGCCCTTTTAGCGACGGCTTTACTCCTTCTCCGTCGCCAAAAACACCCCAAGAATGGTTGTTGTAATGTCCCTAAAGGCACCATGGGATGGCCCTTCATTGGAGAGACTCTCGAGTTCCTCAGCCCCCATAGATCCAACTCCATTGGCACCTTCCTACAACAACGTTGCTCGAGGTAATAATTCCAACAACCATGATTATTGTCATATCATCGCCAATTGAAAAATAAACACCATCAATTCCGTTAGGGTCGGTCGAAAATGGGATATGTGGTGTGGAGATTTTGAGGAGGCGAAGGTAGGCAAACCCATATTATGAATCATATCAATTGACAATGGGATGGAATGATCTTTGGATAGGGCAACCACACACATATGTGTTTTACTCTCACAATTGTGAGTATAGACTGTGTAGTATTAATCTCAGTCACCATGATCTTAGTTTTTTTTATTTGTTTGTGTAGATATGGCAAAGTTTTTAAGTCACATTTGTTCGGGTCGCCAGCTATAGTGTCGTGTGACAACGAGTTCAACATGTTCATCCTTCAGAATGAGGGAAAGCTATTCCAGGCCAGCTACCCTAAGGCCATGCAAGGGATTCTCGGGCAGTACTCGTTGTTGATCGTCTCCGGGGAGCATCACAGGAAGCTTAGGGGGATCGCAGTGAGCTTCAGCGCGATGTCCAAATCTTCACCTGTGTTTCACTCTCGTATTGAGAAGCTCGCATTCTCAATGTTTGAGTCGTGGAGAGGGCGCAGAGAGATTTCCTTTCTCGAAGAGATGAAAAAGGTAAACAAAAAAAAGTAAATTCCACATCGATTAATATTGATCATGGATTCCATTTTTTTATTGATCTCTCTATTTTTTTTTGTTACAAAATCTTCTAAATAATGGTTTTTCAGTTCACTTTGAGTTTGATGGTGAAAACTGTTTTGAGCATCGACCCGGAAGAACCAGTGGCCATGAGGTTTTTGCAAGATTTCAGAACTTACATGAAAGGCTTCATATCCTTGCCACTAAATGTTCCAGGATCTGCTTATGCCAAAGCTGTCAAGGTAACAACCCCCAATAATACTGTCTTTTTAACGAGTAATCCAATTGCAACTAAAACTAAGATTCAGAGTGTTCTTAGGTGGTTAACCAAAAGGAAAAACGACAAGATGCGAGATTTGTGCAAATCTTTTCTACTTTCAGTAACGAGGAATCTTCGTCTTATCTTATTCAATGGGCATGTAGAAAAATAGAGAAATTATACCACGAGAGAAAACATAGAGATCATGACTTGACGTTGTATGCGGGAAACCACAGAAGAAAACATCCACTTTGAGATTCAGTCACTCTATTTTTAAGATTCAATATTGATTCAAATTGACTCGGCACAAACTAATTTAATTGCTCGCATTTTTATGGTGTCGAGAGATCTCGTATATGAAATTATCGGAATTTCTTATCAATTAATCTTTTATTTATTCGTGTTTTTATGATGAATAAGAAACAATTGACCAAACACAACATATAATTGGATTGTGACCAATTACTTAATCTACTCGAACTATTGTAACAAATTTGATTTTTGCACTACGAAAAAAAACAGTTCCTACTGACGAGAGTTTAATGACTGCAAGACCAAAATTCTCGTATAAAAATGACTTTTAATGATGAAATGTAAGTTGTCAATACCGTCTATATTTATTGTAATAACAATACGTGTGGCCGGTAAAGATTGGATTAGGATTAGCGAGGGGAAGTTGCGGTGAGTAATGACCTTTTATTTTTAATCTCTCTAGCTAGGTAGGTAAGTAGGATGCTGTAATTATACTAACCAAACGCCCGATTAATGTAATGTTTTACAGGCGAGGGCAAGGCTTTCGAGGACGGTGAAGGAGATAATAAAGCAAAGGGAAATGACGACTACTACTCCGGCGCCGGCAAGAACCTGCAGTAACGACGGCAACTGTGGTGATGGAATTACGACGACCTCGTCGGGAGAGGAAAATGGGGACTTCCTGGAGGTAATATTGTCGAAGCACAGCAGCATAAGGCAAATGAACGATGACGAGAAAGTGAGCAGCGTTTTGGACATTGTCTTGGGTGGTTACGAGACCACTTCCACCCTCATTTCCCTCATCGTCTACTTCCTCCACCGTTCACCCGCCGCGCTCCTAGCTTTCAAGGTACACGGTCTCGATAATTCGAATTATTGGAAACGAAGTATATATGGGGTCTATCAAAATATGTGTGAGAATATCAATTATATTAGAGGGCTAGTTGTTGATATGGTTATATGGGTTGTATAAATCATGAATCATTGAACCATGTTTTCATAGTTTGATATATTAGTAGAAACAACAAATATGAAATATGTGGGTTTGTTTTGGTTCGAGGTTGGTTCGTTAGTGTTGCAAGTTAATTAGGCCAAGTGTTCAACCAGGTTATAGATAAATCAAATTAAGGCTGTGACTCAGGTTACAAGTTGATCGGATTACAAGCACCTAAAAGTTGGGGCAATTGCGGTTCGCTAATGGGGATTTCCCCAATAGCAATCGGATCAAACTGGTCAGTTGGTTACAGTCAGAACTTGATAACAATAATTATAACAAGGTGTATGATGGAATTGTTGAAACGTGTGCAATATTGCAGGAAGAACATGAAGCTATAAGGAGGAACAAAGGCAAAGGGCAGCCCTTGGGGTGGGAGGATTACCAGAAAATGGACTTCACCCGCAATGTAAATTATCAATGTTTTGATTATAATTACACTAAATTCCTGAAGTATTAATTGTCTGCAATATTCCCTTTGATTTCATCCTCTGTATATTTAATATTTTTGATCCAATATTTTGTGACTGGCTGCATGTATGTAGGTGACAAAAGAAGCTGTGAGATGTGGGAATCTAGTCAAATTTTTACACCGCAAGGCACTCCAAGACGTGGAATTCAAAGGTTGGTTAAAGTTTAATAGTTGATGTAGATCATCATTTACCAAAAGACTCGTAAATAATTTGGCAATACATTGGGGACTCAATGGTTGGATGTAAAAAAAGAAAAAACTTTTTAATTTAATAATATATTTTTGCGCTCCCAGGGCATTTGATTCCTCGTGGATGGAAGGTGCTTCCTGTATTAGCAGGGCCAAATCTAGACTCGTCTCTTCATCATGACCATCTTCAGTTTAATCCTTGGAGATGGACGGTAAATGCCCTTAGATTTTCACCTCTACTCACAATACATACTAGCTACTGTATTGATCGATGCATGGTTTGATCTAATTTTCAATATGTTCATTTTATAATCTTTAGTGTTCAAAATTAAACTCATACATAGATCATAACGAACACATGTTCGAATTAAAATACCTTATTTTGCTATCATTATAATTCATTCCTTTCGTATCATCTTAATCACTATTATCATAAGTTTGATGTTTATTATTTTTCTCTTTTGGATTATTTATAAAAGGAGGACAAAGAAATAGGGAAGAAGACTATGGGATATGGTGGTGGACCAAGGGTGTGCCCAGGATCCGACCTAGCTAAAGTCATGGTTGCCTTCTTCCTTCATCATCTTGTCCTCACCTATAGGTACGTAATTATTAATTAACCCCCCTTCTCTTAATTAATCTCATTTCTTCAACTTAATTTATATTGCTACTCTAGACACATTCATTTTTGTCACGATTAGGGAATGTCTTACCTTTATTCCTTTGGTGGTTTAGTACATCTAATCATTACTTATATGACCCACATCTTGTACCTCTAGCTACTATTTATGCTTATATATCACTTAGCAACATGAATAATTGTGTTGGAATCATGGTGTTCCTTTGTTGTTGTTCTAGCTAGTTCTATTAGATATTTCAAATGCTTTTGTTGTTGTTCTTATTCATGCCATAATATGCTTATTTCTAAATGTATAGGTGGAAAGTGAAAGAAGATGAGTACCCAATTGCTTATCCGTATGTGGAGTTTCGAAACGGACTTCACGTGGAGATTGAGCCGGTAGAATCACATGTTTAGATCGAGGATTAGGCATACAATAGAGAGAGACTATGTACATTAGTTTCGGTATGCGGTATTAATTCGAGTTTTTACCCTAAGTTTAATTCTCGTAGAGAAAAATAATTGTAATTTTCTATAAATTGTGTGATAGATGCATCTTGAAGTATGTAAACCAATGCTTTTTTTTTCTGTTTTAGCAGTGCTTTTGTACATTTTCTTTATTTGGGAGTTTGATTTATTTTTGGAAAAACAATCGACATAGTTTTGTTTCTATTTCTAATTTTCTTGAATTTAAAGGTTGATTAAACATAATATGACGCAAATATTACACAAATACAAACGTTGGGGTAAACATATATAATTTCTTAGAGATTAGTGCCACAAATATCATTTATTTATAGATGGCCAGCTCATGAAGTATTAACTTTTGTGATGGTACATTCCATCCACAATTTGGTATGAGAAAAATAGGCTAGGAATACTGTCGTATTGGTCCAAATTATATGATCATCCCAATTACATTGATTTAGTAATTAGTATGGGGCATCATATGGGCTGCAACATAACACAATCTAGCTTGTTTTTTTGACCGGGCCGGTTTGTTCTTTCTAGCTTGCTTTTCACGGGCCATGATAAAAAAAAAATCCACATCTGTGGCCCCGTAGGTGTCCGTTGAAATTCGATATATGGTCGAGTTTCTTTAAATCGGTTGAGAGACCAAAAAAGTTGTGACCGAGCTTGAATGACCAACGGGAAATAGGAAACACATGCATTTTATAATCGAGTATACGAAGTATTGGTTGGTGAGACTCTATAATGGCTCCACTATTAATAAGAGCCGCACATGTGATATTTTTACATGAATATTTTTGTATATGAAATGAAATGCTTGATTTGTCTACAGAATTATGATTTTGATCTCTCTTTCCAAGCAACTACACAAACTTGGATTGAAACTTTTTTTATGATAAAATTTGGATTAAAACTTAAAAACAACATTTACTTTACTCAATGATTGTCAATACTCAGAACTATTTTGACCGTCCAGCCCATATAAAGGAGGAAGAAATAAGAGCATGGCCATGGCCCATCAGCCTTTCTGGTGCAAGTCAAGCCCATACAGGAGAACTTGATTGAAACAAATACAAAATACAGATATCAATCGTAACCTTCCATAACTAATAGGCACTCAAATTGAATATTTTCCCAAACACTTTTCTTCTTTGCCAATCCAGCTTCTTAACCCATTAAAGACCAAAGAAGAAAACCTCGAGAGCTCGATCCTTTCTTTTCCCCTTCCCAGGCACGCCTCCGATCGCCCTAACTTCACTTCACACTTCACCGGTTAGTTTGCTTTGTCCTCCTTTTCCATTTGCGTTGTTTTGGTTTTCTTCTGAATCCCTAATTTTCTTTCTCATGTTTGGTTTCAGTTCGTTAGTCGTCAGATTAGTCTCTTCCAGAATGTCGAGTTCGTCGATTGTGGAGGCGCCGCCGAAGGGTGGGTTCAGTTTCGATCTCTGCAAGAGGAATGAAATGCTCTCCGGGAAGGGCGTCAAGCATCCGAATTACAGGAAGACGGGAACCACCATTGTCGGCTTGATTTTCCAGGTTTGTGGTTCTTGCAACGCTCGTCTCGTGGTATTTGGTTCGGACTCCATTGAATTTTTAAGCTGGAAAGATGGGAGTTTTTTTTATGCTTAGGGTTGGTTTGATTTGAGCTGATTTTAATGGGTCGCCCTCCTAGTCACTTGATCTAGTTGTGCTTTATTGAACCTTTGAGCTTCTTTTAGTGTTTGCTATAGCCATGTGAGTGTGAATTTTTGTTGTTGATTCTCATTGCTAGAATGCATCAGGGATATTTGAGGATTGAGCAGTGAACATGCTCAAGAGAGATTCTCTCTTTGTTTGATTTCTCTAATTTAAGCTGGTGTTACCACCCTTCAATTGGTGTATAGGATGGTGTCATTCTTGGAGCAGATACTAGAGCTACTTCTGGACCCATCGTCTGTGATAAGAATTGTGAGAAGATTCATTTTATGGCGCCTAACATTTACTGCTGTGGAGCAGGAACTGCTGCCGATACTGAGTCGGTGACAGGTATGTTTTCAGTTGTCAAAGTTGTTATTGCCAGATCGCTATATAACTTCTCTTCACAATATTGCCATTAAGTCTTCTTCTCAATTAGCTCTTCAACTACCCCAGTTTAATGTGTGGCTTTGGATTGATTTTTTGTGTAGACATGGTGAGTTCGCAGCTGCAGTTGCATCGTTACCATACTGGCCGAGAGTCGAGGGTTATTACAGCACTTACTCTCCTGAAGAAGCATCTTTTCAAGTAACCTGTCTTCGACATTGAACTCTTTCTGCTTTCTGCAATGACCTTTTTTTAAGGCAAGTGAGTTCCTTATTCTGCCTGCACATTGTTCTTCAGTTACCAAGGTCACATCTCTGCTGCTTTGGTTCTTGGTGGTGTTGATTGCACTGGGCCTCATCTACACACGGTGAGTCTTCCTTCTGTTCAGCAGAATGTGCATGGCATTCTTTTTCATATGACTTGTGAGGAGACTTGATGACGTATTAACTTCTGTCCTTTGCAGATATATCCCCATGGATCAACAGACACTTTGCCTTTTGCCACAATGGGTTCTGGTTCTCTTGCTGCAATGGCTGTGTTCGAGTCGAAGTACAAGGAAGGCCTGAATGTAAGTTGTGTTAATGCGAGGTGTATATACCAATTTTTACAAGCAATTAGCAGTTGCATATAATTACTGGTTACCCTACTATAATCTTGATCACTTAAAACTTACTGAGTTACTCATTATATTTTCAGAAGGAGGAAGGAATAAAGCTTGTGACTGAGGCCATATGTTCTGGTATATTCAACGACTTGGGAAGTGGAAGCAATGTTGATGTTTGTGTCATTACAAAGGTGGGCAAATTATTACCTGATATATTTCAGTTTCTAGGACGATCCTTCAGTTTGTACCAATTTAACTTTGTCCGAAATGGTTATGGAACAGGGGGAAAAAGAATACATGAGAAACCACTTAAAACCCAATCCACGCACATACGTCAGTGCGAGGGCATACACCTTCCCCAAGAAGATAGGTTTGTATCATAATCCCTACTTCAACAAATAAGCATATAGCACTATCTGGAGCCATGTGCTTCAAATTCTTGTTTCCGCTCTTCATTGAAACAGATTAAAATTTAGAACAGTTTCTCCTAGCGTCTCACAGTCTGCTTGCTAGTTGCATTTTGTATTATTCTCAAATTGGGTGGTGACATGTGAAACTTAAACCTTGATTTGGTGACCTGGATGTTGTGATCTAAGCAGCTGTTCATAGCCCTTTTTTGTCAAGTACCATGGTATGGTTATATTATAATTTATAAGTATGTGCAAGCTATAAGTACTGGTACTTGGTGTAACTATGCGTCTATGACAATCCCATCAGGATTTTGAGTTTTTCCGAAAATCATGTTCAACTACCATTCATGCTGAAATGGAAGGAACCCTTCTCTGCCTGGTTGAATGCGCTCTGAGTTATTTTTACTGATTTCAAATCACTTATAATTTATATACTGCTATTGTTGCAGAGGTCCTCTCAACAAAGATTACCCCACTGAAGGAGTTAGCTCAAGTGGTTGAGGCTGGTGATGCTATGGAAGAGTGAAGGACAGAATGACAGAGCTTTGTTTGGAGATCACTGTACTTTTACCGATTAGTTTCGAGAACTTGGGGACCCAATGTGATGTCGTTTTTGCTGAATTGCAAATGCTTGGGGGGATCTTTTGGAGACTGTTTTATGTGATTAGTCTGTAGCATCTTTATCTTCACTTCTCTTCTTTGTTCTCTGACTGTCTTGAATTTAGTTGGAGAACGATGAAATGTACTCGAGAAACCAAGTTGGAGGAGGTTCTATTTATATCTGTCTTTGGATCAAATTCTAGGATGTTCATTTCCAAGTGCATTCATCGCATGCAATAGGAGCTACATTTTCAAACTGATTAGCATCGAAAAATTGTCTAGTTAGTCATGTGCAATGGCAAGCCGAGATCAAGAAGTGAGTATTCTCAAGCATTTGGTTTTCGATATTTGATCCATTATGCTCTCTAAAAGTAAAAGCTGATCGATCAACGAAGCAAAAGGTAAACCACATTTAACTTCTATCAAATTTGTTATTGTCATTTGGAGAAGCTAGTATCAATCTCACTTCTTTCATCTTCATGCAATACCCAATAGTGAAGTCTAGTTCTCCAAATTAGTATCAGCTACATTACGCTAGTTGTGCCTGATGATGCTGCTTGAGATAAACTTGACTACTTGAGTGATAAGTTTGTTAAGAATCGAAGTTTAGTCACCAATAGCAACCAAAAAAAACTTTTGATGACCATTTATGTAATTAATCATTCAACTAGTTACCGGGGAAGAGAAAGTGTCTGGTATACTAATTCTGACGTGGCAAGCACTCATTGGCCATCACACCTACTTGCCTCTATCTCATTGGCCAGGCTTGGCATCTACACGTATAAACCCAAAAAGCAAGTCGTTTTGGTTCCCGGTTCGACTCAATGACTTGACTCACCACCACCACCATCAGCAAGCAAGCAGACTCCCCGAGTTTCAGGAGACAAAGTTTCCCTCCTCCATTGTTTCCAGTTCCCACCGCACCAAAGCTTCAACCAGTATCAGTAGAAGGAGAAGGAAGGAAGATCTCCAAGCCGGAACCTCAGGACTTTCGCCGCCGACGGTGGTCGGAGAGATCCAGCCTCTCTCCCTCGTTTCTCCTCGTAATGGCGCACCGAGTGGTGAAACTCTTCTTCTTGCTATGCGCACTGTCCTACGCTCTCGTCACCATTGCCGGGTACGGTTCTTTTAGTAGCCTCTCCCCAATTTTTTCCGTCTGAAATCAGCTGTGGGGAAATCAAATTTGATGATTTTGGATTTTGAGATGTCGCAGGAAGAGCTACTACGATGTGTTGCAAGTGCCCAAAGGTGCGTCGGACGATCAGATCAAGCGAGCTTACAGGAAGCTGGCGTTGAAGTATCATCCCGATAAGAACCAGGGGAATGAGGAAGCTAATAAGAAATTCGCAGAGATTAGCAACGGTATAGATTGGATTTGGTGGACATTGTACTCTCTGTATCCATCTGCTCTTTTTTCAGATTGAAATTGGTTTGCTTGAATCTTGAGCGATTTTGTATTCCCCTTGGTTTAGCTTATGAGACGTTGTCCGACGGCGAGAAGCGGAAGATTTACGATGCTTATGGGGAGGAAGGGCTTAGGCAGCATATGGCCAATGGAGGTGGCGGTGGAGGAATGAACATGCAGAACATTTTCGAGCAGTACGTTTGTTTTCTTTTCGTATTCTCTGCTTGTTTTAGATATCTGGAATCCTGACATGGTATTCTTTGCTCTAGATTCTTTGGTGGAGGGGGTCAATCAGAAGAGGAGGAAGAGAGAATTCAAAAGGGTGATGATGTCATTGTTGATTTGGACGCGACATTGGAAGATTTGTACATGGGTGGTTCAGTGCAGGTAAGATTAGGCATTATAATCTATGCTTCTAACCAGCAATGCGAAATGCTAATGAGTTCTATCATTGTAAAGGTGCTAGCTTTTTATAGGCCATGTTTACTAGTCTCTGTTGTTGTACTTAGAAAGGGAACTTCCTTCCTACAGATGTGTTGAGTTAATCAGTTAGCCGCGGCTAGCAAGCAATGGACTCTATTTCTTCATAAGGTGTAGGGTCGTTGATTTGCGTTAGAAATTTCTTCATCTTGTGTAACCATGAAGCAGAAGAAGAATTTTTATGGCTTATGTATTATGCATTTCTGTATATCTTGCTATTTAAGAAGATGATTCATGATTGGGTTAGTGTGGTGATTATGTTCTCACCATATTTACTGTGTTTTCGGTAGGTGTGGAGAGAAAAGAATGTTATCAAGCCAGCCCCAGGGAAAAGACGATGTAACTGCAGAAATGAGGTCTATCATAGACAAATTGGTCCAGGGATGTTCCAGCAAATGACAGAGCAGGTATATGATGGCTGGAGACTCTGTTGGATTACTTGTTACATTTTCTTACAAGTGGTCTAAGCCGCACGCTGCTAATGGAGTTCTGGCAATTGGATGCTTTTTCTTCCTGTAGAATGCTTCAAGTTTCATATGCATCTCTTATTAATTTCTTGCAGGTCTGTGATCAATGCCAAAATATCAAATTTGAGCGGGAAGGGTATTCTCTCACAGTTGATATTGAAAAAGGAATGCAAGATGGACAAGTAAGTTTCAGGATGTAAATAATTTTCCTTACTCGATGTATGGCTGGAGAAGAGTATTTGACCTGCTTTCTTACTTCTAGCAGTTTCCACTACCGATCACCTATTTAGGGAAGTAGTCTAGTATAACTTTTGAGGTTTTCCCTCTTCGGATTCGTAGAAGTCCCCTGTGTCATCCTTTTCTTTCTCTCTTAGTAAATCCAGTTTAGGAGACTGTTGAACTTTTTGGACTATTTCTTGTCCAGAATGAACTTTCATGCACTATCATTTCCTGGTGCACATAGGGCTTGAAGATGGAGACTTTCTGTAAAACCATCTTGATTCTGTTCCTAGAATGGAGCTGTTTCATATAGTGGGACTCTTGCTAGTTAGGGCTGGAAGATCATAACTTCAATCATGATCCTACTTATATTCTATTTGTATTGGAATTGTGCTACACTTCTTGTGTGTACATACTAGTACATCAGTGGATTTGTAGCATTTATCCAATTGATTTGGATGTAATGTGTGGATGGATGACTGTTGCAGGAGGTTGTTTTCTATGAAGATGGTGAGCCCAAGATAGATGGGGAACCAGGAGATTTGAAGGTTTGTTTTCTCAACTGTGGTCTTCTTCTCTTTATGCAGCAGCAAAAATTCACCACTGTCCTATCATATTTTATACAGTTCCGCATTCACACATCACCTCATGACGTTTTCACAAGGAAAGGCAACGACTTGCACACCACAGTCACCATCACACTGGTAATTCTGCAACTAACTCAAGAGACGCCGTCTTTTCCTTCCTTTCCCCTCTAAGATCTTTCAATTTAACTGTGGAAAGAACGCCTGAAATGTATCCCACCAGGTTCAAGCCCTCGTTGGCTTCGAGAAGAAGATCAAGCACCTCGATGAGCATCTGGTCGACATAGGCTCACAGGTAAACCACATAATCAACTCCCCCTCTTTTCATTTGAACCCCAAATCCTGGAGTCTGCTAGCACGGAACATTAACTCATTCTCAATATGCTCTCAGGGAATCACTAAGCCAAAAGAAGTAAAGAAGATCAAGGGCGAGGGGATGCCTCTGTACGCAAGCAACAAGAAAGGCGACCTCTATGTGACGTTTGAGGTTCTCTTCCCTAATTCATTGACGCAGGAGCAGAAGACGAAGATCAAGGAAGTTCTCGGCTAAAAGTATCGTTAGGAATTTTATGCCAGTCATTCCGAGGTTCCAACTATAGTTTTTAACTGTAACATGTCAGATAGAAGAACCTTGAGAGGAGGGAAAGCAAGTTTTGTGTCCTTGATTTGCCCCCTCTGTTCCCTGCCTTCCCCCAAATTTTTGTCCACAGTAGTATACCAGAAAGAAAATTGAATTAGCTGTTTTTCCACTCTTGTGTGCCAATTCGTATGTACACTTTTAAGAAACCATTAATTGATAAGCACACCAAGCTGCTGCTGAGGTTATTGAGGTGTACTTTCAAATTTGACTGCGTGGAAGATTTATTTTATCAATGCAGTCATAAGTGTATTAGATCATATCTAATTGGAGGAAGATCAAAGTTGTTAATGTTAAGGCAGGAAAAAGGCAAAAATAGAACGCCCACCGTGGGGCTCGAACCCACGACCACAAGGTTAAGAGCCTTGCGCTCTACCAACTGAGCTAGACGGGCTATTATTGTTGAGAAGGCTTTATACTAAAACACTTCTTTCTTACAAATCACTTCACCATTTTACCACAAAAACAACTGCTGTTTGATTTTAGTGATGGCATAAGTTCGTTCATAAAGATGCTTAACACTTGTGAGCCAATGAGGGTTTCCTATCCAAGGAGTATCAAACCCTTTAAACTTCACACTTAATGTTTCTCTTGAAATTTTGTATTACTAGATATTATCTTCACATATTTTATATTAAGAACTAACTTGATTTTCGAAAGTATAAACCAAAAGTCGTTCTCATATTTTTATAGATTCTCTCCACTCATAATGGTCGAAAGAAGGTAACATAGATCTTGAATAGCCTACTTTCACGATAAAAAATTAGAAGGAAATTAGTCTTCGTCAACTTCCTGTGGCTTCCTCTAAAGTAATCAAGTTGCATTCAAATGAGATATTTTGTTCATAGTTGTCTACTTTAAATCGACAAAAACTTAAAAAGACCATATCAAAGAATCGAGACACAATACTCCAATTACCCTATGAATAATTGTGCATTATAGTAAACCAAGTAAGAGTTTCACCAATATATTGCGTTTACATCACTCTTCTTCTACATCCGACCAACTCCAACTAAACATTGTAACCTATTGCCAGGTTGAGAACTCCCCAGTCTCAAGTTTCAGAATAACTGTCCTTTTCACTCACACTACATTTATCAACCATCTTCAAGAAAGCCCTGAAATTCGGATATAGATGCATTCCCTCTTCCTCGTCAAAATCGCAGTGCGTAAGGAAACCTGAAAAGAGATAACTTAACCCACAAGGCACTTCGGAAACAGCGTTGAGGCATTTCCCAGAAAGCTGCAGACCTCATGACAGCAACTGAAGGGGGTACCAAAGATGTCACCCAGAAGAACCCCCAAACACCTGAAGAAAACAGAAAGCGGCTATCAATGAGCCTTAGGTAGCAAAATAAATATTACATGGGAATGAATTTTGTTGGGTGGAAGAAAAATGACTTACTCCGGCCAGGACATCCATAGAGATTTTAGATTTCTTCTCCTCTGCTTTCTCAGTCACTGGCTTTTTCTGTGGCATTCGGCGGATTACCCTTGGTGGTTCTTGTGCCTTTTGCTTCTGCAGAACCAATGGAAAGAGAAAGGTATCGTGAGATGGTGATGTAGTGATCAAAGATGGTTTCTTTTTTGGTAATTGTTTTGATCTTCATATTGCTCCACCTGACCAAACTAGGACAAGGTCTCGAAAAACATACTACTGAAATCAGCAGCTACCAAACAGCACCTACACTAACTCCCTACAGACGCCAGAGCCTACTACAATAGAGATCACTGTCACTGCAACCAACTACCGACACTAGCTTTACAAAAAGTAAGTTCATACTTAATCTACATTGTAGGTTAAGGAAAAACTAGATCTATCCACAATGGTTAGTAAAGATTGCACATTTTTTACCTTCTTCAGCCGTTCTTCTATGTTAGTAAGAGCGATTGATTTCTCAACTTTGGAGAGATAGAAATCTCGTTCCCTCTTTGCAGCAGAAAGTTCTAAAGCTAGCTTCTGTTCTCTGACGGCTCTCTTTATAGCTGCATTTCCAAACGGGATGTGAGCCAAAGACAAGTAAAAGAACTCAGTTTGCAAAAGGAAGAGGAAATGAGTTTCATACCAATCTCCTCTGTCAGATCATCCCACTTGAATTTACTCAAGTACTTGATGTTCCACGTATCGAAATAGAACTGTGATCTCTTCTTCCCACCTGAAGAGGACAACAAAGGGAGTAAAAATGTGACGCACTAAATCTTCACATGTAAAATGAAAGATGTAACTATCGGTACCATTACCACCATACTGCTCTAACATAACAATATAGAGATAATGAAGACAGCAGATGTATATATTGAATCCCTTACCCATTTGTTCGCCGTTTAACATGTTTGCAACTCTTTTTGCCACAACTTTATCAGTAAATTCCACCCACCTGCAACGTATAAGAAAACATAAGAATTTACATCTAAATCACAATCAACATTCCAAATTCAAGAAAATGTGTGAAATAAGAAAAACAATCTAGTTGGCAATCAACAACCCCATCAAGGGAGTTATTCAAACTAGAATGCTTAAGATCAAACATACCCTTCTGCGAATGATTGCATCCTATGCTTAGCAGCTTTCTTCTGAAAATGTAGCGGATTTGAGTCTGAAAGCAGATAGGGAAAAGGAAGGATTCAATCCAAATATTCACCAGAGGTCGAATGCCATTACAGAAACCACAGAACGTAATCAACACAAGCAAAAAAATGAACAGAAAGATCAAAGTGCAGAAAATTCAATCACCTTCTGGTACAAGATAGATCCTCTGGATTTCACCATACTGTGATAGAGCATGACGGAGCTTTGCAGGATCCATGTGAGGAGGAATTCGGCTCAAATAACAAACTCCACGCCTATCAGCCTTGGCTGTTTCCTCTAACAAACGCTGCTTCTTCTTCTCTCTCTTCATTCTCTCCTTTTTATCACCAACTAACGACTGCTTTCGCTCATTGTTCAGAGATTCAGTAGTATCATCAACGGAATCTGGACCAATAGCTCCATCTACATCATGCTCTTCCTCCTCATCCCGTTCAGTTTCTTCTAATAACTGCTGCCTCTTTCTCTTACTCCCCTTCTTCACCTCTTCCTCACCAGTCTCATCACCACCAACTTCGGCATTCTTCATCATTTTCTTCTTCTGCTTCTTCTTCCCACTTTTCAGCCTTGTTCGGCTCCCTTCAACATCATAGTCTTCTTCGGTGTTGTCACCATTGACGTGTTTCTCAACTTCAATCACTCCAACCTCTTGCATCCGCTTCTTCTTTTTGCTTTTCAATCTGTTCGACTTCCCCTCACCCGGACTCATATCTGCACCACCCTTCAAACTCATTCCATTAGCTTCGAGCTCTTCTACCTCCATTCTGGCCAATAAGAAACTGAGAGTGGCAATCAACAGTTCCACCAAGTCAGAATCCAACACAATGATAGCAAAAGCTAAATCATACCGATGACAGGGAATATCACTAAGCACGCCAAGATACAAATCTTTCACTAATATAAACGCAGCAGTACTTTGGATGAGTAACAATCTTCGGATTCTACGAACTAAGAGCAAGTTTCAGAGTCCTAATTAGTTCTACCACAAGGTTACAACCATTACAAATAATTCAACACAGCACAGAGATAAACCATTCAGCCACAAAGCAAAGACTTTGCATCTTTAAGAGTCTAAGGGAAACAAAATACAGAAGGAAGGGAAGGAAAGCACTGTAGTTTGGATTCCAATTCAAACCCCGGTTCAGAGAATGTCAGAGGCAAATAAATGGAGCTGGCTATCACAGAAAGAATAATAATCTACCTTGTTTCTCTTTCAGGGAGTCACTTCAATCGTTAGCCGGGAAAACTCGTTCGGCAACCGCCCCCTACGATTTTGCTGAAAGGCGGCGGCGCGTAAAAGCACAGACAGCAGCTAAAACCCGGTCGTCCGCCGCCGTCGAGATGAGGAGTCTAATGTTCAACAAATAGCAGACAGGGGAGGAGGGAAAGCGATCAAAGGAAGAGTTGCAACGGCGGCCGAGAACGGCGAGCAACTCCGACTGAAACTTTGGGCGGAGAAGACGTTTCCGCTCTCGCGCTGGTTATGGCGGAAGCTGAAGGCTTTCCCTTCAAGTGACTCCAGAGTCCAGACCTTGAGAGAAACTGGCGGCGATTATGGTGCGCACTTCTTTTGTTAGTTAATGACTTATTGGGTCATTTTTCTCGATGGTTTACCAAATTACATCCTTGTATTGTAAAATTTTAACAAACAAGTTCTCATACTGCTAGGACTTTTATTCATTCGTTACTAACGAGGTTCGTCACATTTGATAAACACATCATCCCAAATCACAAGTTGCACAAGCCAAGAAATTCATCATTGAGAGGGAATACAAGAGGATCGTACTTGAATTATCCACTCTTCTCCGAATAAACTCAAACGATAAACTAATGCCCTTCTTCAAGCAATCAAAAAGATTCACTCCATTCAGAGTCACCATTGTCAAATGCTTCGTAAGAAACGAGAGATTCAAGAATCGAATTGATGGACAAAACATAAAATTTTGATTCCTAACTGGTATGGAAATGGAAGAGCATCAATCAAGCTTATCATGGAACTCCTACATAAGTTATGTCATGTGGTGTTTCCTCCTCCCAAAAAGGGCTACAAGGAAAAACAGTCTGGTATCTCTGTGAAATTGTCTTTTAATGTGGAGCCAATAACGAAGACTTTTGATCCACTTGCGTCATGTAAAGAGGGCCTATGCTTGGTTGGCTTCCGTTACTGAAGAGGGTTTCTGCTCCATCTCTGGCTCGGCAGTACTCGGAGGCCTATTCGTTGTAACCCCTGGTCTTGGCCCGAATTTGCCAAGCAGATTGTCATAAGTACGAGAAACGAGCAGCAGCCTAGCATCATCTTCAGGTATATCCCGTTTCTGAAAGGGGGGAAAAGAACAGTAAGAAGATGAAGCAGCACAGAGGAAATTTGAGAGTAGTTATGCAATGGAAAGATTGATTTGGCAATGCATCATAATACAACAAGGAGAATAGCAAGAGAGAAGACCCACCTTCAAGCCTTTGTAGTATGCTTCCACGGCAGGGAAGGTGGGTATCATGTTACGAGCTTGCATCAAGTCCCATATGTAATTGGCAGTCGTGTACCCACCGGTCTGCAAAAGGAATTCATTTGAAGGTAAGAAACCGATTTGATGAGTCGGAATGGTGTAGATAGTGTGGCAATTACCTCTTCACCAGCTGCTACAAGAAGGAGATCGCTTCCGATTTTGGGATTCAAGAAGTAATTCTTCTCGGTCATTTTTACCTGCATTTTCCAACCAAGCATGGGTTGTGAGTGAAATTCGTAACATCAACAAAAACTGGCAAGCAAGAATAAAGCGATTTATGTACCAGTGTGTCTTGTGCAAGTTGCATTCCCTTGGGAGTATATCCTACCATGGCTCCCTCTATAAGAGTCTACACAATCAAAATTCAGAGAGAAAAAAATCAAGGGTTAATGATGCTGGCACCATGACATAGAAGGCTTCAGCAGCAGGAGGATTAAAGATAGGAGGGGATGGGATACAAAGAAAACATAAATAATAAGTAATAATAACAGGAACATGGATATAAGCAACATGTTCAGATGTTCTCGCACTTCTATCCAATTCCTACAGTTTCCTATCTTCCCACCAGGAAATCAAAACAGAAGCTTGTCTTCATGGGAATGTCCACACTTTGTTTCTAAATAAGCTATTGAAATTGTCCCAGAAATAGTAAGGAAAGACAGTACATAATAAGAACAATTGAAGATCCATACTAAGGGAGATATGACAAAGCACTCCTTGTGTAATAGGTACTACAGGTATTGAAACTCACCAAATAGAGCTCCATCATATTAGGTTTGCCAGAATTCATGTACTCTTCAAAGATAGCAAGACCACGATCCAGATCGCCACATTGTAGATGGCACCTAGAATTAAAAAAGAAGGAATGTTTTTCCAAAATGAAAAGGAAGGAGCAAACAAGATATTTATATTCAGCTGGTAGACAAACTAAATGAAAGTGCATTTCACTTCAGCTAACCAGTATATGGTTCAAACGTACGAGTTAATATACCTGATTTCCTATAAACAAACTTACCTCATTGTTTGCATTAGAATGAAGACATCAGGAGATTCTTTATCCTTCTGAAGCATCTCCAACAAAACTTCCGTAGCCTATGAGGACCAAATCGAAAATATCAAGTGAAAGAAGCTCGTGAAAGTTTGGCTTTGGCTTAGTTACTGAAAGAATATTATGGTGTATTTGCAGACGTGGGATATATACCTGTACATCTTTCAGTTCTGCACAAGCATGGAGTGCAACATGATACACAGTTAGTTTCTTGTTCAAGAACCCTCCACGCCGATGAATGTATTCAGCTGTTGGCAAATTATATAACTCCTCTTCAGATACACCCCTCGCCACATTTTCAGCAGCATAAGTTGCTCCATCAACCGATGACCATCCCTTTGATTGCTCAACTAACTCAATAATCTGCCATTGAGAGGAAAGACATTCAATTAAAGTAGTTATAGATATCATAAAGAGAGAGGCAATGGTGGATGACAAAATTTTACTACAACCACCTTGCTGGCTGTATCATCACCACGAGGTGTCTTGTTAAGATGAGCAGTTATTAGTCCTGCATAGCAGAATTTGTTCAAGCCAGCGCCAGCTGCAGTCATATCACGGACAATTGCATACCTATACCATGTAAAATAAATAGAATTGTGCTTATGAAGTATGAACCTTGATATAAGCTTTTCAACTACTGCTCAGCCCAACAAATTATTGGGACAAGAGTTTACTAATCAAATATCATTTCAATAACTTTGCTAGTAGATTGGCCCATATACAACAAACTGCAGCAAAGAAGCACCAAGTAAATTACAAACCTAACAAACTAAGCATCAATGAAATGGAGATATCAAACAAATTGGAAAGAGAGATCCTCGTGCTAACATAAGGAAAGAATTACATACACACGATCTAGCCGGCCAGTTGCTGCACAGGCGTTGAGTAGACACACAAAGGTTTGTCCATTTGGCTTCACTTCGGATCTCTTCATTTCTTCTAAAATCTTCATCAAAGATATGGGTAAAATGATTCGGAAATGTCAAATACAGGCCAAGCAATGGCTAGTGAGCATAAAAAGGGTACAAGAAGGTTAATAGGCCTCGCTAGAAAACTCACAACAGCATCAACCAACCTGAATTGCTTGGTCAGAGTTCTTGCACTTGCCACACATCGAAATTAAGAAATTGTACACCGCTACCTACAACATAGAAAATAGTAACATCCAATCAGTCAAAGAAACGAAAAAATGATGCGTTCTACTCCAACATATTAGGGTGGGCTAATACAGGTTCACCTAACTAACCATCATGAAATTTAGTGTCAGTTCAAGCTCGAAAGTTCAAGGCAAGCAATATGAAACGATAAACAATGAGATAAGATCATCTGAAGAAGATGTCGAAAACCTACATCAGGAATCAAGCCCATAGCTTTCATTTCATCTCTGAAGTAGAACGCATCCTGCAAGCGGGCACTTTTCATGGTTCCAACAATCAAAGAATGGAAAACATCTCGACCCGGCTGCACTCCATCCAGCACCATATCATCGTAGACATCTCTCAACAAATAACCCCTGCAAAAAAGAAAATAAATTTCCCACAATGATTCAATTCCCAACACACTGATTCAGACACGAGCAAAAAGGGGAAGGAGGGAAAACCTGCGCTGAGAAGTGAGGGAAGCAACGACGGTGTTGTACTCGGAGACATTATTGGCATAATTCCGCTTGGCGTATTCCTCCGTGGAAGCGGCTGCGGCGAAGTATCGCCGGCCCAGAGCTCGGATTACCGCCGGCCGGGCACCTGCCGGGTACACAACATTTGAGATCAGTACTAGACGGAATGACTGAACAAAAAAACGTAGCTTTCATCGGATTGAGTGGAAGGGTGTACCGAGAATGGAACGAAGGGGGAATTTCATGGATGGAAGAGCGCTGTCAGCTGAGCTCTGAGTAGGGTTTTTGTCGTCGGAGCTAGAAAGTAAAAACCTTTCTCGTTTTCCAGAGAGTGAAAGGACGTGGAACTGGGAACAAAAGTGATAGTCGTATCTACCATCTACAATGTACATCCCCAATGTTTTACGGTAAGTCATTTTAGCCCTCTTAACTTTACTCAACTCTATACTAAGACGCACTAGAATGCGTATATTTCTGTGCTACCATTTCAATTTCAAAATATTTTGCTTAATGTTAAAAAATGTGTGTGCTTAACCTTATAGTTAAATGTGTTCTGGACAATTCCAAAATATATTGTTTAAGAGTTTTGAAGCAAGTTAAATATCAAGATTATGGTAATAAAGTAAGGCAACATCTAAGTGTAATATGGATGGTGAAGCTAGTCAATAGTTAATACATATCAAAGGAAAAATTAAAATCAATTTTTGAACCGTGAGTTTGTGACAATATCGACATATATCAACTTTCAAATTAACTTGATTCCCAATTAGTAATTAAATATCTAAAATAATATAAGATGGTTTGAATTAAAGATACATATTAGGGTTTTATAATTTAACATGAACACTGGAGTAGGAGGACTAAACTTATGTTTTTACCATTAAATTACTCGTTATTCACTAAAGTTTAATATAGTTTTGCTATAAAATCAAATTAACAATTTGGTCATAGTTTCGCTATAAATATTAATAGATTTTCTTAAAATCGAATAAATCTTTCACGGTTCTACACTGTTACATTCGACGTTGAAATAATTTACGGTAATTAAAATAGTTAGTGTAGTGTTAACAGTAATCATTTCCAAATTAATACTCATTAGGGAATTAGACATTCCTTAACTAGCATTGTTTCCAAACCAATGTTGATTGATTGCTCTCACCCTTTGATTAAGGAGTTGAGCAACCCTTTAATAGTAGCAACTTCTCTTCCAATTTCATTTTCTAAGCATTATTGCCATAACTCAAATCCCAAACCTTTTCAACCCAACATGTAAACCATTGTTTTCGTACGTATTACAGGGTTTACTATCATATCTCCAGGGCAATAACCAATCTTTCTCTACACTCTACAGACAGTCATACGAAACGGTAAACTTCTTTTAACCAGCCAAAATATCCAAGTCCAACCCAGCTCCACGTTTTGCAAGAATTTGAACTAACCCGTCCTTCCATCTTCCCCATCTCTTCAATCTCCACCAAGGTTGTTAAACCCCTATCGAACCCCCCGGTTGGACCCGGTTCAACCCGAGTCGGGCTTCAAAACGGCCTCCAGAAAACCCCCCGGTCTGACCCCTAAACAGGGAGAAGAAGAGAGGCAGAAGAGAGGAAAAGGAAAGAAGGAAGGGAAATGTTAGGTGGATCATGGAGGTTAGGTATATTTATTTTGTTGAAAATAAGTTTTTAATAGATATATGTAAGATAAATTTTATTTCACTCATTAAATTTTTTATTACTACTTTATTTGTAAATTGTATATATATTTAGAAAACGTCTAAAACGGCTCAAACCGGCCGGACCCCGATCAAACCATTAAACCTCAAAGCCCTTGCTTGACTGGCTCAATGACTTAAACCGGTTTGACAACCTTGATCTCCACAAGCCACTCTCCCACTTTCCACTAAAAAATAAAATAAAAAATACAAAGCCATTCTCCACTCACTTCCGTCCATCACCATCACCTCCATTTTGAAAAGGGTAAAACATTTTGAAAAACTACAGCTCCCCTTTTTTTTTCTCACTGTTCTTCCCTCTCTTGTCCACCATTCCAGTCCTCTGATCTCAAAGCTCCACCAAAAAGAAAAGGAAAACAAAAGAACCGATCGTTACCACTGTCACAACCATGACCATTCCTCAAGTGAAGAAAGAGCAGGTTTTTAACTTTGTTTCAACACTACGATGCTATAGGCTCTGCATATATGAAGCTTTGAGCCTGACTTTCTCCGTTGTTCTGTTGCAGGAGAAGAATGGTAGGCCAGGGAAGGTAAAGGTTTCTTCCTCTAACAAACAGGTGAGAAACGCACTCACCTTCTCTTCTCCTCTCCTCGTTCTCTCTTCTCACCACTCTCTGCTCTATTTCGCTTCCGTTTGGTGATTCCTCACTGCCCTTTTGAGATTCTTTTTGGCTGCTCCCAGAAAGCTGTATTTTTCACCATTGAAAGACCAAAGATCATAACTTTGGTGGTTTGTAGTCACAATGAGCTGCCCTGTCCCAACAAAACCAAAGTTCTTGGTGCTTTCCCTGCACGGTCGTCACTGAAATCAGCTGGCTTCTTAGTTAAAAGTTCATGAATCAGTTTAGTGTTTGAGTGCGAAAGTAGGGAAAGCAAAATGGTTTTTGAAAATGCTTGTTTTGGCTATTTGCTAGACTTTTGGAAGGGTTTGTAGGCTCTCGGTGCGTTGGATGATAGTGAGGCGATGAAGAAAAGAGAACACATTCATTCCGTACTTAAATTGGCGTTCTATTTTCCTTGAGCTCATCAAATTCGAAAGTAATTTACTGTTGAAGCTTATGACAGGAAAGAGGGATTGTTCCAACCAAGTCTGGCTTCAAGAGGGCGACCAGCGAAACTGTGTATGTTAATAGCGAAGTTAAGGATGCTGTAATGAAGAGAGCACAGGAGTTAGAAGCCAGTCTACCAAGAAACTTCCCTACCATGATAAAGCTTATGCTCCCTTCTCATATCTCGGGTGGGTTTTGGCTGGTAAGTGAGTGCTATCAAAGTTTGACATTTCATTATGCTACAAATCTTGACGTGGGTAAACCTTCAGTGGATGCTTGGCATTGCTCCAGGGTCTTTGCAAAAAGTTTTGCGTCAAGCATTTGGGTGAAAAGGACATGATGATGGACTTGGAAGATGAGGATGGCAAAGTCTTTCCCGTGAATTGTCTAGTCGGAAAGACAGGACTTAGCGGGGGGTGGAGAAAGTTCTCAACCGATCACAAATTGGTCAAAGGAGATGTCGTAGTTTTCCAGCTAGTTAAGGCAAACAAGTTCATGGTAACTTGGTTTGAACTCTTTTGATTAAATTTCTTGGCTTGAAGCTTCAGTTTCTTCCTAGTTAAAGTTAAAGAGTTCATCAGATCAGCACAATTTTGACTCTCTTTTGCTATTTCTTTAGGTCTACATTGTTAGGGCACGTGATTTCGAGCAAAATGATGTTGCTCTTGGCCTTCTGAAACTGGAGAAGACTAGTTTGGAAGAGAAATCTAGCTTAGAGGAAGTGGAGGGTGCTCTTGACCTTATGGAGCTGGATTGTGTTTTGGAAAAGAAATCTGGTAAGCTTCTTTTTCCCCAACCCAAGCAAATTGCTTGTTGAAGTGGCTGAAACTGGGTAGAAGGAGAATGTGCTGAATTTCATTCGTACTTGTAGTAAAAGCTTTGATCCTTTTATTTCGTCCAGCTCATGCGAAGGATCTGAGCAGAAGTGGCAAAGCAACTGTCGCAAAGACTGTTGATGAGTCTGATATTTCTTCTGATGATAACTATGAACCAGAGGATTCTGAGAATGGAAGTGATGAAGGTTTCGGATTCGATGTCCTAGATGGAATCAGGATGTCTTCAGCATCAGCTGTTGATTTCCAGCAAGTAAAAAGCTTTGATGACTTTGACATTATAGTGAACGGCTTGGTGATCAACTCTGAGCTCTCAAAGCACCTCCAGCTCAAATACTATGAACTATGCAGCAGCCAGAAGTTGTTCCTCCATGAACAAATCCTCAATGGTCTCAACTGTAAGCTGATAGCGGGAGTAATTGCCGAGACCATTAACATTGCTGATGCCATAAGAGCTTCAAAGTTCAACGGTGGGGGTAATGATAACGGTCAGCAGAAGGAAGACTTTGTGACTTGGGAGAGCACATTGTTAGCTTTTCAGAAGCTGGGAATGAATGTGGAGTTCATACTCACCAGGTTGAGGCAGCTCATGCGGCTCTGTGACAATGCCAATAGGTGTAAGAGGTTGAAGACTGAGAGAGTCGAGGTAGGCAAGGAGGTGAAGGTTCTGGAGGCGAAACTCGAGGAATCTGTTCGAAGAATGAGAAGGATTGATGAAGAGATCGAGAAGTTGGAAATTGACGATGTGGAGGATGTTGAGGTGAAGTTCAGAGAATTGGCTAAAGCTCCATGGTCAGTTTGACTTGTAGTAAGTAGTAACACAGGTTATTCATTTTGTTGCACAAGAGTTTGGAAAAGGAAGCTCGTGAACATGGTGCATTGATTATTTTGTACGTAATGGCTAATTGATAGTCGAGCCTGGCCCTTCAACAAATGAAGTTGGAGCTAATAGAAGTAAGGTTTTAGTTATGTAAGGAGACTTGTGGTTTTCTCTTTGGTCAGTAGGCTTGCTTTTGTGGTTTAGAGTGTGATTAGCAGACATCTGATAATGGTCTAACTATGTACTACACGTGTAGCAGCATCATTATATGCATTTCATAACGTAGTATATGCTCTCTTGTCAAGATCATCTTCCGTGGTAACATTTCCATGTTTGAAGACCTAAGAAAGAGAGGCTTTCAAGTTTCAACTCTCTAGCTTGGTTTATAGATTAGTCACATGCTCTTGTTCCTTGCAATAAAAGGAAGGATTAGGATCCAGATCTCTATCTTGTCCCGAGCTAGCCCAATATGAAAGCCCAGCCCAACTTTATCATTTACGAAGAAAGCCCAACCCAAAAGCACATGACCGTTTCATTTCTACTTTCTGTTCTATTACTGTTCGTGTTCTTTTCTCCTTCCCCTCTGGTTCTGAGATTCTCTCTGCAACTGGAATTGCTACTGAAGAAAGAAGAACGAAGAAACAGAGAATTGCTACTGGCGTTATCAAATTCTACTGCAGCTAGGACCATGACCATTCTTCAAGTCAAGGAAGAGCAGGCTGAACCCATTTTCCAAAGACCTTCTCGTTCGGTAAATTTACTCTCAGCTTGCAAAGCTGTAACTTTCAGCTTCACATCTCTCTCACCTTGTTTGCTTCATTCTTGGTGTCTTTTTCTTTCTTCGATTATGCTGCAGGGTGAGAAAAGAAGCACGCAAGAATTCAACGATGGGCTTGCTCTGGTTCTCTCTCTCTCTCTTTCTCTCCTCCATTCAGTCTTTGCTTACTGGCTTTCGTTTGGTGGTTCTCATTAGTCATTCCCCTTTTGAGATTTCTTTAGTTCGCTTCAATCAAGTTCTTTAGTGGTTCCTTTGCATGGTCATGACTGACAATCAACTGGTTGTAGTGGGTTTCTAGTCAAATGGTTGTCTTCCTCCTAGGCTTGAAATCCCAAACTTGAGGTGGCCATTCTAAAATTTCCGTGAACACATAAAATTTGGGGGGGGGGGGGGGGGGGGGGGGGGATTGACTGTTTCATGCTTATATAACAGAAAGGAGGATTTGTTCCAATCAAGTCAACTGTAAGGTCAGCCAAAATCTCACAATTTCATACTCTTAAGCTGCATCACTTCTTCTTTTTAGATGGTCATTAACATCTTCTGAACTTCATGCCTTGCAGCTCTTACGAGCCTGAGAATGATGTAATGAGAAAAGCACAGGAGATTGTATCTAATCTATCTGCAAACTTCCCTTCCTTGATAAAGGTCATGCACCCTTCACATGTTAATAGAGGAGCTTCTGTGGTAAGCCTATTGAAATTCTACATGTTTTTCGATTACCATCAATGATTTAGGAATTTGAATGCTTGTTAATGTGTACGTTACTGGATTGCTGCTGGGCGCTGGCATGGCAGCGTCTATTGGCAGAGTTTTGCCACAAGCATTTACCTGAGGAGGACTCAATGATCGAGTTGGAGGATGAGAATGGTGAAGTTGACACGACAAAGTATCTAGCCTATAAGAACACTTTCAGTGCGGGATGGGCAGCGTTTGCCAGCAAGCATGATTTAGTTGAAGGAGATGTTCTGGTTTTCGTGTTACTTAAGCCAACCAAATTCAAGGTACTATTTAAAGTTTCAGTTCCTTCTGCTTAAGAGTTCAAAGTTTCAAGGAACCCTATTTTGACTTTACCATTTCTTAAGGTCTACATTGTGAGGACAAGTAGGTCAGAGGGAGTGGATGGTGCTCTTGATATGGGGAAGAAACCTGGTAAGACTAAAACCCTCTTCCTGGCCCCCAAGCAAGTTATTTATGATGTTTGTTATGGCTTTTGGGTAGGAACTAGCTGAAACTGAATAGAAGGAGAATGAGAATGAGGTAAACTTCGTTCATACTTGTAGTAAAAGCTTGCTCCTTGATTTTCTTCAGTTTACACAAACAATCGGAGTACAAGTGGCAAGTCAGCTTTCAAAACTGTCCACGATTCTGATCTTTCATCCGACGATAACTACGTACTTGATGAGTCGAAGAATGAAAGTGATGAAGATTTTGGATTCGATATCCCGGACGGTATTCGGATGTCATCAGAATCCACGGTTGATTTCCGACAAGTGAAGAGCTTTGCTGACTTTGACATTATAGTGAATGGCTTGGTGATCAACAGTGAGCTCTCTAAGCAGCTCCAGCATAAGTACTATGAACTATGCAGCAGCCAGAAGTTGTTCCTCCATGAACGCATTCTCGATGGCCTCAACTGTAAGCTGATTGCCGGTGTAATCTCCCAGACCATAAATATTGCTGATGCCATAAGGGCTTCAGAACTTGGTACCCAACAGAAGGAAGAGTTTGTGACTTGGGAGAGCACTTTGTCAGCATTTGAGAAGCTGGGGATGAATGTGGAGTTCATACTAATCAGGTTGAGGCGGCTCATGGGTCTTTGTGGCAATGTCAATAGGTTGAAGAGATTGAAGACTGAGAGAGCTGAAGTGGGAGAGAAGGTGAAGGCTCTAGAGGCGCTGCTCGAGAAGTGGGCGAGAAGAACGAAAATGATAGATGAAGAGATCGAAAGGTTGGAGCTAAATGACGTGGTTGGTGTTCAGGCGAGGTACAGAGAATTGGCAAAATCTCCATGGTGAACATGACTTGCTGACTTAGGGGTAATTGGTAATTCACTTTGTGCACAAAGAGTTTTTTTCAATGTGCAGAGCTTTAGAAAAGTAAGCTCTTGAACATGGTGCATCGATTTGTTTGTAATGGCTTGTTACTAGTTGAGCACTTGAGCTGACCGACCCTTCACCTAATGAATTTGGAGCCGCAGAAGCAAAGGTTAGAAACTCTGAATGATGTATATGGTTAGACTGTAGTCAGTGTAGTGTATTCTCTACTACAATATAACGTCATTTAGTCTGTACATACCCCACACTCTTTCACATCCAACTAATCAGACTTAGACATTGCCGGGTTTTCAACGATTTACAATAACCGCTGATAATAACGTGATAATTCCGTTACAAACTCGTAATGATTAAACTTCAACGTGAATTATTGTAGTTTTACATCATAAATTTGCTACCATTTGAGGGTCGAAGTAGCAAATCAAATCTTAAACGACAAAATATTGTAAATGAGTAGCAAATACTATGGTTACCTAAATTAAATTTACCACGTCGACTGATGACTAAATAATACGAGTTGGGTATCCAAGAAGTAATTTTCCATATGCTTGTAGCTAGCCAGCCGATTTAGAAGCCCAACCCAACGTTCTTCTCGGATAAATTAGCTGAACCAATCTTCACATTACTGCATTTGTTTCTCTTCTACCCTTCTGCTTCTGGTCTATGAGTTTCTATGTGGAAAGACTGCAGCTTGGAGTTCCTGCTGCAGCAATCCATTCATCCCCAAAAGAGAAGAAAGAATTGCTAGTGTGGTTAGCATCATGACCGTTCTTCAAGCTAAGAGATATCAGGTCGAACCCAATGCTAAAGACCCTTTTTTTGTCATTTTACATTCTTGATCTGCTGCATGAGTGAAAGCTTTGAGCTTGACAATTGACGGCTGATCGCCTGCTCTGATTTTGCTGCAGGCGAAGAAGAGAAGGCCACGGGAAGTTTGCGACGGGGCTGTTTCCTGCAGCAATCAGGCGAGAAAACCGACTCCGACTCCGACTCCGACTCCGCTTCCGTTCTTTCTCTTTCTTTCAGTCTCTAGTCTACTCTAATGAGCTTTGTTTGGTGGCACTCATTGCCCTTCTGAAGATCTCTTTAGTTTGCTTCAATTGCCCTTGTGAGATTTTTTTCTTTAGCTTGCTTTCATCCAGTTGTTCGGTGGTTCCTTCCTTGCATGATCATTACTGAAATCAAACTGGGTCTGGTGGGTTCTTAGTGAAAAGCTGAATGCATGAGCTATTTACCTTTTTTCTGAACTTTGAAAGAGATGTTTAATGTAGGGGTTGTGGAGAAATAGGAAGGGAAAGGAAAAGGGTTTTGAAACAAAGGAAGAAAGCTTGAATATGTATGTGCTTGGTCTACCTCAGGTGAAGAATTTTGATCTGATCTGGTCGACCCGATTTAGTAATCTGCTTTCATTAGCCATCATTCTTTCGCGAATGTTTGTGCGTTGTCAAAATTATTCAACCTATTTCGACAGGATTCAAAAGCATGATTATCCCACTTGAACATTGTTCCACAGTAAACTAATTGACTGTCTAACAGTACTTATAACAGGAAGCAGATATAGTCGCAATCAAGTCTCCTGTAAAGTCAGTCAAGAATCAGAAGGATATCTTCAGTGCTATGGGGAAGAGGGCCTCCATGGAGAATCTGTATGTCAGTGGCGAGGTTGACAATGCTGCAATGAGAAAAGCACATGAGTTTGCATCTAGTCTACCTGGAAACTTTCCTACCTTGATGAAGCTTATGCACCCTTCACATATTGGGTTTTCCTTGGTAAGTCTATCGGGAATTCAATGTGGTGTTTTGTCTTGTCAATGTCTTTTCTGCCCCGGGAGTGTTGGATGCTTGTATCTTTATCTGGATTGCTGCTGTCATGACAGCATCTTGTGGCAGGGTTTTGCTACAAGCATTTGCCTGACAAGGATAAGGTGATCGACCTAGAAGATGACAAGGGCAAAGTTTATCCCGCCCAATTCTTAGCTAGTAAGCATTGTCTTAGCGGTGGATGGAGAGCTTTCTCCATCCATCACAAGTTAGTTCAAGGCGATGTTGTGGTTTTTCAGTTACTTGAACCGACCAAGTTCAAGGTGACTTCTCTTTTTTTTTCCCCTGCTGCCTAAAGTTTGCGTGTCTTCTACTTGATATTAAGGGTATAATATTTGACTGTTTTGCCATCTCGTTAGGTCTACGTAGTGAGAGCAAGTGCCTCAGAGCAAGCGAGTAGAAGATCCAAGAGAAAGGTCGAGACAAGTGCCAAAGAAGCCAAGAAGACCAGCATCACCAACTGCAAAATTGTAGTACATAAACAAGACGAGCCCAAGAATGGAAGCGAGGAAGATTTCGGTTTTGATATCTCAGATGGGATAATTATGTCATCAGATCAACCAGCTGTTGATTTCCAGCAAGTGAGGAACGTTGATGACTTTGACATTGTGGTTAATGGCCTGATCATCAACTGTGAACTCTCCAAACAGCTTCAGTACAAGTACTACGAACTATGCAGCAGCCAGAAGTCTTTCCTCCACCAACATATTCCCAATGGGCTTAACTGTAAGCTGATAGCCGGAATAATCGCTGAGACCACTAACATTGCTGATGCAGTAAGGACTGCAAAGTTCGGTACTCGACAGAAGGAAGAGTTTGCAACTTGGGAAAACACATTGTCAGGATTCGAGAAGCTGGGAATGAATGTGGAGTTCATACTCACCAGGTTGAGGCAGCTCATAGGGCTTTCTGACCATGCCAATAGGTGCAAGAAATTGAAGACTGAGAGAGTTGAAGTGGGAGAGGAGGTGAAGGCTTTGAAGGCAAAACTCGAGAAATCGGTAGGTAGAATGAAGAGGAATGATGAAGAGATAGAGAGATTGGAAAATGAGGAGGATGTTGAGGTGAGGTTCACAAAATTGGCTGAAGCTCCATGGTCAATGTAACTGGATGCTGACTTTGTATCTAGCTTAGAGAGCTACTAAGTTCAAACCATTCTGTATGAGGTTTGTACGACTTGGCTTGGAAAGATATAAAGTCACCATCTCTGTAGCTATGAATGACTCGGACGGTCCAAGTTCTAATACGATCGACCGGATGATCGAGATCTTCGAGCAGCAAAGTGATTAACCGAAGGGATTTGTATCAGCTGAATGACCAAATGCATACACGAAACTAAGTTGTAATGTAAGATTCCATTGAATTCGATTACCTCCAGTGTAAATTACCATCAACTGGAAAACTGCAAGCACGGATACACATGGATGCCAGAAAACCAGATGGGTCCATATCATCATACCCAGTTGGGCAAATGCATGGTATTTTTCTACAACCCCATGCCACATTCAGCCATGCAACCTCACATGGAGCATAAAGGAATGGTGACTGGTACAGGACAAGTAAGAAGAATATAGAACTGGCCCATTAACTAGCGCCAATGCGCCATTCTTTTTGCCGAATACACTGCATACCCACCAAATTTCAACTCATTACATTTGCCTTAAGAAGTAAAAGTAAATAACTTCTTCCTCGTGTAATAAATCATAGAACTTTCAAAATCAGTACATTCATACACCACTGAATTCAGTCAGCCATTTATTTCTACCCAGTCCAATGAAATCAGAAGGACTACAGATAGGGAAAGTCAGGAAAGAAGGTATTTTAAAAGAGTGGAAACATTAGATTAGAAAGTAAATTACACTTGACACAGATAGAGAAGATTACACCATCTAATGACTACTAAAACCGAACCAACTTCAACAAACACCAAAGATGTTCAAATCTCAATCATGATTGAGGAATCCTGGGGCTAAAGTGAAAACCAGGAGGAGTACTATTGTAACTTTTCTGCAAGGACTTCAAAGAAGTAGGATTGATCTGCAGGAATAGATAGTTCCCAGCGAAGAGATCACCAAAATGAGCATGGCCTTCTTTCAACCTCTTCAGCACTTTCCTGATGGAAGCTCTAACCATCCTCATCACCACTCTCTTCCTCCTAATCAAGCTCGAAACTTTGACCCTGATGAAGCCTGGTGATGATGGTGATCTCCTTCTCCTCCGCCTCCATTGCACCCTTCTGAACCTGAACAAGTTGCTCCTAGCTGTTGGCCTTCCAATGAAACTACCATCAAAATGGCCAATACCTCCTCCATCTTGTGACTCTTCACCACCGTAGTCCAGCTTCTGGTAGCTGGAGAGCCTCCTGGGGAAGAAAGACTCCATGGTTTTTGAGAGGGAAGTTGATCAATGGAAAGGAGAGGGGTTGAGAGAGAGGTTATAAGGAAGGAGAGACAGGTGTTGGGTGGTTTCTGGTGTTCTGCTAGCTGGATGAAGATGTAGCTACATGCCAAATGTGATTGCTTTGGCCTTTTTGGATTGGATTCATAATGAATTTCTGGGTCAGTTGGGGTTGAGTTTGGTGATTAACAAGCAGTTGAGAGAGAAAGGGAGGAAGAGCATTTAATGGTGGTGGTGAAGAATAAGATGGTGGGTGGCCTTTCTTGGTCCTCGTGGTGGGGGATTCTTTTGGTTGGTTACAACTTCACAATAATGACACACGAAGAGCTAAGTTTCACAGCTCATCAAGCAGCTTTACTGCTACATCTCTCATTCATACCATTTCCAAGCTAACCGATGCTATATTAGTTTAGACACACAACCGAGTAGCACGTTTGTGATGTATAGGAAACTCCATCACCCTCAAGTATGTTAACTCATGAAAAACTAGGAGTAAGGGAGCACTATCGACCAAAATGTCACCATTTTAAGAATAAACATGCAAATTTTCTTTTATAATAAGGATTTTGTTATAAAAAAATATATAACATACATGCGCCTAATTTTATTTATGATAAAAAGGTAAATCTATACTGCTATAATCTCGACGCATCATGACGAGTTCTTCTAGTAAGTCAAGAGGTCAACGTACACACCAAAAATAATCTGACCAATGATTCTAGTAAATGGCATTCTTCATCTTCACACCAACACAATTACTCACCGAAAATCAAAGTTTTTTTTTGAAAGAGGATTCATTAAGAATACGAATGGGCTAAAAGCCCAACCGGAAAAGTACAAGCTACTAGCATCAGAATTGGAACAAGAAACTCAAACAACAGGCCAAACAAAACAAGCCCGGAACCCAATAGGGCCCAAGCCCATGACCCCAACATGTGAGAGCACTCCCCAACCCTAGCCGCCAGAGCCCCCTCTGGTCTCTTCCACCGCCGCGGCCGAGGTCCACCACCGCCACACGATCACGACACGGCTCCTCCTCCCACCACCAGCCGTCACTGTGAAAGAAAAGCCGGAGGAGAATCCCGTCGAACCCGGAAGGCAGGAGGAGGACGCATCCGACCATCCCACCCCGAGCCAATCAATAGAAGCTTCCCGACAACCACACCAAAGGAAAACGTTCGATCAACCGGACGGTCGGGGAAGAAGATAGAGGGTGAAAATACTTCTGCCTTCATGCTCTCCCAACCGCGTCCAAAGCCAGAGGCCACATCTCCGGATCGTCAAGATCTGCAAAACGAAACAAGGAGGAAGACGGAAGAGGGGAGAGGAGAAGACAAGCCAGATCTACAAAAGAAATGGCCTCCTTCGTATCTTAGACGGGAACACTTCTCCAGATCTGGGAAAACCAAATCAGAGGCCAAAAGACTCCACTCACTGAGGAGGAAGACAAGACACCCACCAAAGGGAAACAGAAAGGCCACAAGGGGCAGAAACAGAGCAAATCGCAAGAAAAGAAAAGAACAGAGTAAAGCAGATCGGGAAAAAGAGCACACAGCGAACAAATCGATGGAAAAAAAGGGGGGGCTGCTGTCGGTCGCCGGAGAGACGCCGGCAGCAGCCCCGCACTTAGCCCGAAAAGGAGAAGTCTAGAGAGTAGTCAGAGAAAAAGAAAAATTAGAGAGAGACGGAAAAGGGGAACTTAGATTCTTAGGTACCGAAAATCAAAGTTGATAAATCCAGAATTGCATCATATACCACTGCATGCACATGTGTAGAAAGAAAGCACAATTGCAGTACTAGTCTATCCTAACTACACATGGAATATGACATGAGATGATTATTGATACTAGTATCAATACCCGCGGCTACGCCGCAAGAACATAGTATATTTAAAAGCAATATAATAATAAGAGAAATAGACTTTAGACATCAAATCAATCCACACCCACATTGTCGTAGTAAAATTTCAGCAATCTTTAGTTGTAAAGGATAGCAACATTCAACACGTGTATAAAGAAATTGTAGTAGTGAAAAAAATATGGGGACAAAACTCACTAAAGTACTCTGCCTAAAAAGATATGTTACTGACAATTGAAGCAAACATTTAATTGATAAGGATACCTAAGCAAACTCATAATAAGATTGAGCCAGCTAGTTTCGACACCGCTCTGAATTCTCGAGCAGAACCAACATAGAGACAAACCTAAAATCCATGTGCTATAGAATCTCCAAAGGAAGGCTATGTAAGAAGCTAAAACCAAATACGGAAGAGAAGAGATCCGAATCTAGGCCATAATGGCCATTGGAATGTACTGTTACTATTAGATTTTTCTCGCCAACTGATAGGACCAAGGACACTAAATAAATACTGGAGAGAAGATGACCGACTCTAGAACATAATGGCCCTTGAAAGGTACTAAAGTGTAGTTATCTTTTGTAGCCAACCCATGAGTAATGAGACCAAGGTCATTGAACAAATAATGTTTCTTTGCGAGCAATTATTTAATATTTGCATTGAATCGGCTTTATTTGAGTTTAACCATGAAAAACAATCACATTTTGAAGTTAGAAACCCCTTTTCGGTCATTCATTATCGGTTACTCTTCAATCTCAAATAATACTGACCAATATCCATTTAGCATTCTCGCCTAGTTCAATACAACCTAAAGGCGCAGAGTCGATAAACACTTACCAAGCAAATACCATAAATTCTAATATCACCTTTGACATACATGCTCCATCACTTGGTGATTTTCTAATACCAAATAGGCAAACCTGAAACCAAAATCTTATTACTCTCCATAGTTTATGTGTCCTTCAATTCATATGTTTCATAAACTATTTTATAGGATTTTAAATCCAGGGACCATGAGAATCTGACGTTGGGTCAGATTTTTTTTGTCATATAACCCAAAATTAGAGTGCTAATTGAAGTTAGGATTGTTTTTCTGCCTCTTTCAACATTTCGACTGCATTTAAGTATAACCCTTAATGACAACATTTCTCTACTACAAATTGACCATACTGGACAACTATACAGTGACTTTCATTGATTTGCAGCTAAGTAATCAACTCAAAAGAGTTCATGAGTATAGCTAACCGTATTTAACATCTTTCAGCAAAACCGTCAATGTCACTTGCAAATTGCAACTTTCTGCTTGAGCAAGAACTGTCCAGACTCCCAGTTGAAGCTGCTAGATATGTATTGGATGATGTAAAGTCCTATTGCATTTCCTTCCTCTTCAAAGTATATCGAATTTCCCAACATTGGGAGGACTTGACTCCTGATATGGAAGCATGGAGCAAAAGTTATCACTTGCTTTGGTGGCTAGTATTTCTAAGGAAGTTCAATCATCAAATGAGTGTCACAGTTAACTCATGAATGTACTAACCTGTCCCATAACAACAATAAAGCAATGAAGTTGATTATCTTTTCTGAAGTAACCGGAAGGCCTACTCCGCATATGAAAACTAAAAGGTGAAGCAAAGAAACTTACTTAATCTGCTCCATAAGCATCATTCCAAAGCATAATGCACTGAATTTGTCCGAGAGCTTTCACTTGAAGCATACTCGAGAGCCAAATATCTACATAAAAACAAAGAAAATGCATGAACAAATCGAGTTCAGAAGATTTGACTATAATATTCTCCACTTCAAAAAAGTAAAACTCCATCAGAACATTACCCGAAAGTTCCCATCACCCTACTTGCATAAAGTACATTGGCTTCGAGCTTGAATCGAAGAGTACGTTGGCTGCCTGAGTATCACGATGAATGAAGCACATGTCTCTCACAAATGATGACTGAAACCAATCAATTAATAGACTATATTTAGAGAAGCACCAACCACAATCAAGTGACATATAGTGTACCAAATACAGAGACGATGAAGTTTATAAAGAAAATGAAAGCACATGGACTGTACCAATGCTGTTGTTGCTTATTTTCAATGGCCAAGAGGTTGCTCTTCACCAATACTTTTGTTGCTCATTTTCAATGGTCAAGAGATCCGCTCACACTACGCCACCACTTTTGATTTCAACACTTGGGTTCTTGTCTTCAACCCATTTAGTTGAACCTATCTACATGTTTAGAGCAGTAGGTTATGCTTTTCCTTCTGCTTATGACACATTCACACACATAACTAAGATAGAATGAAAAAGAGTAGAGACCATGCCACACCTGGGTTCTTGTCTTTAACCCATTTAGTTGATCCTACCTGCATGTTTAGAGCAGTAGGTCATGTTTTTCCTTCTGCTTATGCCACACGCACACATAACTAAGATAGAATGACGGGGAGGAAAGAGTAGAACCATGTCATACTCCTCTGCATCTCAATTGAAAAAGATAACTGTTGTTCAAGGTTTCCACCCTTTCTTCTGCGCTTTCCGAGTCTTTGAGGAATCTATGTTTCTTTGAGCAAGTCTGTAGCGATGTTGGAAATTGTCAATGTGATAAAACCACTGGTGGTAGAGCAAAACGGGAAGTAGTAGGAGGCAGTGTTATCCACCCATTCCAAACTACTGAAGTTCAAGAAAGGCAGCAAGGAATAGTAATGGACCGAGAAGAAACTCTTTGTGGAACATCAATGAGTTGCAGGACTGACATAATGATTGAAAATAAGAAATTCTCTAGGGAACTCTAATCAAACGTTAAACAACTCCGAATAACTACCAAGGAAAATTCATTAATTAGAATTGCAATAAATCATGACATGAAAGGAAGAAGCTACGTCTAGATCCTATGAACTGAAATTGTCCATACTGACTTCTGCCTAACCCTTAAAGCATAATCAGATTGGAGATCATTCCTAGCTGTGGATTCCAAATTTTCCATGTAAAAATTCATTCAAATGATGGCATCTTCACAAACCTATTCCAACAACATCATACATAATGAGAATAGATTGATACTAAGGACTTTTAAATAGACTGCGAAGTAAAGGTATCATTGGTAGCAGGTTGCAGCTTAATCAAGCAATGCAATTATACATAGCAATACACATAGCCACAATAAAGAGAATGTCAAACTTCATATCAACAGGCTCTACACAAACTGTAAGGATATAAGCAATCAAAAAGCAAAATTGTGCAGCAACAGGTAAAGAACGTTCAAATATATATTACTTGTAACAGGTCAAGGGAAACTCTTCTAGATTTCAACTACATTATTATTTCCACTCTCTTTTAACAAAGAAACAGGGTCATTAGCTAATGAATTTTGCTATGATGGTAGACAGTGTTGAATAAACAAATTCACGAAGTAGCATTGCAAAAATACTGCAAAAAGTTGTAACCACCAGAATCCACCTGCCACCTTTCTATATGTGGTATTTGTTCAGAACTTTTCGCGAAGTAGCATTGCAAAAATACTTTCATCGATCATTGAACTCTCTTTCAGGAACCACAACACCCAAATTGGCTGCTAATTACGATCCACTATCAATACTTGTTTCTACCAAGATAATATGGATGTCTACTGCTTGTCCCCCCTCAACTCTAGCACTTGTGATAAGATGAGAAAAGGAATTTTTGTTACGAAGATGCAGAACGTGACTATTGAAAGGTTTACATGCCTGAAGATATGAAGGAAAACTACCCTTCTAGGAAGTTCATTATAAATCCAGGTGATTAAGCATTTGCCATCTTTTTTTACCCAAATCTAGCATCCTCTCTAACCTCTGAATGTTGGAACGAACCAAGTTCTTCCTGGCAATGATTTTAATCAATTACTTCTATTACTTGATCAAATGAAGCAGCTAAATCGTCAAATGGGTGCTTAAAAATTAAGTGCTCACCACAGTTGTCTTTCCGATTGTAGGAGTTGTGACACGACCAAGACGGAGGTCCTGCATTGTTTCTGGTTACCGAATCAACACAAAGCTGGGTGCAAAATGATAAAACAGGAACTTGAATTTATTTTGAGAAACATATGGGATTCAGTCCTAGACCTTATACTGGAGGCCGTAACTGGTTTCAATGTAGTCTGGATACATCATTTTGGTATTGTCGTAATCCTTTCCCCTAAGTGCAGGTACTGGATTGAGAATAGGTGAATGCAACCAACAGAGATCGGAGAAAGAAGCAAGTCTAGTGCAAGTGGTGTCATAGAAATCATTCTTTTCTAAACATGAGCTATGGAAGCAACTGATATTTGTGTGTATACTTGTGAAAGAGAGTAAAGAAGATTACTGTATGCAAACTCGGAAGTGGTGGCCACTCCATGCCAATTGGATTGAGCGAGCAACCCAAGTGAAAGCATAAAAGCTTATCTTCTCCCAAACCGATCCTCTGTCATTGGGCCAATAGCAACTCCAAATATAGGACTCTCGTTCTATCAAACATTTCACCAGCAATGAAATCAATCAAGCCCACTTGACCACAACCCGTCATGTCCCCTTAAGCAATTAGTTGATATCAAGGACAAAGAAACAAGGTTAAAATATTTTGGATTTTCTTTTCTTGTTATGTTCCAAGTTAGCAAAGTGTTCTTTGCAATGATTGTTTTAGTTGGGACATTATGTGAAATGAAGAGTTGTGTGATGAGCAGGAAGGAACAACACGAAAGTGTGCTTTGTGTTTTTAGTTGGGCTATGAAACATTGGCGAATCCAGTATATAGTAGAGCACTGGGCCGCATTTGATAAAGAATTAGATATTATAAAAATATATATAATAACTATAGTGTTCATTATAGTGGAAATTGTAAAGAAAATAGTTGATAACTAGTCTTCAACCGTACCAATAGCATATTGTCATCAAAGAAAATAGTTAAGAAATCAGCGAGAAATTCATCACTCATTTTGTTGTGCAAATAAGATTTCACACGTTCCATTGTTTAAAATGTTCTCTCTCTAGTAGCCGTTGAAATGGGATAACGTTGACACTATATGAATCAGTCGACAAATCAATTTGTATCATGTATCATCCTTGTTTCCACAAGCTTCTCTAGTAATTTTGTGAGGGAAGAAACTACATGAGCGGCATAATATCATAGCTCATTCTTCAAACAATGCATCTCATACCTTCATAATCTCGAGGATAAAACTCTTCAACAAGTTTGTAAATATTTTCTTCATCAAAAGACCGGAAAGATGGTTGACCTTCATTAGAAGGGACTTCTTCGGTCTGCAACTTTCAGATTTGTTACGTCGATTTCACCTTTTTATTTGGTGCTTGAGAAGATGTCATGATTAAGTATCTTCAAAGATGCATAATCAATTAATCATACAATGTTGTTTTGCCTTCTAACTTTGCGGAGGAATTCGTTCTGGGTCCATTCGTCTCCTTATTCTTATTTTGTTTTGGGGGATCAAGAGAACTTTTTGAGTTTTGATAGGGGATGGTGAGCTTTAATTTAGAGATTTTTTTAAAATTTATGCTTTTATTCTTTTACGTTTTTAAAATTTTAGTGGCATTAGAATTTATAGACTGCATTTAGGGGTTGTTTGGAGAATATGAGTTTAAATCTATAGATTGTCAACAATATAAAGATTCTAATTCTTCGGATTGTTGAAAATAGATTTTAAAATATTTATTGTTTGGTAACTGTGATTGTTAACATTTAATGAAAATAAAAATAAAAATTTTATATTAAATAACATGTTTATCCTTAACAAAAAATTAGAGTAGTTTGAGAAATATTTTAAAAAAATTAGTAAATATATTTAATGTGATAAATAAATAAAAGAAAGTGAAAAGATAGGAGAAAAAATCTCACGAATCAAGATATAGAATCTCTCTGATTATGAGAGATTTGATATCCATAGATTTTAAAGATTGAAAATCTCTAAAGCTAAAATCCACAATACAAAAAACAACAAAAAAAAACATAACTTTCTACAAAATCTACGGATTCAATAAATCCACGCCCTAAATCCCATTCTCCAAACGACCCCTTAGAGTAGTGATTTGGATATATTCATCTGTACCATTGTCATAGTTCTCCAAAATTTTATTTCTAAATGATAATAGACCATCTTTTAATAGAACTGGGCCAAACACCTAAACAAGAAAAATTTAAACAGTTAACACGAAAAATTTATAAGTGCCAAGGTTGTTAACCCGTGGGTCGACCCTCCAGTTGGCCCGCTTTGACCCTGACCCGGTAAGAAAAACGGGCTATACACACACCCGCCGGTAGGTCAAACGGTGGCGTTTTTCTTTGGTTTGTGAAATGTGCCTATTTTTCGGTTTTGCTTTTCGCATAAACCAATCTTTGAAATTATAAGTTGAACATTTGAACATTGATGTTATATAAGTGTGTGTGAAATTTCACTATATGTTGTATCCAAGTACATGTTATTTTGTTCATACATGTTATTTTGACGTAATTTTATATGTTATTACTCATATATTTGATGAGATATTAAATAATTTATATATGTATGAACAATATAATGATTTTTACCATATGTCCGGGCTAAAGCGATCGACCCATTAACCCTCAACTTATTTGCTTGACCGGGCCAACGGACTTATAAACCGGGTTTATTAAATGCTAACTAGTTTTGTAGTATGGGACGGCTGGCCGGGCTCCCCCCTTGGATTCGCCGCTGCCATGAAATCAAAATGAGCACACGATATTACTACATGCATATATTGTGACTTGTTGACCAACCACTAATGTGAGTATTAGTTCTTGCTCACTCTTCTCTTCATTGTTTCCCCTTTTCTCTGATTGTAAGCTCCATTGAAGAGCTCAATCCAACCAACAGCAAGGAGAAGTTGGGCAGATCATAATTTTCCTTTATCAACCACGTTGTTTTTGGACGCACACAATGTCAAAAAAAGCAATGATCAAGAAAGCAACAAGTAAGTTTTCCATTCCATCTAGCGGGTTCTGATTTATACGATCCTAACATATAATATTGTTTGATTCATGGAAGGATGAAGTCAGCCGCCGTGTTATGTTTATTTGCCAAAATGTATAAAAAAAAGAACTTTAAAGAAAAATGCAATCATAGTGAAAAATATTAACAACTAGGTCAATTAATTTTCAGTTTCAAATCTTCAACATGGCTGCCATGGGTTTTCCTTTGGGACGGCGTGGCCCTCCACCATTTCCATTTTGATTTGCTTGTTTCCCTTTACATTCCCTCCCCCTGTTTTTTTCGTTTGTCTTTTCATCTTTCCTTTTCGTCTTATTGCCCATCTTTTGGGTATTCAATCTGCTCTCCTTCTGAGATGGATGACTTCAGTTCGAGCCTCTACTTCTGAGTTAGTGGCACGTTATCTTTTTAGGCTTATTAGGTGAATCAACTCATTTATGTATAATCTTTCATGTTTTTTTCTTTTATTAAAGGTGGTACACTTACAGGTACATTAAAGAATTATAATCTTTCTCTAGATTATTTTTTGTTTGCTTATTTTTTTCAATTTTTCTTGCTTATTTTGGACAAATAAGATTAATATTCATTAAGATTATTTTTGACAAATACAACTATTCCCCCAGAATTACATCTAACTCCTTTTCTTCTTTCCCTTACAGACTTTTTCAAAGATGCAATTGGTATTAAGAAGCAAAACACTATAAGGTTGAACCAGAGTTGGTCAAGGTCTCCGGCCCGAGTCAGCTTGTCTCGTGCCAGCTCAGTTGCACGACCTTCATGCGCCTCGTTTTGTCCATCCGAAGAGAACCAACTTGTCTCGTGCCAGCTTTGTGAACTTCTTGCCGATCAACACACTCGAAAACAAGCTGGCAACACTTGGGATTGGTTTCAAAAGGGATACATGACTATTGAGCGATTCAAGAAGCAACTCAAACGTTATGAGAAAATGCCTAACCTCAAACTTGCCTTGGTGGAGGCCATCCTCAGGCATCAATTGAAGATTTTAAGGAAAGATGAACTCACTAAGAAATCAAAGACACCTATAAAAAAGTGAGATTCTTTCGAATGAGGCTGCTCCCCCATCCACCTTTTGTTTCGGGAGGGTAAGTTCTCATATACCCTACACTATTTTCGGATAATTTTTAGTTTATAATCTCAAATCATTCTCATTTATTTAGTTTTTTTCTTGTTTAGTTTCTATCTAGAAACTGATGGTTCGTTTAGAGATGGCTTCGTCTACATTGGAGTGGTTGTGAGAGACGAGCATGAAATGATAAGGTGGACTGCCACATTAGCTAATTAAAAAACAAATAAGTTATGAAAAGTTTTATACTTGATTAAATTGTTATGTAAAAACATTACTGAATTAAAAGAAATATTTATGCAATTCAAATTGATGGTGAGCAGTTTACTTAATAATAAATGAATATTACTTCAAACCTATGTTACAAAAACTTAAATTATGGAAGACTTGCGTAATATATATGTTTAATTAACCCCAAGGGGTTGACCTATTGGTAATGTGGGATAATAACATCCACCACACTTTAGGTTCGAATCTTCAGACCAATAACAAATGAAAAAAATGTTTCTTTAATTGATACTTAAGAAATGACTATCCCTCCATAAGTTTTACGTAGCTTTTTAATTATTATGAAAGACTTATATAATGAGTTTTATTTCATCAATACATAAGAAATAACTATTCTCATAAGTTTTAGATAATGTGTTTTATAATTTAACTAATTATTATATAATGTTTACGTAAATCTTCCTTAAAATGTGGTCTAATAGAAAAGAAATTAAGTTATGAAATTACCATATTTGATTAAATAATTATGTGAATGTGTGGTTTCATAAGTCCTCAAACAATCACATTGTCCCACCTCCCACTACTTATATACGTGGCTTAGTAGAAATACATGAGGTGGATGATTACTTGATTAATCATCTAGTTACCTACACTAACCAAACCATTTCCCCGCTTACTACACGTGGACAGGGGAGTGAATCAGGTCAGTAACTCTTATGGTGAGTAACCATCAGTAACCTGTCAACATCCGTATGACATCAGCATCCCCTCTCTCCTGGAAAGTCTTTTATTTTTTCCCCTTTAATCTTTAACGGATGATTTCTCTCTCGTTATAAGTCGAAAATTAATTATTTTTTTTTGCACAGATAAATCAGATTAAATGTGCTCTTTAAAATGATATCCACTTTGATATATTTTTAGTACAAAAAAAATTGAATAATTTTTTACCAGTCATTACCATATGGTATGCTCATATTTAATACCATATGGTAAGAAAGCGTACCATGATTGTATGAACATACCAATATGATAAGAAGGTTGATTACATGATAGTAGGAGTATACTAACTGTCATTTACGACTTTCATCATTGTTTACTACAAGTTACCATCCACATACCATAGTGGTAAAGTATGATAATTTTTTGTCCAATATTTTTTTTACTCAGAAATTTGTAGATCCAATAGATCATGATGAACTCGTTCCTTCTAAGCAAACGTTTTCAAAAACGACTTAAAAACGAAGAAGTTATCATATGGTATGTAGTTGGTAAAAAAAAAGTTTTTCGAAATATATTGAAAATTGATATCATTTTGTAGAGCACAACGAACTCGTTCCATGTGTGAAAAAAATTTGAAATCCGAGTTAAAACAAAGAAGATAAGAGCCGATTATGAAAACTAGGGAAAATAAAATGTTTTTAATTGACAACCCTTAGATCTGGATTTTCTGGACTCACTTAGATCTAGAGGTCCAGATTTAGTTATTCATAGGTCAGGGAGAAGAGCCAGGTAAGCAAAATCCCCCCCCCCCCCACCACTCATTTAAGTTAAGGGTCATATGTGTTTCTTTCTTTATTCGATACAACCAACAACCATTACTATTTACATAGATTGGTTGGTTGCTCTAGTTTTTTTGACACTCACTCGAGCATTGCACGAAACATGTTGGTTTGGAGATAAAAGAATATTATTTTTTACACACCATCCACGTCAGAAGCATGAGACACCTATAAATAGGACGCTTATTATGCTTTCAAGGCATTTCATTTTGGAGTTGAACTCTAAATTTCTCTCTACAGGCGGATCAATACGCCGCTCTCGGTTACTCTCGTCTCAAATACTGACTTGAGCTTCGGAGCAGGTCCCCGCCAACCACCGCCGGTGGGTTCCTCTTTTGCAGGCGTCCATCTCGAAGGCTGGTAGCGGCAGCCGGCAGGGGCGGAGCTAAGATTTTAGATTCAGGAGGCCCGAATGACTTAATGAATATCATAATAACGCAAAAAAAAAAAAGAGCAGTAACATATCTTAATGAAAATAATGATGATATTCTTATAACGAGGTAAGATTTTATTTGAAAAAAATCAAAATAATTTAACATATAATTTATTCTAAAGTTTCTATAGTGTTATGTTCATAACAATGAGCAAATTGTATAAAAAAATTTAACTATACAAGTCGATAGATATCATATTATTCAATATATTCTTAATTGAAAATTTACTTATCCTTTGTATTAGTGTTTCAAAAGAATTACTATAATTGACTATAGCAAAGAATTCTTAAATTACCAATTCAAGAGTCCAAGAACTTAATTAATTTAATTTGAAAGTATAGGATTTATCAAACAAATTATGAAACTTAAAGGATTAAATTTACCATTGCGTTGCAAGAAAGTTTTATAAAAATATAAAGAATGCGGCTAGCTAGTTTCGAACATGGAAAATAGAAGAACTAGGTTCAACAAAAGTATTTTATTGTATGACCACACAGTGGCGGAGGCATGATTTGAAACTACCCGTCCTCTTTTAAAAATATAAAAATAAAATTAATATAAATAAAGAAATTATCGACTAATATAATTGATGTTTGCATAAACAATTATGACTAATTTTCATTCTCTCAAAGCAATGCAAAATACATTCGTTGTCTATACTCTTAAATAAGCATCTTTCAATGTATCCTATTAAACAATCTTTAGCAAACTGATCGTTAATTCGACTTCGAAACTTTATATTAGTATAGTTCAAGCTAAAAATGTTATTTATGCACTTACAGAGTTACAGTTGCAACGGGTAGAATCAAAACTAGTTTCAGAAGCAAATAAACTGATGGATATGACTTACATATTTTTGTCTCCATCATTATTCGAGACAATTCATCAATTTCTTTCAATTAACGAAATCTCATATCATGATAATACCCAACAAGTTATTGTCGAATAATTATCATGAATGGAACACATAAAATATTTATTTTTAATCAATTATTAGACAGGTAATGAGCTATGATATAGTGACAAAATATTCTTATATTACTTGTAATTGTTGGATACAAGGACAATATAAGCTGGCTCTGCCTATGGTACCACACCCTAACACTAAGAGAAAAAACTTGTTCTCACCTAAAAATTACACAAACACTATTCACACCATTTGCCTCCACCAATAGTGCTTTCCTAGCCTCCTAGTTTAATACATGTAGAAAATATGCTACTTACCAAACTCCTTGGACTACTCTTAAAAGCTGGACATTAGATGACGAAATACAGCCAAGCAAGCATTTAATGAGATGACTATGTTCCGAAAAAAATACCGCATCTACAGTAAATTCTGTAATCAACATTCTCACATGCTCTCTTGCTGGTTTGTTAAGCTTCTATCTGTTTATATTCATTCAGAAAATAGTACTCATAAGAAGGGGAACCAAATTGGGCGTTAGCGATCAGGAAACTGGAGAAAAATGGTTTTCCATTTCTGTATGTACAAATTTCAAGCCTACAACTGAAACCAGCAGATCCAAAATAATAACATTGAATAAACGAATTAAAGTATTACTGGAGAAAACCACGCATTAGTTACAAAAGGCAGGAAAACCCTTAATCCCTTCGCCCACGGTTTAATAGAGTTTTATCCTGGTGCTGATCGGAGTCAGGCAGATAGGGCACAGTTGAAGGTTTGCGTTTTCACCACACTCGCGACATGTCTGAAGCCACACAACAAAAGAACCATCAAACCGAAATATCAATCAACCTCCATTCGATCTCAAGTTTCTCACAGATAAAATCACCAAGGAGCTATTAAGAAAGAATACGCACTTGGTGCCCACAGCCGAATGCCATGTCCTTCGCGTTGCTGAGGCAGATAGGGCAAAGCCGTACAGTTAAACAGACCACCAAAATGTGTCATTTGAGGCTGCCATTGCAATCAAAACTCTAGGTTATGCAGAAAAATTGGCCGAACCATAAGTAACTAACCTGGTTTTCGTAGGATGAACTTGTGATTGGCGGTGCTAAGCTGATCGGATGGGTGTCTGGTTCATAAACCGGCACAGTAGGCTTAAATCTGGTAGTAGGCTGGAAAGATTTGGAGCTGGTAGTAGACTGGAAAGATTTGGAGCTACTAAAAGATGAGGACCCATAGACAGGAGGTGGGAGTGCAGCCCGCTGAGGAATATTTCCCCTTTTACGACTGCAGATTCAAAGATAAAGAATCAAGTAAATAAAAGAATAGACAACAGAATGATGTCCTGAGGAGACATAGGCATGGAGGGGCATCTATTATATTGTAAAAGGTGTCTCATTGAGGGGAGCTTGTTAGAGGTTTCCCCAACTCGGTCCTTAAGTCGTGATCTTTAACTCAAAACAAACTCGTGTATGTGCAATGGAACAAAAAGAAAGAAGAAAAAGCTGATATATAGGAAGACAGTAATTAATCCTGACAAACAGAGAAGCGAAGTGCTGAGCTGTTACCCCAATAGTCCAAGTTCCATCATTGCCTTGTATTGAGGAGGAATTTCCATGAGAGCAGAAAGTGCAAACTGTGTCTCCTTGAGGGATTGTGACTTGTTGACCAACCACTAATGTGAGTATTAGTTCTTGCTCACTCTTCTCTTCATTGTTTCCCCTTTTCTCAGATTGTAAGCTCCATTGAAGAGCTCAATCCAACCAACAACATGGAGAAGTTGGGCAGATCATAATTTTCCTTTATCAACCACGTTGTTTTTGGACGCACACAATGTTAAAAAAAGCAATGATCAAGAAAGCAACAAATAAGTTTTCCATTCCATCTAGCGGGTTCTGATTTATACGATCCTAACATATAATATTGTTTGATTCATGGAAGGATGAAGTCAGCCGCCGTGTTATGTTTATTTGCCAAAATGTAAAAAAAAAAGAACTTTAAAGAAAAATGCAATCATAGTGAAAAATATTAACAACTAGGTCAATTAATTTTCAGTTTCAAATCTTCAACATGGCTGTCGTGGGTTTTTCCTTTGGGACGGCGGTGGCCCTCCACCATTTACATTTTGATTTGCTTGTTTCCCTTTACATTCCCTCCCCCTGTTTTTTTCGTTTGTCTTTTCATCTTTCCTTTTCGTCTTATTGCCCATCTTTGGGGTATTCAATCTGCTCTCCTTCTGAGATGGATGACTTCAGTTCGAGCCTCTGCTTCTGAGTTAGTGGCACGTCATCTTTTTAGGCTTATTAGGTGAATCAACTCATTTATGTATAATCTTTCATGTTTTTTTCTTTTATTAAAGGTGGTATAGGTACATTAAAGAATTATAATCTTTCTCTAGATTATTTTTTGTTTGCTTATTTTTTCAGTTTTTCTTGCTTATTTTGGACAAATAAGATTAATATTCATTAAGATTATTTTGGACAAATAAGATTAATATTCATTAAGATTATTTTTGACAAATACAACTATTCCCCCAGAATTACATCTAACTCCTTTTCTTCTTTCCCTTACAGACTTTTTCAAAGATGCAATTGGTATTAAGAAGCAAAACACTATAAGGTTGAACCAGAGTTGGTCAATGTCTCCGGCCCGAGTCAGCTTGTCTCGTGCCAGCTCAGTTGCATGACCTTCATGCGCCTCGTTTTGTCCATCCGAAGAGAACCAGCTTGTCTCGTGCCAGCTTTGTGAACTTCTTGCCGATCAACACACTCGAAAACAAGTTGGCAACACTTGGGATTGGTTTCAAAAGGGATACATGACTATTGAGCGATTCAAGAAGCAACTCAAACGCTATGAGAAAATGCCTAACCTCAAACTTGCCTTGGTGGAGGCCATCCTCAGGCATCAATTGAAGATTTTAAGAAAAGATGAACTCACTAAGGAAATCAAAGACACCTATAAAAAAGTGAGATTCTTTCGAATGAGGCTGCTCTTCCATCCACCTTTTGTTTCGGGAGGGTAAGTTCTCATATACCCTACACTATTTTCGGATAATTTTTAGTTTATAATCTCAAATCATTCTCATTTATTTAGTTTTTTTCTTGTTTAGTTTCTATCTAGAAACTGATGGTTCGTTTAGAGATGGCTTCGTCTACATTAGAGTGGTTGTGAGAGACGAGCATGGAATGATAAGGTGGCCTGCCACATTAGTCGAACATGAAGATAATATGCCAATTCATCCACGGGACATACATGTCATGGAAGAAGATGAAGGGATCTTTATGGCCCGTCGTAAACTCAAAGCAGAGGAACCATAATTGGTCAACGAATTTCGCTACCTTCAAGTCATTGGTGATTCGAAGAAATTGGATGAATGGGCTTCTGCTGGAATGAGGGAAGGAAAATGTTTGTTGTATGGGAAAGGGACTCTGTGGGGATTGGGGAAGCTCTTTCACGAAGCCCTTTCACCAATTGGCACTAAAAGACAGAAAGTGAAACAGTAACGGGAAAAAAAGAGCAAAAAGCGTAGCCAGCTTTTATATACTAAAAGAAACTTTTGGTTTCTTGACCCTCAAACCACCAATCTCCCCTTACACATTAATCCACATGTGGAAAGAAAGAATGGTGATTATTTGGGTGCTTTGAATAAAGTTTTCCCTATCATTTCCACATGGCCAAAGGAGGAGAAAGTAAATAATTTTTACCAACAACTTGTTGTCTTCTCTTCCTTTTCTCTTCATGCAAAACACTTCTCTCATTGTCATACTCTTACACGTGGAAGGAAAGTGAAAATATTGCATTTAAAGAGACTAGCTTTTTTGCTCGCGTTTCACCGCGGTAAGAAATTAATTATATTTAAATCTTATCTAATTATTTAATGATTAAATATAATCAAATAATTCATAGAATTGCTCGGGTAAGATACCTTCATAAACTTTGCTTCGTGTATTAATCATTAAGAAATACTTACGTAATAGGTTGTTATGCCTCCATAGTTTTGCATGATGTATTTTTAATTAACATTATTATTATAGAATGTTGTTATGTATATCTTCCGTAATTTGTGATCTAATAACAAATCAAATGCTGAAAAGTATCATAATAATTAAAATATTATATGAAAGTTAACCTACCTTATGATACATTAGCATAATGCTAGCTGATGAGATGATTATTAGTGTATTTAATAATTAATTAAAATTATCTAATTAAAAAACAAATAAGTTATGAAAAGTTTTATACTTGATTAAATTGTTATGTAAAAACATTACTGAATTAAAAGAAATATTTATGCAATTCAAATTGATGGTGAGCAGTTTACTTAATAATAAATGAATATTACTTCAAACCTATGTTACAAAAACTTAAATTATGGAAGACTTGCGTAATATATATGTTTAATTAACCCCAAGGGGTTGACCTATTGGTAATGTGGGATAATAACATCCACCACACTTTAGGTTCGAATCTTCAGACCAATAACAAATGAAAAAAATGTTTCTTTAATTGATACTTAAGAAATGACTATCCCTCGATAAGTTTTACGTAGCTTTTTAATTATTATGAAAGACTTATATAATGAGTTTTATTTCATCAATACATAAGAAATAACTATTCTCATAAGTTTTAGATAATGTATTTTATAATTTAACTAATTATTATATAATGTTTACGTAAATCTTCCTTAAAATGTGGTCTAATAGAAAAGAAATTAAGTTATGAAATTACCACATTTGATTAAATAATTATGTGAATGTGTGGTTTCATAAGCCCTCAAACAATCACATTGTCCCACCTCCCACTACTTATATACGTGGCTTAGTAGAAATACATGAGGTGGATGATTACTTGATTAATCATCTAGTTACCTACACTAACCAAACCATTTCCCCGCTTACTACACGTGGACAGGGGAGTGAATCAGGTCAGTAACTCTTATGGTGAGTAACCATCAGTAACCTGTCAACATCCGTATGACATCAGCATCTCCTCTCTCCTGGAAAGTCTTTTATTTTTTCCCTTTTAATCTTTAACGGACGATTTCTCTCTCGTTTTAAGTCGAATATTTTTTTTTTTGCACAGATAAATCAGATTAAATGTGCTCTTTAAAATGATATCCACTTTGATATATTTTTAGTACAAAAAAAATTGAATAATTTTTTACCAGTCATTACCATATGGTATGCTCATATTTAATACCATATGGTAAGGAAGCGTACCATGATTGTATGAACATACCAATATGATAAGAAGGTTGATTACATGATAGTAGGAGTATACTAACTGTCATTTACGACTTTCATCATTGTTTACTACAAGTTACCATCCACATACCATAGTGGTAAAGTATGATAATTTTTGGTCCAATATTTTTTTTACCATGAAATTTGTAGATCCAATAGATCATGATGAACTCGTTCCTTCTAAGCAAACGTTTTCAAAAACGACTTAAAAACGAAGAAGTTATCATATGGTATGTAGTTGGTAAAAAAAAAGTTTTTCGAAATATATTGAAAATTGATATCATTTTGTAGAGCACAACGAACTCGTTCCATGTGTGAAAAAAATTTGAAATCCGAGTTAAAACAAAGAAGATAAGAGCCGATTATGAAAACTAGAGAAAATAAAATGTTTTTAATTGACAACCCTTAGATCTGGATTTTCTGGACTCACTTAGATCTAGAGGTCCAGATTTAGTTATTCATAGGTCAGGGAGAAGAGCCAGGTAAGCAATTCCCCCCCCCCCCCACCACTCATTTAAGTTAAGGGTCATATGTGTTTCTTTCTTTATTCGATACAACCAACCAACCATTACTATTTACATAGATTGGTTGGTTGCTCTAGTTTTTTTGACACTCACTCGAGCATTGCACGAAACATGTTGGTTTGGAGATAAAAGAATATTATTTTTTACACACCATCCACGTCAGAAGCATGAGACACCTATAAATAGGACGCTTATTATGCTTTCAAGGCATTTCATTTTGGAGTTGAACTCTAAATTTCTCTCTACAGGCGGATCAATACGCCGCTCTCGGTTACTCTCGTCTCAAATACTGACTTGAGCTTCGGAGCAGGTCCCCGCCAACCACCGCCGGTGGGTTCCTCTTTTGCAGGCGTCCATCTCGAAGGCTGGTAGCGGCAGCCGGCAGGGGCGGAGCTAGGATTTTAGATTCAGGAGGCCCGAATGACTTAATGAATATCATAATAACGCAAAAAAAAAAAGAGCAGTAACATATCTTAATGAAAATAATGATGATATTCTTATAACGAGGTAAGATTTTATTTGAAAAAAATCAAAATAATTTAACATATAATTTATTCTTAAGTTTCTATAGTGTTATGTTCATAACAATGAGCAAATTGTATAAAAAAATTTAACTATACAAGTCGATAGATATCATATTATTCAATATATTCTTAATTGAAAATTTACTTATCCTTTGTATTAGTGTTTCAAAAGAATTACTATAATTGACTATAGCAAAGAATTCTTAAATTACCAATTCAAGAGTCCAAGAACTTAATTAATTTAATTTGAAAGTATAGGATTTATCAAACAAATTATGAAACTTAAAGGATTAAATTTACCATTGCGTTGCAAGAAAGTTTTATAAAAATATAAAGAATGCGGCTAGCTAGTTTCGAACATGGAACATAGAAGAACTAGGTTCAACAAAAGTATTTTATTGTATGACCACACAGTGGCGGAGGCATGATTTGAAACTACCCGTCCTCTTTTAAAAATATAAAAATATAATTAATATAAATAAAGAAATTATCGACTAATATAATTGATGTTTGCATAAACAATTATGACGAATTTTCATTCTCTCAAAGCAATGCAAAATACATTCGTTGTCTATACTCTTAAATAAGCCTCTTTCAATGTATCCTATTAAACAATCTTTAGCAAACTGATCGTCAATTCGACTTCGAAACTTTATATTAGTATAGTTCAAGCTAAAAATGTTATTTCTGCACTTACAGAGTTACAGTTGCAACGGGTAGAATCAAAACTAGTTTCAGAAGCAAATAAACTGATGGATATGACTTACATATTTTTGTCTCCATCATTATTCGAGACAATTCATCAATTTCTTTCAATTAACGAAATCTCATATCATGATAATACCCAACAAGTTATTGTCGAATAATTATCATGAATGGAACACATAAAATATTTATTTTTAATCAATTATTAGACAGGTAATGAGCTATGATATAGTGACAAAATATTCTTATATTACTTGTAATTGTTGGATACAAGGACAATATCAGCTGGCTCTGCCTATGGTACCACACCCTAACACTAAGAGAAAAAACTTGTTCTCACCTAAAAATTACACAAACACTATTCACACCATTTGCCTCCACCAATAGTGCTTTCCTAGCCTCCTAGTTTGATACATGTAGAAAATAGGGTTAATACCCTAGTATGGCCCGAAGTTTGGCGTAAGTGACAGTTCTGGCCCCATTTTTCAAATAAGACATTTATGACCTACTTTTGAAACTATTGGACAAATTTGGCCCAAAATTTTGTTTGACCGTTAATATTAACAGTCAAACACTATTCCGTTAATGACTCACCTAAAACCACTGATGTGGCATACCACGTCATTAAATAATATTTTAAATTTTATCTCTTAATTAAAATAAAAACTATAAAATTAAGAAAAATTTTATCATCCCAAAACCCCAAATCCAAACCATAATCCCCTAAACTAACTTTCTGTACAAAAAAATCCCTAAACTAAATCAACATCAACAGCGCCCCTCCTCCTTTTTCTTCATCGAATCCCTCTATTCCCTCTAACTGCATTCTCCACAACCATTTCAACATCAACAGCGCGTCGCGACCGCCGTTCCTCGTCCCAAGGAGAAAAGGACCATCACGACATCGCCTCTGTCCGCGGCCTCAGCCAGGGTACTGCAGGGAGATCGCGATGGTTCCTCTTCCGCCTCTGTGATGCTCCGACGGATTGCGGTCACGGAGGACTATGACGCCGACGAAGACGAGGGCTGCCACGAGGAAGAGGAGGATCCGAGCGAGCTACCTCCGTGGCGGCGACGAAGATGGCGAAGGCCATGATTGTCACTGCAAACGCCGCCGCGATGGTCGTCCGGCTTACCAGCAGTGGGAGGAAGGAAATAGAAAAGAGAGGGATCGGTAAGAAGAGGAAGGAGGAGGGAGGCGTCTCCTGTTGATGTTGATTTAGGGAATTAGGGTTTGGATTTGGCGCTTTGGGGATTTGGGATAATTAAGGATTTTTCTTAATTTTTATTTTAATTAAATTATAAAATTAGAATAATATTATTTAATGACGTGGCATGCCACATCAGTGATTTTTTTATGAGTCATTAACGGAATAGTGTTTGACCGTTAGTATTAACGGAATAGTGTTTGACCGTTAGTATTAACGGTCAAAGAAAATTTTGGGCCAAATTTGTCTAATAGTTTCAAAAGTAGGTCATAAATGTCTTTATTTGAAAAATGGGGCCAGAACTGTCACTTACGCCAAACTTCGGGCCATACTAGGGTATTAACCCTAGAAAATATGCTACTTATCAAACTCCTTGGACTACTCTTAAAAGCTGGACATTAGATGACGAAATACAACCAAGCAAGCATTTAATGAGATGACTATGTTCCGAAAAGAATACCGCATCTACGGTAAATTCTGTAATCAACATTCTCACATGCTCTCTTGCTGGTTTGTTAAGCTTCTATCTGTTTATATTCATTTAGAAAATAGTACTCATAAGAAGGGGAACCAAGGCGTTAGCAATCAGGAAACTGGAGAAAAATGGTTTTCCATTTCTGTATGTACAAATTTCAAGCCTACAACTGAAACCAGCAGATCCAAAATAATAACATTGAATAAACAAATTACAGTATTACTGGAGAAAGCCACGCATTAGTTACAAAAGGCAGGCAAACCCTTCATCCTTTCGCCCACGGTTTAATAAAGTTTTATCCTGGTGCTGATCGGAGTCCGACAGATAGGGCACAGTTGAAGGTTTGCGTTTTCACCACACTCGCGACATGTCTGAAGCCACACAACAAAAGAACCATCAAACCGAAATATCAATCAACCTCCATTCGATCTCAAGTTTCTCACAGATAAAATCACAAAGGAGCTATTAAGAAAGAATACGCACTTGGTGCCCACAGCCGAATGCCATGTCCTTCGCGTTGCTGAGGCAGATAGGGCAAAGCTGTACAGTTAAACAGACCACCAAAATGTGTCATTTGAGTCTGCCATTGCAATCAAAACTCTAGGTTATGCGGAAAAATTGGCCGAACCATAAGTAACTAACCTGGTTTTCGTAGGATGAACTTGTGATTGGCGGTGCTGAGCTGATCGGATGGGTGTCTGGTTCATAAACCGGCACAGTAGGCTTAAAGCTGGTAGTAGGCTGGAAAGATTTGGAGCTGGTAGTAGACTGGAAAGATTTGGAGCTACTAAAAGATGAGGACCCATAGACAGGAGGTGGGAGTGCAGCCCGCTGAGGAATATTTCCCCTTTTACGACTGCAGATTCAAAGATAAAGAATCAAGTAAATAAAAGAATAGACAACAGGATGATGTCCTGAGGAGACATAGGCATGGAGGGGCATCTATTATATTGTAAAAGGTGTCTCATTGAGGGGAGCTTGTTAGAGGTTTCCCCAACTCGGTCCTTAAGTCGTGATCTTTAACTCAAAACAAACTCGTGTATGTGCAACGGAACAAAAAGAAAGAAGAAAAAGCTGATATATAGGAAGACAGTAATTAATCCTGACAAACAGAGAAGCGAAGTAGCTGAGATGTTACCCCAATAGTCCAAGTTCCATCGTTGCCTTGTATTGAGGAGGAATTTCCATGAGAGCAGAAAGTGCAAACTGTGTCTCCTTGAGGGATTGGTGCACGTTCTTCAACATAATCTCCGTGAAATTTACAAACTACATGAACATAATTTCAGATTTCTTATGGATTTCTGAAGATGATCATAATGAGCTGTAAAAGAGAAACTAATGGAAGTGATTCAGTTACCTGGAAATTATCAAACTCTCTAGCAGGGATGTTATCATCAAACTCTTTCATCGTGTCCCATGGGCCATCCCCAACCCCTACCAAAACAATAGACAAGGGAAGCTTGCTGCAGAAGAGGAAATCCATGATCAGGAAACAAGTGGCGCATTCCACTCAACAGTGAAATACAGGAACACGTATAAGGAAAATAACAGAGGAAATCATGTCACCAGACTGTTTACCTGGCTTGTACAATGGCATCAACTGTCTTCTGCTCCTGTGGACTTAGCCGCCCATGCTCAGTGTCAACACTCCTAGTAACCTGTGACATGGTAAGCACGTGATTATAAACTACAGATTCTCATTGACAATTATCATGTGGTGTCTAATTTTTATCATATACTGAGGCGAATTACCTGCCCATCTGCTATTATCAACAATACATGATACTGGCCACCACTCTCCTCAACAATCGTCATTGCCTTCTCAATAACAGGTGCAAATGACGTCGGACCTACCAAGAAAAAAAGATGCATAAGCTCCAAAAATAAACTAATGTGGCAATTCTATCCATGGAATACAAATATGACTTGGGGAACATGTAAACCAAACCTGCAAGTCTCAGGCTTGGAGCAATTTCTCGATATCGGCTTAAAACTTCTTCAAATCCATTACAGAACCTCTCATCCGGATAGAAACTAAAGACATCCTGATCGTGTGTCGTAGCTGGCAATGGATAGTAACTCTCAGTAACACAAATTGCTATGTAATTCAATTATCGAAAACAATTCATAAGAGTTGAGACCCTACCGTCTCCAAATCCGTAGCAGGGAATCAAGTTGTCCTCATCAAAGGCAGCTAAAGTCTTCCCAATAATAGAAATAGCTTGCTCGTAGGGATTCAAGGCATCTCCAATGTGATGTAAACTTTTTTTGTTGTAAGACTTAGCACCTAGTGATCAAGCCATGTTAAGCCGTATGTTCTAACAGTGCATCCTAATTTACAAATCAAAACATACAACAGAAACATATACCAGTCCACTCGTTGCTCTTCGTAAAGTCAATTCCAACAATGAGATTTGATGATTCAAGTCCAGCACGTGCAAGAGCTTCAGTCACCTGCAAAGAACCATACCAGAATGATCAAAAGCCTATATTACCTCAAACCAGGAGGTAAGATTGAATTGAAGGACGTCCTTAAATCCAATTGCATGCATAGCCAGCCAATTCTCATCCAATAAACAACAAACAGACAAACATAATCTTGTAAACACTTTACCTGGTCCAAGGATTTATAGTCGTCGGCAATTATCGAATACTTTCTATCAAGCCGCCTTCTATCACCACCTCCAACTTGAGCCGGTGGAGGATAGTTTGGCTGTGTGGGAGGTTGCTGGGGTGGCGGATAGCCATATCCATAGCCGTCTTGACCATACGGCTGCCCATAATATGGTTGTTGAACATAATCCCATGAAGATGCCGCCGCAGACCTTACAGAGGAATCCGACCTCCAGCTCCCTTCCCTCGAGTTCTTTGCTCCCATGAAAAATTCACAATACTCTGCAGAAAAAAATCAACAAAGCCTCTCTCTTTATCTCAAAAACTAAACAACCCACAACACAGAAGCCCCTAACAAGTCAAATTTCCTCCAAAAGCACGATATGAATGGCGGTTTCAACTTGCAGAGAAATATATAATAAGATGTTTTGGGGTTTTGGTAAAATAGATGAAACATCCAGGAAGCACCCAAATTAGCTTACTTAGCCAACAAAGAATGACTCTTCAAGAGGCTGCTGGCTGCTTGACTCGCTCACGTAACTCGGCTTCCCTTCCCTACCCCCCACCGCTTTCTTATCGGTTAAAGTTCCTTTTTTGCGCCTAAAATTTCTCTTTCCCCTTTTGTCTCTCCTGTCAGAAACGTTATTTCTGCTTATATACAGAACTAGCGGCCACAGCTCCAATTTTGGCAGAATGCCGAAATTGGCTACGGTAGCTTCGCCGACAATCAACTACAATCCACTGATCGGAAACCTACCAGATGACGACCGATGGATAGTTAAAACCCAACCGGCATTCCTCGAGATTATTATAGGAGACCTAGGTTTCGTATATTTATCCTGACCTCTGTTTATGAAGCAGGTTGGAGAGGAGGGAGATGGTGTAGCATCGTCTGAGAAACTTGATGCGTGGAAGTTTCAGTCTGCCACAGTGGATTATTTGTGTTGAGTAGATCAGTAGCAAACCGGGAGATTCTGCCAAGGCGGATCTGAATCGGATTCCGGAATCGAGACTTTCTTGTTTCTTGGTGTGGGTCTTCCGTGAAAGGGGAAGAAAAGGAAGGGTTAAAGGTGAGCGGAGGAAAGTGAAGAAGCTTTTTTGGCCGATACTGGAATTTGAGGTTTTTTTGTTTTGGGTCAGGGAATTGATTAACAATGGCGGAGTGGCAGGCATGCGATGATGGCAAGGATACAACTTTGAAGGTTCGCGGCAATGGTATGCCAAGTAAACACTCCACGATGGTATTTTTAAATAATTTTTTATGCGCTTTCCAATTATTTTTGTTAACAAATGCATTTGTTAAAGATTCCAAGTTTAACTTTTTCAAGCCAATATTAAAATTTTGATGAAAAAAATAAATTTTAAGTCAGAACTCGGACGATGTTATACGAACAAATGAATTAAATGAATAAGAGTACAAGACACGGGTTGAGAAGAGTGTAACAGGGTGGGTCGGTCATGAGGAAATTTGTTAACTAAAAATTAGTGTGTGTCTAAGTGAGAATAGTTGATCGTGAGGCTTTGTGTTTGAACCTTGGCAACCACATTTGTTAATTACATAGAATTCATATTTGTTCAAACTTCAATTTCATATAAGTTGACTTTCTTACGAGGATGTGTGTAAGTAAATACTATAAGATTATATTATTCAATTTCTCTCAACAACTCGAGTTATTGATACTAAATATTATTGGAAAAAAATCACCATGTTTCGAAAGGAACTACTAACTAAATTGTCAATAATTGTTTGGTATAAGATTAATTACTAAACATCTCTCAACAACTGGGTTATTAATACTAAACGGTTCTTGATAAAGAACATCGTTCGAAAGTGAACAACTAACTGAATAACGAATAACTTGATAGTTACAACTACTAATGCATTTTAACTTACAAATTCCAAATATAAGATTGTTTATGAGATTTGAATCGGACTATGAGCCGCTACCATATTGGAGATTAGGGTTAGATTTAGGAAAAATACTATAAATACTTCTCATACTCTTCTGTAATCTATACGTATCTCCTCGTAGTATAGTGAAATTGGCTCTCTCCGGCTCGTGGACTAGCTAACATACATTGTGTTAATGAACCACATAAATCACGCGTCGTGTCTGTGCTTTCGTTTTTCTTGCATTGTCGAATACTCCAATTTCTCGATCCGCAGAGAAACAGTCGTGACAAAGATAATATCACGAATGATTAAAAAAGTTAATAAAAACTATTCTCATGTGTATTTTTTCCTAAGTGGACTCACCTTGGACGAAATTTTGGCTACGCCCCTAATAAGACATGAGCATTGATACAATGATATGGATTTGATTGATAGTCGCTAACTCATTGTTACAAGTAAATTTATCCATCTCATGTGTTATTCAATGCTAGTGTACCGTTAAAACGAAAAGAAGAAGGATGTTGGGATCTTGGTGAACTTCTTGTTAGAGATAAATCAACTGACTGAGTATTTGGTCGTGTCACGTATGAAAAAGAGCATTGCGTGAGATTCATGTACCATTAGTTACTTACTTGTTTAACAATACAAAGTAATGGATAATTAAATTTTGCAAGTAATCATGAGTCACAAGGTTCGAACAAAAGGATGCTCTCTTTCAACATATTGTAGCCAAATCAATCCTTAAGTACCATTAATTAGTTATATATGGGTAATGCATCCATAATGAGATAATTACAGTAGAGAAATCAACGATCAATAGTTTGATAATTCCATTATACATATGGTTGTTGATATCCAAATTCCTACTAAAAAAATGTCACCTTCCCTGTACATTATTGTATGGTATCCAAATCCAAGTCTACCCCAAGTGAGTGAGAGAAAAGCATTGTAGTCGTCAACAGCACCACCCCTGAAACAAAAGCAGGTTACTACACCATGATAAAAATGAAGAGATTTACTGATCCATATCAATCCAATGGACTCTAGACATCAATGGGCCAGCCCACCTATTTGGGCCTCACTGGGGCTGGCCGGCTTTATTGAATCAAACCGAAACGTCAACCAAACCAATTCCTCCACTCGTACCACTGAGCTCGACCTCACCTGATTCTTGCCCGCCCTTTCAGACGACAGAACAGTTCAGTGCTCAGTAGTAGTCTAGCAGACTAGTAGTAGTAGCCAGCCCAGCAAGAAGCAAAGCAGCTGAAAAAAGCTCGCAGAAATCAGATTCCTTTCTTACCGGTTCAGTTTCAACTTTCAAGCTTCCAATCCACCAGGGCTTTTCGAATTCAATTCATTTCCATCGAAAGTTCAAGTCTTTTCAGTTTTAACCCTCCACCGATTCAATCGGAACGAAGAAGAAGAAGAAGAATGAGGCAGAAAAGCGACCAGCTTCGGTCGTCCAAGCTAATCACTTACCTTCTCCTGATTGTCATCCTGTTTCTCGGCCTACTCTGTTTATACTACGGCTCTTCCTTCGCGCCCGGATCGGACCCAGAATCCCTCCGCCGCGACGGCTCTGACCCGGTCCTCGGTTCACTGCCCGGTCCCCAGCACTTCGACGATGACTCCCTCCAGAATCTGGAACTACCCAGAACCATTCCGGTAAGTTCAGTTCCGTTTTTCCTCGAATTGGGGGATTTGGATGTCGTTTGATGTTGGAGAGTGTTGGCGTGTTTGATTGTAGATCTGTGATATGAAGTTCTCCGAGCTGATACCTTGCTTGGATAGAGAGCTAATTTACCAGCTGAGGTTGAAGCTGAACTTGTCGTTGATGGAGCACTACGAGCGGCACTGTCCGCCGCCGCAGCGGCGGCTCAATTGTCTGATTCCGCCGCCGGCTGGTTATAAGGTTAGGCAGGATAAACTGGAGTGTTTGTGTTTCGGAGAGTTGGTTTGGTTTTAGTTGTCGTGATGAAATGCTGGCATTTAGAGTTTCAGATTCCGATAAGGTGGCCGGAGAGTAGAGATGAAGTGTGGAAAGCTAATATCCCACATACCCACTTGGCGAGCGAAAAGTCTGATCAGAATTGGATGGTTGTTAAGGGGGATAAGATCAATTTCCCTGGTGGAGGAACCCATTTCCATTATGGTGCTGACAAGTACATTGTCTCTCTCGCTAGGGTAATTATGATTGATTGTGCCCAGAAAGTTTTCATCTTTCCACCCTCTCTTTCTTTGACTTGTTCTGTCTTATTTGTTTGATGAGAAAGTTTGAACCTTTATTCTCGTTCCTTCAATGCAAAGCCACAAATTCGACCCCACAGACACAACAAGTTACTGTCGTTTTGTTACAATCTCTTCATTCAAGATCATATGACAAGCTACCCTATTCATGTAGATGCTTAAGTTTCCAAACGACAAGCTTCACAATGGTGGGAACCTTAGGAATGTCCTCGACGTGGGCTGTGGAGTGGCAAGCTTCGGTGCCTATCTTCTTCAGCACAGCACCATAGCCATGTCTCTGGCACCAAATGATGTTCACGAGAACCAGATACAGTTTGCATTGGAGAGAGGGATTCCATCAACCCTTGGTGTCTTGGGGACCAAGAGGCTTCCGCATCCGAGCAGATCGTTCGAGTTGGCTCATTGTTCAAGGTGCAGGATTGATTGGCTGCAGAGAGATGGAATCCTGCTGTTGGAGCTCGATAGGGTGCTGAGACCAGGAGGCTATTTCGTTTACTCGTCCCCTGAGGCGTATGCTAAGGATCCGGAGAACCAAAGGATAGGGAATGCTATGCATGATCTTCTGAAAAGAATGTGCTGGAGGGTTGCTTCCAAGAAAGACCAAACGGTGATCTGGCAGAAACCAACCAGCAATGGTTGTTACTTGAAGAGAGAGCCTGGGACTCAGCCGCCTTTGTGTAGCGCTGAGGATGATGCAGATGGTGTGTGGAATGTTCAGATGAAGGCCTGTATTTCTCAATACTCTGCACGTAAGTTACTGAAAGTTGAACTTAACTGAATTATGTCCTTAAATTGCTTCAAAATCAAGTTCAGTACCTAATTTGACACATACCATCACATGTTCAGTGACCAAAGTTGGTATATTAACCTAAGAGCATTCACTAGCCTTTTGCTGAAGTTAGCAATTCATTTTTTGTTTTTCTTTCAGAGATGCACAGGGAGAAAGGGACTGGACTTGTACCATGGCCGCAGAGGCTAATCACACCGCCTCCTCGTTTGGAAGACATTGGTGTTAGTCCCGAAGAGTTCCATGAAGACACTGTAAGGCTTTTTGACTCGTTGCTTAATTTCACTAACCACCTTCTCGATCTTTTCTATGTTGATAGCTGGCTTGCTTCTTCCCATTATATTTTTGCAGCGTATATGGAAATTTAGGGTGAATGAGTACTGGAAGCAGATGAAATCCGTTGTGAGGAAGAGCTACTTCAGGAATGTCATGGATATGAATGCAAATCTCGGAGGTTTTGCTGCTGCCCTTAAAGATACAGATGTCTGGGTGATGAATGTTGCTCCAGTCACCATCTCAGCCCGGCTTAAGATCATCTATGATCGTGGCTTGATTGGAACGGTTCATGACTGGTAGCTCATTCATCCTTCTTCTCACTCTTTCAGCCTCAATGATTCACAGGGTCAATACTCAAAGTACTTATAATACCTGTTTTGGGGGGATATCACTGTATAGCGATAAATATGTTATCAACCTTGATTCTAGCATTACATTCAATGATCCTGATGGAAACTTGTGGCCTCTCTCTTCACTCAGGTGTGAATCATTCTCAACATATCCGAGAACATACGATCTCCTCCATGCCTGGGCAGTATTCTCGGAGCTGGAGGAGCGAGGCTGCAGTACTGAAGACCTGCTCGTTGAAATGGATAGGATCCTGAGGCCCGAAGCATTCGTCATCATACGAGACAAACCATCGATCATTAGCTATATCCAGAAGTCATTACCGGCATTGAAGTGGGATCGGTGGGTGTCGGAAGTTGAACCGAGCACTGATGCTCTCTCGGTGAGTGAAGAGCGAGTCCTGATTGCCAGGAAGAAGCTATGGAGCAATTAGTAGAATGTACCTACAATGTGAATACGGTATAATGTAATTACCATCATCTCTGCATTTCTTTCGTTTCTCTCTTCCTTCCATTCTTGCTGCAGCACTTCTTCAACAGCCATGCTTCCCCTTGTGTCCATATGACAGGTTTTGTGGAGCTGTTTATTAAAAGGGAACTGCAAATTTTACACTACCAAAGAACATAATTCTTTCCACAGAAGTTTGCTTAGATTTTTTGGCCCGAGCGAATGTGCTCCAATTCCATACACAGGAGACGTGGAAGGGAACTAGATTGTTAAGTTTCCATGAGAGAAGCATGATTACGGTTAATGATTCGTTTCTTATGTATATGTATCTGAACTGAGATCCAGTGCTGTAACTTTTAGCTGGCCAAACTTAATGAAAGGTTTTTACCTTTTTGCCTGCAAATTGTGGGAGGGAGCGGGGAAGGAAAATAGGATATAAGTACTCTTTGGGCAAGTTTTTAAAATTTTGTGACTACTCTGTTAACAGGCGAAACTTATATGACCATTCTTGCCTTGGTACCGTTTTGTTAGCATAGGATCATTATCAACATTTTCTGAAATCGGATAGAAATAAGTGAACATCCCAATGCTCTGTTTCAGCTGCCGAACTCAGATTAGAAAAGAAAAAGGAGAACTCATTTTTGCACACACACGGATGAATATTTTACACACATCTTCTCTTTCTATTGCCTCTCTGCCATATCCTTTGCACGAAAATGGCCGCCGCCGCTCTCAGCTGTCTCCCGCCCTAGAAAGCCTGCAATCACTGCCCACTGACTGTTGGGTTCAAAAAGTTCAACCCTTTTTCACTCCTTTACCTCCGTTTCGTCCCGATTGTTAATCGAACTCAGCTCTACCAACAGCGACAATGGCGTCCACGCCGCCGCTCTCAATCAACGCCCAGAAGCCTTATCACAACAACCCGCTAACACAAAACAACTTCCAGACCAGCAGCCACCGTCAGCACCAGCAGCACCACCACCACAACCACCACCCGCAGCAGTACCGCCAGGTACCCAATCAGAAATTCTGGGTCCCGGGCACGCGCAGCGCCGCCGCCGCCGCTTCTTCCTCTGCTGCTACAGCTCCCGCCTTTCCTTCCCTAGCTCCCCTTAAGTCACCCGATTCCAACCTCGCCGCCAATTTTTCGGGTCGCAGCTCGACCCGGGTCGTCTCCAAGTTCCACCTGGGTCGACCTAAGTCAACGGCGGGCTCCCGCCACACTCCAATCTCCGAGGAGGCTCTCCGCCAGGTGATGAGTTCAGGAAAAGACGAATTAACCCTCGAGAACGTTCTCCTCGCGTTCGAGTCTCGCCTCTGCAGCTCCGACGACTACATTTACATGCTCCGTGAGCTCGGCAACAATGGCGATTGGGGAAGAGCCCTCTGCTGCTTCGAGTTTGCCATCAAGAGGGAGAAGAGAAAGCTGGAGAAGGGGAAGTTAGCCAGCTCCATGATCAGCACACTCGGAAGATTGGGCAAAGTGGAGCTGGCAAAGAGCGTCTTTGAGACAGCTTTCAATGAAGGGTATGGCAACAATGTGTACACTTTCTCTGCTTTGATTAGTGCTTATGGGAAGAGTGGCTACTGTAATGAAGCTATGCAGGTCTTGGAATCGATGAAGTACTATGGCCTTAAGCCGAATTTGGTCACTTACAATGCTGTGATTGATGCTTGTGGCAAGGGGGGAGTTGAGTATAGTAAACTAGTAGAGATTTTCAACCTCATGTTGAAGGATGAAGTGGAGCCTGATCGAATTACCTACAACACTCTGCTTGCTGTATGTAGTAGAGGAGGTTTATGGGATGCTGCCAGAAGTTTGTTCAGTGAAATGGAAGGTCGAGGGATCCAACGGGATTTGCATACTTATAATACCCTTCTGGATGCTGCTTGTAAAGCTGGGCAATTAGACATAGCATCGAAGATTATGTCCGAGATGTCTGGAGAGAAGATGTTTCCAAATGTGGTTACTTATAGCATTATGATTGATGGTTATGCTAAAGCTGGTAGATTGAATGATGCCCTGTTGTTGTTTAATGAAATGAAGGTTAAGGGGATTGAGTTGGATAGAGTTTTGTATAACACATTGCTCTCGGTTTATGCTAACCTTGGTAAGCTTGAGGAGGCTCTGGACGTCTACAAGGAGATGCAAGCTTTTGGATTTGGAAGAGACGTTGTTACTTATAATGCACTCATAGCTACATTCGGGAAGAAGTGCAAGTACCATGAAGTGAGAAGAGTGTTTGAAGACATGAAACTACGACGTGTGTCTCCAAACTTGGTAACCTATTCGACTTTGATCGATGTGTATTCCAAAGGGGGGTTTTATAATGAAGCCATGGAAGCGTTTAGAGAGTTGAAGCTAGCAGGATTCGAGGCTGATGTGGTTCTCTACAGTGCACTTATCAATGTGTTGTGTGTTGGTGGATTCGTTGAAACTGCTGTTTCTTTGCTTGATGAGATGACAAAGGCTGGTACTAGACCTAATGTCGTAACTTACAACTCGATCATCAATGGTTTTGGTCTGTCATTTGATTCGGAATCTGTGGTGGTTAATGATGCTGAGAAGGGCGATGAAATGTTGCAAGTTGGTCCTTTAAGGACAATTATTGCCCAGGAGGCTGCTGGCTTAGATGAGCTGATGGAGAAAGGTGATAACAAGATCATGAAGATATTTGGGCAGCTTGCCGCGGAGAAGACTGGGTTATCAAAGAATGGCGAAAGGAAGGAACTTTTATGCATATTGGGGCTCTTCCAAAAGATGCATGAGCTGCGAATCAAACCAAATGTTGTCACATTTTCAGCCATTCTAAATGCTTGCAGGTAACCTACGCTGTTTCTTGGCGTTATTGCTTAGTTACATAAGCTCTTGAACTGATGGAGAAAACCCAGCGTAGGATATTCGATTGTGTAAGTTTACCTTTTGTTCTGATGCAGTCGTTGTAATTCCTTTCAAGATGCCTCGGTGTTACTCGAGGAGCTACGCTCATTTGATAACCAAATCTACGGTGTAGCTCATGGACTCCTGATGGGTTACAGAGGAAATGCTTGGCTGCAGGCATGCTCACTCTTTGACGAAATGAAGTCTTTGGACGCTCCCACTGCATCTGCCTTCTACAACGCGCTAACAGATGTTCTGTGGCATTTTGGGCAGGTCAGTTGTCACTCCTTATATACTATATCTTAGCACGAGAGCCTGCTGCTAATCAAGATATTCTTGCCAATTCATATTAACAGAAACGTGGGGCCCAGCTAGTTGTGGTCGAAGGAAAACGTCGTCAGGTATGGGAGACCGTGTGGTCAGACTCTTGCTTAGATCTGCATCTGATGTCTTCTGGCGCTGCTCTAGCCATGGTTCACACATGGCTGCTTGATATCCGATCCATTGTGTTTGAAGGCCGAGAACTGCCCAAATGGTTGAAGTATGCATCCTACCATTAGCTCTGTTCAATTACGCAAATAATCATTGAACTACTCTGATTTTTAACTAACTTGTAGATCATGTTGTTAGTGTCATAAACTAGTTGGTCCCAATAACTCAAGTTGTTAGGAGAAGGTTATGCTGGATCTTATACCACTGTCTAACAGTTAGTAGGCTAAAAATTTGCTGCCCTAAAGGACACACTGTTTCAAGTAGCTGCTTATATACTCATGTTACTTTTTGTTGTTGGTTTCTTGCAGCATCCTGACTGGATGGGGCAAGCACAGTAAAGTGGTAGGAAACAGTGCCCTTAAGAGAAATGTGGAAGCTCTGCTTACCGGAATGGGAGCGCCATTCCAACAGGCGAAATGCAACCTAGGTCGGTTCATATCATCAGGAGCTCTCGTCACTGCATGGCTGAGAGAACCCGGCACCCTAAGTGTGCTCGTTCTTCACGATGCCAGAACACCAGACGTCGCAGACAATGATGTTTCGAGATCCGGTGTTGAAATGCAGATGATTGCTTTGTAGTGGTGGTAGTAGTAGCTGTTTCATTGTTGTACCATCATCATCACCCTATTTATTTTGGTCTTAAGTCCCGTTCCATAAAATTCTGCTCAAACCATTAGTAGGTTGGAGAAGGGACTTTAGCTACATGTAGAGGTCTTGTCCGTGTAAGACATTCTGCTCAATCGATTATAAGTTTTTCAGAGACAGAGAACTGTCTTTTGTTTGAATCCCCCTTTAGGTGGGGGGATCTTCTGTATGTAATTTGGAATATACAGTGTTTGTAATATTTGCAGTCCAGTCCGTAAAGGTTCTTTCTTTTGCTTCAGCTTTACCTGTTTACCATATGTTGAAAGTTGAAACAAACCTGCTAATGAAGAACACCGAATAAGGCGTGAAAAATGAAAAGAAAAAAAAGGTTGACAAGATCTTAAAAATGAAGAAACAAACAATTGCTAAAATATCGAAACATAAAAATTAGCAAAAGAGGATCCGACTTGCCGGATTCGAACCAGCGACCTAAGGATATACTGATGGTTTTGCCCACTACAGTCCTCCGCTCTACCAACTGAGCTAAAGTCGGACGCTGATTATTACATTACCTGTTTTAATACTAAACAATATTCAGAGAAGAGGGAACTGTGTTTGTGACACTTGTGATCCAGGTTTCCCGCGTCTCTCGGTCAGCAGTTCCGGAGTTCATCTGAAAATATGGAAAGGAAACAACAGAGACTGGACTGATATGGAAGCAGAATGAAAAACCTGAAACCGATTAATAAGAAAGAAAATAATTGAAAATCCATTCTTCTCACCGAATCTCCATTCCTGCAAACCAACAGATATCTTCCGTTTCATCATGGAGAAGAAGAACATTAACGCCTCCAAGACCCCGACTGCTGCGGCAGCGACAGCAGCAGTATCCACGGCAATGCCGGCTACAAAAGATCCTCCCTTCTCCGTAAAATCAAATAGTAGATCTCCTTCGCAGACTTCGCCGGCAAAGCACCTGCCCAAGCAGCCATTCATGATCGGCAATTGAACCCCCTCTCTCAATCGCTGGTTTCTCATTTTCCCGATCTGGGATTTTGGCTGAAATCTCTCTCTCTGTGTTTTCAGGTGTCGCCGGCGGGACTGCTTCCGGCAAAACGACTGTCTGTAATCTGATCATCTCCCAGCTCCACGATCAACGAGTCGTACTCGTTAATCAAGTGAGAATAGAGTGATCTCTTTTCTTTCAGGAATGTTGTTTGAGATTCTGGATCGAACGAATCAATGGAGTTTCTCTTCTTTGTAACTCTGTTTTCCCCCCTTTGTGAAAGGATTCATTTTACCGGTCCCTTACACCTGAGCAACTGAAGAACGTCAAAGAATACAACTTTGACCATCCCGGTAGCTTTACTTTCCTGGGCTAGCCATCAATTTTTCTGGGTTCTTGTTCAATGCTGAAATCAACTAGTGCTGGGTTGTTTTCTATTCGTTTGCTGCAGATGCTTTCAACACAGAGCTTCTGTTGTCTTGCATGCAGACACTGAAGCGTGGTGAAGCCGTCACCACGCCGAACTACGACTTCAAGACCCATCAAAGCGTGGGACCTGGGAGCAAGGTGAATTGATGTGAAATTGGTGGCGGTTTTCCTTTTGTTTGGTGCAGTCAACTTGTTTGTGTTGATGTGTCAACTAAGTTTTCGGGGGGATTGAGCTGTTGCAGGTGAACCCTGCAGATATAGTGATTCTTGAAGGGATCCTAGTTCTTCACGATGAGCGGGTGCGTGATCTTCTGAACATGAAGATTTTCGTCGACACAGGTTGTGTTCTATTCCCCTCATCTACTAGATTGATCAGGAAATCAGAATGTACAACATTTCTAGTCCTTGTGATTCACGTAACCATTCGAGACGTTCTCGAATCGTTCCACCAGTGCAGATTCTGACCTACGGCTTGCCAGGAGGATTAAAAGGGATACAGTTGAGAGAGGGAGGGATGTTCAGAATGTGCTTGATCAAGTTAAGTTCCATAACCTCACTTGACCTAGTTCAAGATATAGCTATGTCTTGGACTTGGGTTGTGTTTAGATTATCCTTATTACCTTACTAATGTGTCATAACTTTAAAATTAGATGACATCGAGCTGAAAAACCAGACATTTGAATCGCGTTGATGTGCAGTCAAACCTGCACCAAGTGTTTTGATCTGCAAATATGGCCAGTTAACCAATTTGCCAACCTGTGATGTTGCAGTATGCTAAGTTTGTGAAGCCTAGCTTCGACGAATTCATACTCCCCTCAAAGAAGTATGCAGACATTATCATCCCACGAGGAGGAGACAACGAAGTTGCCATCAATTTGATTGTACAGCACATTCATACGAAGCTTGGACAGCATGATTTGTGCAAGATATATCCAAATCTTTTTGTTTTCTTCTCCACATTTCAGGTATTCATCAAATGCTTTCCTTTTGGATTAGAAACTAAGCCTTTCATTCTTTGCTGGCTGATCATATCCTTGGAAGTTTGATTCCAGATTGGCGGCATGCACACGCTGATAAGGGATATGCAGACTACAAACCATGATTTCGTGTTCTATGCAGACCGGTTGATTCGTTTGGTGGGTAAAAGCATCCCACTTGAAGCTGAATTGCTGACTGGGACAAGAGAGTTACTGCATTGTTACTTTCTTTTCAGTTACGGTGTGAATAGTTTGAAAATTGCTGTTTGCAGGTGGTAGAGTATGGTCTTGGGCACCTGCCATTTACAGAGAAGCAGATCATTACTCCAACAGGTAAAAGACAGAACTATTGCCATTTTCTATTTCCTCTCTCCCCCAAAAGCTTGAGCACCAAGAAACACTGCCAGAAACTCAGTTTTCTATCCATCTCTTTAGTTTCGTTCCATTTGTTCGAACTATTACGTGTATTAGTTACTAAAGTTAGTGAGGATTTTAAGAAAGTTCCTCTGTGCAGGATCCATATACCCAGGAGTTGTCTTCTGCAAGAGATTGTGTGGCGTCTCAGTCATCAGGAGGTGTGCAAATACTTTCTTCCGCATTGAAATGTCAGAATGGTATCAATCACTAACCAGCATCATTCATTATGATACTAATAATCAGTGGGGAGAGCATGGAGAATGCGCTGAGAGCATGTTGCAAAGGAATCAAAATTGGCAAGATCCTCATCCATGGAGAGCGTAACGATGGAAGGCAGTTGATATACGAGAAGCTACCTTCAGACATCTCTAGCCGCCATGTCTTATTGCTCGACCCGGTCCTCGCTTCAGGTTCGTCACAAAAGCCTCCCCTGGTTCATTAGTTTCCCAGGATCGAGAAAATGTATTTAGCTTTGAAAATGAACCATGTTTTTCAATGTGGTGAAAAACAGGGAACTCTGCAGTGGAAGCTGTGTCTTTGCTTCTCAGTAAAGGCGTTCCAGAGTCCAACATCATCTTCCTCAACCTCATAGCAGTAAGTGCCCCCAATCTCTTTCCATGTTCGTTTTGGTTCTTGCTCTATCCTCGCAAATCATGTATGCCGATCTACCACAAGTGCAGGCACCACAAGGAATACATGTCATATGCAAGAAGTTCCCCAAGCTCAAAGTTATAACGTCGGAGATCGATGAAACGTTGGATGATGATTTACGAGTGATTCCAGGCATGGGAGAGTTCGCAGACCGTTATTTTGGCACAGATTGATCCTTCAACTAGAACTTCCAACAACTAATAATAATGTCTCTCATTCTTTGATCAAAGTCGATAGTGCTCTCCATATATATCTCCATTCTTTCATCTCTATTCATGTAATGAAACCAAACTGGAAGAGAAATTTTGATAACAGCTGTTCTTTCTTTAGTTGTTTCCTCCATGAAAATTTTCATAGTCCTCTCAAAGGAGTTGCACCCTATTTGAGACGAGTAGAATCAAAAGAAGACAGTTGCAGGCAGGCTAGGTGCTAGAAAAGGATTAAAAAAATTCAATGCCCAAAACTGAATGCTTATCAGATGAAGATGCCAGTTACAGAACTTAACAACTTAACGACAGAATCAGAAACTTATGGTTACAAAACTTCACCAATTAGCCCCTAGAAAGAGCAAGGTACAGATTGAAAGAAGGTAACAAGGGGAAAAAACTCAAAACTTGCTAGAGTTACAACTCAACAACCATTTTCCCTATTCATCCCAGATTGCAAAATTGAATAGCGTATAGGAGTGTCGCGACTACAAACCGAGCAAATAAGTTGTATTTTCGATCATCATCAGCTTGTGGGCGGAAAGACTAGGGTTTTGAGTTCTTTTTACTCTTCTTCTTTCTGGGTGCATTGCTGCTGGGTCCAATTTCAATTGCCATTCTCTTTGTCCTGCAGAGAAAGAACATGGAGCAATTACTTCAGAACTCCTTAAAGTCAAAACTAAGCTATCAAGAACAGCAAATAAGTAGTGTAAACTGAAATACAGGAGAGAAACTGAGATTGAATATACAAACACACCGGCAAGAGAGGTCCTCCGACTCCTTGCTTACATCTTCAACTGCATCTTCTGCAACAAGTATTGCAAAGACATGAGATCACAAATCGTTTTCCAATTTGTTGCTCCATAGAAGAAGATGTCAAGCAACATGGTTAAAAACCATCTCCTAGTTTCAGATAATACTATGACTACTTCATGGCCATTGCTTGGACAACAGAACACATACAAAGCTTCATCATAAAACATGTCAAGCTCAGTGCTTTTTCTGTAACATACCTGCTTCCATTCCTTCCCCGTCCTCCTCCAACTCAGCCTCTTCGTCAGAGCCCCACCGATCATATCCATCGTCGAAATCCCACCGTGCTCCCTTAGGTGGCATCCAGAACTCAGCTTCTTCTCCCTCAGAATCATCACTCTCCTCATCAGCTGGAACATCCCTGATTTCAGTCACGATTTCTTCAACAGTCTTTGCCTTCTTGTCCTTCTTTTTCTTTTTCTTCTTCCTCTTCTTCTTCTTCTCCTTATCATCACCATTCCCATCCCCACGTTCCTTCTTCTCTTCACCTTCAGCTGATTTCCCATTTGGAACCAATTTCCCCATTTCCTTTTGTTCTGCTCCCACAGAAAAGAAGACCACTCAATATCACAATTTCTCCCCACTTCCAACAGTCAAGCAAGGAAAAACAGAAGAACACAAAAACAAACGAACCTAATTTGTTGAGGAACCGCCTGCCATTGATGTGCTTCCAGATATGCTCCTCGGTCTTATTCACTGTATCCCCAGTCAACTTACAGACCAATTTCGACCTTCAAAAGAAGAATTCACAGCAATCCTCTGTAAAATGTAAATACTTTACGGTTTACGGGAAAAACTAAGAACCCTAATCGAAACTTAACAGACGGAGAAGTTGGTGAGTTATTTTCCCTTTTCTAGCGATACCTGTTGAGAGGGTCCTGCTTGAACATGTTGAGAGGAGCCTTACGGGTGGAAAGAGCATGGTTGACGAGACCCAGCCGGCACCGTTTGCTCTGCGAATACGATTCCTTGTCCTTGGAGAGGACTTCGTGGCCGGTTTCGACGCATTTGAACCTGCCGTTATCGAGCTCGGTGAAGGACGGCGGACCGAGCAAATTCTCCCCTTCTTTACCCGTCGTCGACGTCTCTTCTTCCGCCATTTCTTCCGACGGCTTCAAGCTAGCTCCCGCTACTACGGCTGCCGCCAGCGTTGTACCGATTGTATTATGTCATAAGGGCCCTAGGAGTGAGTGGGAAAGCAAAAGCCCAAAAAACCCATAAGCCCACAAAGATTTGGGCTTTTCATTACCCGGAGACTCTGAGGTAAGAATTCCGAGCCGTTCTCTCTTATTTCCCAGTTGCCGTCCGGCAAACTAGTCCACCGCCATGGCTCAACGTCTGAATTTCTCCTCTTCCACCTCGCATCTTTCGTCTCTTCTTGTGACTCCGAATTCCGTCGCTGCTGCTTCTTCGAAACCCAATGTAAAGCCTCTCACTTCCCACTTCTTCCCTCACCCAATCCCTCTCATCCGTCTGTGCTTGCGCTCCACCAACTACTCCGTCAGTCGTCTGGCGGTGACGGCTCTCTCTGCCGATGCTTCGGGGAAGAAGCCGCTGCTCGAAGTCAAAGATTTGAAGGCTGTGATTTCTGAAACGTGACAGGAGATTCTCAAGGGCGTCAACCTAGTCGTGAATGAAGGGGAGGTATATTGACTGATAGTGTAGGATAGTTCTATCAGTTTCTGGAGTTCAGTGAGTCAACTTATACGTTTTTTTCTCGGCGAGGGATATGTACATGCTAGAATGGGCAAAAAGGTTCTGGGAAAAGCACATTCTCAAAGGTTTGTATCTGATCTCACTTACTCGATACTGTTGGCTGATGATTTATCAATCTGGACTGCCATGCTGCTTTAGATGGCACCACGCACCAGTAGTGGTGTTGAAATGAGAATGCTATTGCCGTTATGCCGCCTGGAATTTGTTCTTTTGATCCCCATGTTCTTGAGATCATTTCTTGATTGGTTTGATTAGATTTGTGTGTGGTGTTCTGATCATGAATAATCTTAAGACTCATGCTTAGGTTCTTGTTGGCCATCCACATTATGAAGTTACTGGTGGTTGCGTGATCTTTAAAGGGGAGAACTTGCTTGACATGGAACCGGAGGATAGGTCCCTTGCAGGGCTTTTTATGAGCTTTCAGTCCCCAGTTGAAATCCCTGGTGTCAGCAATATTGACTTCCTAAACATGGCTTACAATGCTCGAAGAAGAAAACTTGGTCTCCTGGAGCTTGGGCCAATTGAGGTATCATTCCCTTTCCAAATGCTTTCCACGAGCTGTCTTTACTTGTAAATTTGTTGTATGTCATGGCCTTTGAGAACATGTAACTCGGATTAAGTTTGATACAGGTGACAATCAAGTAATCAATCCAGTTCATTAACGAATTCTTTTTCCACTTTCTATGCCATGGCAACTGTTAATCTTCACAGCCCCATTTGTTTTTTTTTTCTGCAGGATATGTTTGTACGCAAGCGAAGCAATCTCGAGATATACTTATTAATATTAGTTTGTTCGACTAACTGTTGACCTATCTTTTTATATTGCAGTTCTATGCGTACCTGTTTCCCAAGCTTGAGCTTGTGAACATGAAAAGTGATTTTCTAAACAGAAATGTTAATGAAGGGTTCAGTGGTGGTGAAAGGAAGCGGAACGAGATTTTACAGCTTGCGGTAATGTTTTGTATCTGAATCTGTGGTCAGCTGAACTAAGTTCTATGTGATGGAGTTTTCTCATAAAAGTTTACATGGTTAAGCTTTCTTTTTACCCTTACGAATCAAATTGTTTTATACTTCATTCAGACATTTTTTGGGTTGTTGCATACTCTATATTTGGCATCAGAAAGCACTTTTATGCAAGGTGCACTCAGGGTACTGTGCGCATGGATAAATGTAGGATAGGATATTTGTGGATTGGGACTGTATGTGATGTTCGTTTACATAATTGTAGAATTAACGAGAGGCCCCTTTCTGAGCAAACTTGGTAATTTCATGATTCAACAATTCGCTAGCAGCACAATCCCCTGATGAATGTCATTCTTCTTTGTCTAGTAAGCCAATGCCTTTCTGCATATCTCAGGTTCTGGAAGCAGATTTGCCCGTATTAGACGAGATTGATTCTGCTCTGGATGTCGATGCTCTCCAAGATGTTGCAAAAGCAGTAAATGGACTCTTGACGCCTAAGAAGTCTGTTTTGATGGTTACACATTATCGACGGCTTTTGGAATTCATCCAGCCTTCCTTTGTCCATGTCATGGTATATATCTCGTTCACATAATTTTGTTTGAAATGGCCGTCTTTCTTACAGCATCACCTGCATCCTATGGATAAGTTTCTTCCTCATGTTGATGCCTTCTATTCTATGCTTCTGTTAACTTTGTGAATCATGTTAATGTTAAGCTATTGTGTGCTTGGTACGTATTCGTAGGAGGATGGAAGAATCATAAAGAATGGGGATATTAACATTGTAATTGTTCTCGAGAAGGAAGGTTATAAAGCAATGTCTACCTCCTGAACAGTCAACGTTTCGGGGAATAACGGTAATGCTAAGTGTATGGCATCTCCCATCTCTGTACTTGTTCTTGGGGATTCCAAACTTCACTGTTCGTCCGTCTGTTTTATGTTCCTGGGCAAGATTGCTGTAAGTTTGCCATTATCTGGGAACTCCATTCCGATCTTAGGTAAACGTTTTGGAGTGTATACACACATATTTCTAGTACTTTGCCTAACATAGAATTAATGCAGCTTTTCTTTGTTTTCTTTCATCTGCTAGTTCGGTTGGTTCTTTTTGTCGGGGCCAACAATGAACCCACAATTGCGGTCAATTCCTGCGTCTGTTGAAGTCTTCTTCTCTTTGCAAAAAGACAAAAGGATCAGAGGAGAGAAAGAAAAGGGGAAAAGAAGGCAATTCCAGAGACCTGAAACATTTGAATAGGTTTTGCCGATTCACACTACAAGTGGAAAAATGACTATGCCGATCGTGTAACAAGAGGAAGAAAATGGCTCTGTCACTCTTTCGTATGGATTACTCGCATACAAGTAAATATTACACTGATTGACAGACAACAGGCCAGTTAGACTGCTACCAATGGGACACCAATTTGATCAGTTGACAACATTTGAGAAACCAATCTCATCTCTGGCCTAGCCTGCGGATTGGTGTTCAAACATGCTGCAGCAACCCTCAAGATGTTCTCCAAGTCTTGCTTGATTAGAGCTGAAGGAGGAGAGAGACGCTGGTCTAGCAGATCATCCAACGGCAATGCTATGTCTGTCAAAGAGGAGGAGGCGAACGATAGCACGGTTTCCCCAGGATGGTTCCCTTTGATCACTTCCAGTGCCAACACTCCGAAGCTATACACATCGCATTTCTCCGTCACCCTCATGGTATACGCCAGCTCTGTCACAAAAATGGGAGTTGAAGCTCATCTACAATACTACTGAAAACAAAAACAAAAAAGGATGAGAAATTGGGTTTTAACTGAAGGTACCTGGAGCAAGATATCCGCGGGTGCCAGCCTGTGCAGTCCAATGGGAGGTATCAGTGTTGAGAAGCTTTGCAGTCCCGAAATCCGAAACTCGGACTTCATAATCGGAATCCAACAGCACGTTATTGCTGGTTATGTCTCGATGAACAATGGGTATGGTGCAATCGTGGTGCAAGTAAGACAAGGCATGAGCCACTCCTCTCACAATGTTGACCCTCTTCCACCAATCCAACTCTGCGGCTTCCCCATCGTGGCTCAGAATTGAAGCTAAGCTCCCTCTCTCCAAGTACTCGTACACCAAGAAGGAGTGTCTCGAGTGAGAACAGAAACCATAGAGTTTCACAATGTTGCGGTGCCTCACCTCGGTCAACACTTTGATCTCGCTCAGGAACTCCTTCTGAAGCGCCCCATTGCTGTCGTGGAAACCGTGGAGCTTCTTCACTGCCACGTTGATTCCGGATGGCAGCTTGGCCTTGTACACCGTACCATAACCTCCCTTCCCAATGCAGTACCTGGAATCAAAGGTCTCGGTTGCTTTCACGATTTCGGAGTACATGATCTTCCCATCGAATCCAGGGGTGATCAAGATCTCCTCTTCCTGCTCCTGCTGTAGTGGTTGTGTTTCTGCCTCTCCCCCGCCATTCCGGTGAATGCAGAGCATTACCAAAGCTAATAGCACAACAACTACGGCCAACACAGGTAGGAAAATGACCAAGAACAAGAACGTACGGCTCTTCTTTCTCGATGAACCGGTTCCTGGAGTAGAAGGAGTGCACGGCTGTAGACCCTCAATACTTCCACACAAGCCATTGTTGCCTTGTACATCTTCAATCGAAGCGTTTAGGAAGCTTCTACTGTTTGGAAGAGGACCCTGCAATCTGTTATAGGAAATGTCAACGGCTCGCAAGGGAATTTGTGCTAACCCATTTGGAATCGACCCAGAAAGGCTATTCCTTGATAGGTTCAGGAACTCCAAGCTTCCCAAGGAGCTCAGTCTCGATGGGATTGGACCAGTGAGTGAGTTCCGGCTGAGATCGAGAGTTGACAGATGAATCAGATTGCCCAGTTGATCTGGAATGCTTTCCCCGAACTGGTTGTTGCTCAGATTCAAGTAGTTCAGCTGAGCAAATTCGCCCACGCTCGCCGGAATTGACTGGTTGAACCTATTAGAAGACAAATCGAGCAGCTCCAGCTCGGTGAACGATCTCAACTCTGGAGGGATAGGCCCTGAGAGTCGATTGCCGTAGAGTGCTAGCCTGACTAAAGAATTCAGCTTTCCAAGCTCTCTGGGGAGTTGACCAACCAATTGGTTGGAAGAAAGATTAAGCCCCTGCAGCCGAGAAACGTTACCAATCTCCGGCGGAATCTCACCCCTGATGTTGTTCTCAGAAATCAGAAGTGTAGCCAAATTGGGGCAAGATCCCCAGTTGGATGATATCTCACCAAAGAAGTTATTCCGGCTGAGATCAATGTACTGCAAATCTGGGTAGACACCAAAGTCATCGGAAATATTCCCGGTGAACTGATTATCTTCCAGACGAACCCGGACGAAGGTTGGACAGGTTCTAAAGCTTCTAGGAACACGGCCGGAGAAGTTGTTGGCATTGGCGGTGAAATTGATCAGCGATTGCTGACCTCCACAGAGGTTCTCAGGTAGAACGCCGGAGAAATTGTTGCTGTCTAGCTGGAGAACCGTGAGCTTGGTGAGGTTCGCTATCTCCTTAGGGATTGAACCAGAGAGACGGTTCACACGAAGATACAAGATTTCCAATGTGCTCAAATTCCCAATTGAAGCAGGAACAGGGCCCGTGAGTCGATTCTCGCTCACCTCCAGATCTACAATGGACTCCAAGTTCCCCAGCTCCGGTGGAATCCCGCCGGAGAGCTGGTTCCCGTAGAGATGGAGCTGGACCAGGGATGTCAGCCGGCCAATAGACGGAGGAATTGGACCGGAGAGGTTGTTGGTATGGAGGCTAAGGAACTGCAGCGACCTGAGGTTCCCGATTTCGTCAGGAATCCGGCCGGAAAGTGAATTCATGAACATGTAGAGAGTAGTCAGGTTGGTCAATTTCCCGAAACTGGCGGGAATCGGACCGGATAACCTGTTGGTGTCGATGAAAAACTCGGTAAGTTCGGTCAAATTACCGATTTCCGGCGGGATTGGACCGGAGAGAGCATTGTCGTAGAGGTACAAGCGCTCCAATCTGGTCAAGTTCCCTATTGAAGAAGGAAGTGGGCCTTCGAGATAGTTGGTGTAGAGGGCGAGCTCGGTCAAGGACTCCAGCTGGCCGATCTCGTTGGGAATCGAGCCGTTCAGCTGGTTGTCGATGATGTGGAGGGTTTCCAGCTTTCTGAGGAGGCCGATTTCCGGCGGGATGACGCCGGAGAGCTGGTTGAGGGACACGTCGAAGTAGATGAGGTTGGCGAGCTGGCCGATTGCGGGCGGGATGATGCCGTAGAGCTGGTTTATACTCAGCTCGAAGTAGGAGAGGTTGGGGAGCGAGGAAAAGGGGAATTCGTCCAGCGTACCGTTCAGGCCGGAGTTGGTTAGGTTTAATCGGAGTACACTCCCGGCGGCGGTGCAGGAGACTCCGACGAAGCGGCAGGGGGTGGCGGCGGCGCGGGTGGCGTTGACCGGCCAGGTGGAGATGTTGGATTGGCGGAGGTCGTTGAGGGTGGAAGCCCATCGGAGGAGAGCGGCGGCTTCGGATGCGGAGTCGGAAGCTGCCGGGAGTGGTGAAGTGAGGAGAAGAAGGGAGTAGAGGAGAAGAAGAAGAGGAAGCGGCTGAAGTTGTTGGGTCCTCCTGTTGGAGGTTGTTTCATCCATTTCTTCTGCCATTTTTGGAGATGTTCTTTCTGAGGAACGTTGGCTTTTGGCCTTTTGCTATCTTGGTCTATTTCCGGGAATGTGGTTCATTGTTCAAGCCATGGATGGATGATTGCTTGCTGTTCGTGAAAGCAAATGTTGGATTGGTCAGCAGTCTGCCATTTGACAAATGGATGTATTCCCATGGCGGGGTCTTGGCTGCCTGCTTTAGTGGACCTCGGAGTTTGTTCATACACGTTCGATCAGAAAGCATTAACGGAAGTTAGGTGAAGGAGACTTACACGATAGGAGATAATTTCAACGCGATAGTATTGGCAAAAGATTTATCGATCGCTTGAAAGGATTTTTTTTATAATATAGAAGCAGATGTTTTTTTGAATTGAAATAAAGATCATTACGATGGAGCAATTCAGATATTATATTACAAAACTAGCCATTTATAAACCATGTATTATTGCTTCTTATGCTTTTGCTATATAGTTTGTACTTTGTACATTATATATTTCTTGTTTATATTTTTTATAGATGGTATACTAATTTCTTAAACTTTTATCCGGGTTAATTAATAATATTGAATCACTATTATAAAAATGAATGGTAGATAAATATTCTTTTGATGCATTTTAACTGTATTCATAGATGGTATGCTAATTTTTATTAATGGATATTTATTAAGAATCTAGTAGAACATGTAACCATTCAACCCAAATGGGAGAGATATAAAGCGAGTCTAGACAAAATCCGAACTTAAATACCGGAGACACAAGGCATGAATTAACTTATACTATTAGTTAACTCACACTTGTGTATGTATATGTGTATAATTATAGACTCATTTATTTTTTAAAATTCTGAATAATGTATTTGATGAATATAGGCATTGCATACAATGTATCACTCTTTTGTTCTAGGTAGGAATTCCATCTAAACAAAAGTTGAGGTTTCAAATTGACAAGTTCCGGTTAGTCCAAGGACTAAATTAGATAATTAAAAGGAGAAGAGGCACAGAGAAAACGACCGCAAAACTGAAGCCTCTAGGCCATTCTAGCTTACTCTGCAGGCAAGCAGCCGACTGACATCTCTTCGCTCAGCACACGCCGCGGCTTTTTGGTCACGAAACGAATCCTCTTTCTTTTAGATCGTCATTCTCCTCCTCCTGCCACCGCTCAATCTCGGAGCTAGCCGGCGATCGGAAATTACAAGTTCCCATATTGACGACGATTTCTGTTCCGATTCAGATGGAGGGAAGAGGGAGAATGCTGCCGCTGCTGGCTCTTCACGCCGTCGCCGAGTACTACAGACTGCCATGGAAACCTCCCGTTACGGCGGGACTAATCGCCGCCAATACCCTCGTCTACTTGAAGCCTGCTTTCCTCCGCCACCTCCTCCCTTCCATCGACGAGGTCTGGTTCAATCCCTACCTCATTCTCAAGGTAACCCCTCCTCCTTTGTTTCCCCTCAATTTGCGCATAATTCTTGCTCGCTACCTGTTCGATTGATTGCCCGGGAGATACTGGTTTTAGATAATCCCATGAATTGCTTGTGAGATTAGTAAAGGAAATAACTTGGCTGCTTCCAGTTGAGTCCAAAACCTGAACATTTGGGGTTCTTCGTTTTGCCCTGTTAAGTGAACAGAACAAGGATGCGAGGCGCTTCTTCCTATCACCATTCTACCACATCGGCGAGTCCCACTTAGTCTACAACATGATTTCACTCCTATGGAAGGGGATCCAGCTGGAAACCTCAATGGGAAGTCTCGAATTCGCATCCATGGTCGCCGCACTCCTCACCATGTCCCAAGGGATCACGATGCTGCTGGCCAAGACCCTCGTCGTGTTTCTCGACTACCCCAAGCCGTTCTACTCCGAATATGCTGTCGGGTTCTCGGGAGTGCTGTTTGCGATGAAGGTTGTCCTCAATTCTCAGTCTGCAGAGTATGCTCACGTGCACGGACTGGTGGTGCCATCTCGATATGCTGCTTGGGCTGAACTGATTCTCATCCAAATGTTTGCCCCTGGCGTCTCGTTCCTTGGCCACCTTGGTGGCATTCTGGCCGGGATGCTCTATCTCAAACTCAAGGGCGAGTACTCGGCCTCAGGCTCAGGTTCAGGTCCTTTGGTTAGAATGCTCCGGGGTATTGTTGGCATAGCGAGCTGGCCGCTGAGGGCTGCAAGGGGATTGTTTCAACCCAGGAGGACGCCACGTGTCTCCGGGAGGGCAACAGTCGGCAGGGAAATGAGGGACGGGCTGTCGGGTATATGGAGATGCCATGCTTGTACGTTTGATAATTCGGGTTGGTTAAGCGAGTGTGAGATGTGTGGAACAAGGCGTGGAGGCTTAACGGATGAGATTGGGATTCAAGAAATGCGTATGCGGAGGATTCAGAGATTTGGTTGATAACTTGATATCAAGGGTCGGTAATTGGTGCAGAGTTACTCCTTGTTCAATACAGATTTTGATGATGTTTCATAGTTGCATAGGGATGTAGGGTGCTTGCTGGATGCTCAATTTAATGCTAAGTTGAGCCTTGAACAGAGAGTACATCAAACAGATGGCTGATTTACTTATCCTTACAACTGTTTTTATCTTTTATGGTTTGTATATTTGATTGCATGGAATAGCAAAAGCTGGATACGACGATATTGGAAATGCAGATATCTTTTGCAGACAAGTAGCCGTAGTTAGTTTATGGTTCAAATTCATCAGTTCAATTATTGCGTTTCCTCTGTGTTACAGCACTAGAGTATGATGGTCTCCGATTGATTCATCACACAGCATTGTACAGTAACATCCAAGTGAATACTGTTATGATTTCCACTCCTAATTCTGATGCATGTTAGTTTCAGCTGCTGATCTCATTTAGGACTAGTGTCTGTAGTGAGCCAATCAACACTACATTGGCCATCTTCTACAATGAGCCAAAATGAGCCAATGCGGAGTTGGGGATTCCATATTTCCATTCCAATTGGTAATTCATTGCTATTCAGAAAGATGCCTCCAAGGGGCTACAATATCAGCTAATATATTTCCGTCTCCCTTTCTATGGAACACCCTTAAAAGATGAACAACAAGAATTATTATTATTATACACTTTTTTGCCAAAGTTTACTACAATTTTTGTCTTTTAGTAAGGATGAAAAAACTTGCTATCTTACCCCATCCCTCACACACTCAAGTATATTAAAAAAAAAAATCTTTATCATTTGGTCAAAGATATTGTATGTATAACTAAGGGGAAGATTGCTTTGTTTAGTCAAATCGAACCGAAAATATAATCGAGTAAAATAATTTCCTTGAAAACAAACCGTTAAGTGGTTTAAACGGTTCAATTTGATTTCAAGAAAATAAAACCCGAGGCGTAAGCTGTTCAATTTGATTTCAAGAAAAAGAAACCTGAGGCTTAATTGAATATTGAGTGTGTGTGTGTGTGTGTGTATTGGTTGTGATTTTATTTTTATTGTTTTCAGTTTTTCAGTTTTGAACAAACAAAAAACGCTAAACACAAAAAGTTTGGGACTGAAACCAAAAAACGATAAGAGCACCTTATCTGTTTGTTTAGTTGAAATTCAAAAAATTGAATCCAAACTGATAGTCCTATGTATGGCACACTTTGTCATCTTTTATTTTGGTCTTCAGATTATCCAAAATCTTAATTAATTAATTTTTTCATTATTGCTATGAGGGAAGTAAACATTGATGATGAATTCATTTTCTTTTTATTACAAATTAGGTAAGGTGTCAACTACTCTCAGGAAAACTTTTTGTGTGGTTGGGTTAAGCCATTGAAAATCACGAATAGGATACCACAGATAGATGATATATCCAAGTTCTTTAGGTTTGATGAAAATGTAGTAAAGAATTAACCGAACTTTAGTGAGGATGAAAGGGTTTGTCATCTTACCCCATCCCTCACATACACTCAAATATATTAAAAGAAAAAGTCTTTATTATTTGATCAAAGTTGTTATATGTATGACAAGGACGAGAGATTGATTTGTGTAACTAAATCGAATCCAAAATAAAAACCAAAAAATTTGAACAAGTAATATCCTTAAAAATGAACTATTAAGAGGCTTAAACGGTTCAATTTGATTTCAAGAAAATGAAACCTGAATGAATTTAATAATGAAGAAAATTTATATGCTAATATATGTTGCTCACTGTGCACATCTTACTTTCTTTTTCCGATTTACAACGTCTGTCTTATTGGTGGTTGTTGGTCATGAAACTTAGTGCTTTATATTGCTTTGGATTTGGTCAATTTGTTGCTCTGTTCAATTGTTAAGTTTTGCTACATATATAAGTGATTGCTACAATTCTATCATTTTGCTTCCATCTTTACTTGATCGGATTTGTATATCCAACGAGTTAACTGGTTGATATAACTTGGATCCAACAAATTATATTATGAATGTTCTTTATTTTTTCTTAATAAATTGGACTTGCAAGAGACAATGATTAGTGGTGTCTTAAGTTGTATGGACAATGAGAATTTTTTTGTTTTGTTAGTGAATTAGAGGTGAGGTGTTGTACATGTTAGGCTTATGAATAATTCGCTTATCATATGGATATGCAATTGCTCTATGTAGTAGTTAATTCATTGTATGTTTCATGATCCAAGTCAAAGTTGTGCTCGATCGATAACCTTCTAACTCTCTTCCTCACTCACAACAAGTTGAATGTTATTATTCAATGATTTTTTTGGTTGAAATTTTACATGTTTTCTGAGTTTTTATTATATGCGTCCTGATGGTTAGGCGTAGCTTTCCTATTTATGCATTGTTCACTCAATATATGTTCATTCCCCCATTTTACCGATGAATGGTAACTAAGTACTGTTGGGACCTACCAAGGTTCTAATAAAGCATGATGATTGTTTCTTACACTTATGTCATGTAATGTAGAACAAGCTTTTTATCAACTTTTAATTTGTTTTATGTTGTTTGACATCTACTGTGTACTTCATTGGTTTTTTTCCTTTCGTTAGTTTTAAGAAAAGGAGACCAATAAACTGAACTATGATTAGGGGTCTACATGAATCGGGGTGAGTTAGTTTTGAACCCTCTCAACCATGCAACTCATATGCCTCAGGTCAAGTGATGCACTACCCAAATCGAATTATACGACACATAAATCCATGTGTTTCAGGTGATGCGCGGGTCGAATTGGATTGATACTAGACATGTCTATACAGTAACCAAATAGGGTTGAACCTCGATTCATTTTATGTTAATCAAACCGAATTGGTTGGTTATCCAAAATCGAATTGCTGTCATTTTAGCAATTGTAATTGTTGTTGTTGTTGTTACTTGAGAACCAAATATTATGATTTATGGTTATGTTGCGGTTAACCGCATTCAACCAATTAACCTATTTGTCATTCTTTTTGGTTTAGGTTACCTAATGGGGTAGGCCATTTGGCTTTGGGGTAGTTTAATTTTGCGATTATCTGGAGATTTTGTTTTGCAGTTTGGTGTGCAGTTACACCAAACACCAATGATTATCTAAAACCAAATCTGCAACTATTCTATTCCTTCATTTTATTGTTCTCGATTAACTATTAATCGTAAAATTCAAATTATACTTCGGTTAGCTTGCATGACCATAACCAAATTTTCTGCCCTATAACCAAATACTCCCTGCAGCGTAGCCGCGGGTATTGATTCTAGTTCTTTAAAACATAAAAGGTTGATTCTAGTTCTTTAAAACATAAAAGGTGGGTACACTTTATTGGCCAAGAACAAGTTATTAAATTCAAACATAAAAGGTGGGTACGCTTTATTGGCCAAGAATGTTGGTTACTGTATATTATTTTGGCTTTTTCTGAAGTCTTTTACCCTCATTTTATTTCCGGTTCTCAGCTGGCTCCTCTTTCTGCTGGGAACGCTACCAGGCTTTGGCCCCCTACTCCAGCGACGCTACCATGATTCCCCTTACGCGCAAAACTGTAGCTGGCCCAGGCCCCCTGTCATCCTTTCACCGATTTCCTTACCTTTCCGGAAGTCGATGCCGCGTTTGTCGCTCGCACACACCAACTGCTGCCGAAACCTCTTCCATACACGGCAACGACCTTGATTCATACTGCACTTGCTCTCTAACTCTGTTGCACTAACCTACCTTACCACGAAAACCGCAAGCGCGGGTCACCTCTCTGTCCACTCCGCTTCTGCTCGACAAGCTAGAGCCCATCAATTGTGCGTCCCTCTGTTAGAGAGTGGTATAAGATCCAGCATAACCTTCTCCCAACAACTCGAGTTATTGGGAGCAACTGGTTCATGACATGGTATCAGAGCCTAGAACCGAAAGGTCATGTGTTCGAATCTCCATGACCCCCAATATTAACCGTTGTGTGTTAGAGAGTGGTATAAGATCCAGCATAACCTTCTCCCAACAACATTGATTTCGTCAGACTTACCCTTTTGTTCTCGTCCCTCTTCTGCAATAGAGTCTGATTTTCATCACAAACCTTCCAAATCTGGGTTTCGAGGAGGAGCCACAGTCGATTGGGAGGGAGGGAGATGGGAGGAGGGAGATGGGAGCATTGCCACCCTAGGGAGAGCGCTGAGAAGGCTGCTGCAGCTACAGTGCCGAATGATGTCGTGGCATCGGCTGAAGGAAGAGGGGAAGCAAATTCAATGCAAGGTCGAGAAGACAGTATACGGACTAGAAGCCGGCGGAGAAGATGGAGTTCAACACTGGAAGTGAAGGTCTTCCGAAATGATGGCACTCACTTGAAGCAAACCCTGTATACAATCAGAAGGCCGAGTCCCCTGATGTTTTGATCGTCTCCGATACTTTCGGAAAGAAGAAGGAGGCGAGGAAGAAATTATGGGAGGAAAAGATCTGGCTCACCAATGAGATAATTCACAACCCGTCTATTGATAAGGTTTGAATATCTGAGTTTGAATCCATTGTTGTCATGGTAAGTTCCTTCTCCTTTCTGAGTTTGAATCCACACTATCTGAGTTTGAATCCACTATATACTCTGCAACCTTCAAGACGATTCCCAAGCTTCAGATTGTTCAATCCACAGTTGTCATGGTAAGTTCCTTCTCCTTTCTAGATATCTCTACCAATGCATTATTCTTGCTTGCTTCCAACTTGCTGAACTGTTGGTTGGGACCAATTTAAGATGGAGCATGTTTCGCTAATGAGTGGACTTTTTAGTTGCTGAGAAAATGAGCAGATAAAAGATAACCACCAATTTCACCCTCTCTCTGTGAATGGATAGTCACTAAATGTTTTGTGCTTCTGTTTGGCAACATAACTTTAGTGATTTCTGATCCTTCGGAAGGTTTGTGTGGAAGGAAGCTCGACCTATGCTTCAGATGATATTGTCATGTACCGTGAGCAAATTAATGAAAGTTCAGTACCCAAAAATTTAGTCGACTATTTTTCTCTAACCTATTCTCATGAAGAATTTCGGTTGACTTTTTCATTGCGGCTACTGAACTGAAGTTCAGAGATAATAGCAGTTTGAGGGACAAGTCACTTATGTAATTGTGAGATAAGTTGAGCTTTGTACATGTTGAAAATGGTTTGAACCAATTCTTATTTTGGTGTGCATCTGTGTGCAGGTTGATAATGGTTTGAAACGATTCTCTCCTGTGGATTTGGTATTATCCACCATCTTCAAAGTAATCCAAGATCTCTTTGGTACCCACATGTGCAATCAAAGCTTCATAATTTTTTTTTGTCAAGTGTAGCTGAAAATAACCAGAACTTTCTTTGGTTGTATACAGGGAAGGAAAATATGAAGTTTTAGCTCTTCAAGCATTAAAGATTTTATCAATGAGGCGCTAAGACTGAACTTCATCCATATTGGATTCTACTGTGATTCAGCTTTGCCTACAAGAGTTTATTTCCTTAGTAAAATCTGAGCCTTTCTCAAGTTCTTCTCTTTC